GTGACATATTGGGCGGCATGGTGAGGGGTTTGATTTTAGCAAAGGGAACTTCAAAAGTGCTCTTGCATGCCTGACGTTTGCCATGTAAATACAACTTACTTAGTCTTGCAAAGGCCTTTCACAGTGGACCCTGATATTTTGTACACTTTACAGCAACAGTATGATCACAAACCACTTCCAAACTGGTTACATCTCTAGCCATAGCAAACATGTTAACCTTAAACACCCACATACTCATAAAGACTTTGAGCCTAGCCTGAACATTTCCAATGCTTGTACAGTTTCTATCTGTATCTACAATCTTTTCTATCCTCTTCTTGCAGGGATGGGTCTTTACATATTTTATGGCATCATTTCCTTGATAAGCATGCATGGGCCTCTTTTAGTAAGCTCACAATTCTCGGAGACAAATAGGTTTGCACATGTATCTAATTGATCAGAAGTCTCAAGAAACTTCTTGAAACTTTTAATTCAGTTTTTTGATCAGTTATTCACCAGACATCTAGGGTTCGCCTCCCTACTAAATGCACTGATTTGCAAGAAAGTTGGTCTCAGCCTTACAACACTCACTTACCTCTGAGTTTGAAGTATTTCAGATGGTTAGCAATAGCCTGCTCAATAGACTCATCTGGACACACTTTAACTCCAGTAGGAAAGAAAATTGATCTCTTTCTTCGCAACAAGCGTCTGCTGAATATCTCAGATTCCCTGAAATCAAGAAGATGCTTAGAATCTGGAAACTGGGGAAAGCTTCTAACTGATCGCCAGCCATTTGGTGGAAGATCTGATGTAGGTTCCTTGGCTTCTATGTCCTCTGTAGCTGAATAGGTTTCTTCTGCAAAATTACATCACAAACAAATCTCTTTAAGTAGCTGCACATATATTGCACAATACCACTGAGTTTCAGTTAAATAAATAGATGCAGAGATGGATCTAGACTAAAGTTGTTAATCGTACTCAAGAGCAGACCCATTGAGATTAATGGGTCTACTCTGAGTATGATGAACATTGGACATCATCCTCAATAAGTTGAACTAAAGTCCCATTGAAATTAATGGCACAAATCAATCCTGACTCAGCTTAAGCCCCAATAATTTAAATAGACCCAAGTTCAATTAACTTTGTATGGATCCAATCCATAACATTTAACCAAACTAATTTGTTTTGTGTATGCTTATTTCTATATTCATTCGGGTAACATAGGTGCTAATAGAGACAGAAGGTTCTGGCTCCTGCCCTTCCTGTTTGGTGCTATATTTTAATAACTATGCAACATGCACCATTATTCTCTTGTTCTTACTATGTCACTCTAAGGTGGTTGCAAATAAAAAGTAAATCTTCAGTGTAAGCCTAGCTAAAGAAATCTAACTCGTTCGTTATTGTTTTCGCTTAGCACACCAATATAATGGACAACACCAAATAATGGTCTATATTTCAAAGGAGGCTATCTTCACTAAGTTTGTTTTCTACATTTCCCCCAAATATATTTTAAGGTTATATTGGTTGTATTGAGTGAATGCTACACCAGGAAGATATAAATGCAACTGCTTTACCCTATTGCAAAGACATTATATCATTGCTTAGGTGTAGATACATCATGTTCTGCCAAGTCCTTTCTCACAGAGACATGGACTAGTGTAGAAGTCTTCAACTTTTGCAGACCCAGGAGGACCCACCTTTAATACAAACATGCATTTGATGGGCCATTTCTTTTTTTCTTTACTATATATTGGTAAGTTGGTAGCACAGCTGCTGTGACCCATCTTAGCTCAGGCTGTGACTCTGAAGTGGGTCCCAACCCAACAGTTGAAGACCAGTGATCAAGTGTCACATCTCACACATTGTAAGACAAAATTACTCCATGTTACAGGGCTTGCAGCAATTTATTTTAAACCCGTTTACAACATCCTGCGACTGACAAAAGACAAAAACACATTAAACCTGCCACCATTTATGTATCTGATTTCATAAAGGAGTTATTATCAAGTGGACGGCTGATGTGTTCAAGTCATGTTGTATTAAATTTTGTATCTGGGAACCAATCACATTTTTTTTCATTCATGTGATGCACCTCAAATGACTTGCTTCTACAAGTGCAGGAATAATCATTTTAACTTGGAAAATTAGATGGGGGGATGTATCTAAACAGTTGAACAGTCCAGTAACTGAAAGACAGCAACTGCAGCCAATATAAAAGTGTTATGTGATATCAAACTGAATAGATAACTGTAACTGCTTAAAAGACTATATAGCAGCCTCGTGGGTGAAAATCTATAGGCAGATGGTATGGGAGATGGGAAACATTATTAATTGTAGAGTGAAGCCCTATTGCGACAAAAGTTGCTACATTAACATTAATGCAAAACAGATACTCAGTTTTTCAATTACCTCAGCATGTATATATTTCAGTGAAATATGCTAGATGTGGACATATAATGGCCCATTACTAATTTCCAGCTACAAACCTTGTTGAAATTGGTCTGACTCTGTATACATGTAACCCTATTTTCTCTCACTCTAAAACATATATATATATATTTGTAAACATAAGATTCCAAGACAGTTCAGAGGATGGCAGAAAACAGGAGTATTTTCTTACCTGCAAATGCTTGAAATTCCCCTTCAATCAATATGAATATCCAGACTCCTAAGTAGATCTTCCAATAAAAGTCACACATATTTCTTTTGGAATTTTTTTTTAAAGGCAAAGGGAAAATAACCAAGTTCCTTTTTAGCAGTGCTAGCTGACCTGAACGTGTTAACCATCCAGGAACAGTCTGTTCTTAGAGATGGTCTGGTGTCACTGGTAATTGTCTTGAATTAAAAAAAGGATTGATTTCTGCAACAAAAGTGAGTCCCAAATGTCTACAATTGTTTTGTTAAAAGAAATTATTCCATTTTCATTTTGGGAATCACAAGAGGCGGCGAAGAAGAGGCTCCTTGATGTTAGCCAGTAGACCAGAGGGATAATTTTTCAGTTTTAAGCTGGCCAGCTAAGCCAGATTTACCAGAGCTTGTCATGTCGTTAACTGGCAGTCCACACAAGGACAGTACCTTTCACACTTAATTAAGAACAATTTTCATTGACTGTCTTAAAAGAAAAGCAGCAGCAGCTTGCTGTCCAAACAATAACTTATGTTAGCATCATGGTTATTGCTTGGAGATTCTCTTTCGAGGGTGCTTTTGCTATTGTCATAAGAGACCACAACTGATCCATTTTAGCCATGTGACAACCCTCAGATATGCTGATGCAAGGTCCTGTCTATTGTTCTTCCTGGCAATTTCTCCACCCCTACCCATTTTGAGGAGACAGGGCAAAAAGAATACACCCTCCCGTCAGGTGTCAAACAGATAAACAACTATATGACTTAGAAGACATCTGAAGGCAGCCCTGTACTGGGAAATTTTTAATGTTTGAGGTTTTGTTGAGTTTTTATGATTTTGTTGGGAGCCGCCCAGAGTGGCTGGGGAAACCCAGTCAGATGGGCAACATATAAATAATAAAATTATTGTTGCTGTATTAGGTAGTAGAAACAGTGATTCTCATCCTTTCCGTTTTGCATAATCGCACTAAACAAAAACATGTATTTTATACATGCACATATTGTGCATACAAGCGGCAACTATTTGGCGGGGGGTTCCATGGGTCAGCAGAGCACATATAAGCATGGCCTGCCCCACTTCTGTTGTGCCCTCTTCCGGGTCCCAAAGGGCCTGCATATCAATTGGATGTGCCTAAAATGGTTGCTGCCTATACTGGAAATGAAAACTAACTAGAACACAGAATACACAGCATACTAAATTGCACAATACCAGGGATAGACAATGTAATGCTTATGGGCCCCATTGAATCCAGCTAGAATAGTAGCCAATATGGTGCATTTTAGATGGAGTTGGAATCCCAGCTCCCATCAGCCTCAGCCAAAATTGTCAGTGGTCACGGATGATAGGAGTCAATAGTCCAACATTAGGAAAGCACTGTGTTGGCTATTCTTGACCTAGAATACCTCCCACCAAACTCATACCCTGGAACTACCAGCACAAAAGACATCACAGGTTGGAGAGAAATCCCAGCCTTTATATTGCCCAACCTCTGCATTTTGTTACAGGAAAGGCATTGGCACAGCTCTCTAGCACTGGTTAGCCATGAAGGCAGAGGCTGAGTGGTGTAGTGGTTCAGAGTGGTGGACTCATAATCTGGTGAACAGGGTTCGCTTCCCTGCTCCTCCACATGCAGCTGCTGGGTGACCTTGGGCTAGTCACACTTCTTTGAAGTCTCTCAGCCCCACTCACCTCAGAGTGTTTGTTGTGGGGGAGGAAGGGAAAGGAGAATGTTAGCCCCTTTGAGACTCCTTGGGGTAGTGATAAAGCGGGATATCAAATCCAAACTCTTCCTTCTTCTTCTTGTAACAAAAACAACTGTACAACCGAATAGCAAATAAAAGTCTATATTCTGCACAGGAAACACCTATTTAATATACTCTCCACAAGGGCTCCTAAACTAGTGGCTGTACACTTCTTACCATCAGCTTGTAGCCTTTAGGACACTGAATGATTTTGGGGAAGGGACATGATTTGCATGGAAGAGATCCCCAGTTCATATCCCCTGACATTTCCAGGTAAGGCTAGGAAAGATTCCCACCTGAAACTCTGGAGAGCTGCTGCCTGTCCATACAATCCTTCTAGACCAGGGGTCTGCAACCCGCGGTTCCGGAGCCGCATGTGGCTCTTTTGCACCTTTGCCGCGGCTCCGGGGCGGATACTAGCGAGGGGAGGAGGCGCATTGTGCGCCCCGACACTCCCCACTGTGGCGGGCGCTGTACTGGCTGTGACGTCGCATGGGGGCGGTGCATGCGTTAGTCACGCACCGTCCCGACGTCACCTTCCCGCCCGCCCGCTACATTGTAAGGGACATGTACACTGGTCACTGCATTGAAAGGGGGCATGTACGCTGGTCACTGTTTTGAAGGGGAGTGAAGAACACACACACACAAAAAGGTAACTTGTTAATTTAACGTTTATTTCTATGAGGAGGAGTAATTCTGAGGGGTCAAACAAAGAAATAATAAAAAAAGTGACAAAAAAGTTATTCTTATAATGGCGAGTTTTGCGGCTCCCAGTTTTTTTTCCTTCGGAAACGAGTCCAAGTGGCTCTTTTTGTCTTAAAGGTTGCAGACCCCTGTTCTAGACAATTGCATGCAGAACTTTAAAGTTTGCATACTGATGTGGAAAATGGGGCAAACTGAACTTAAAACTGAAAAAAACCCTTAACTGTATGCATGTAAGATATGTGGCCAATATGGTATAATGTCTTGGTAGACATGCATCAGAACAACCGCACGCCTCCATCTACCCCAGCTGTAACATAGCATGCCTCTCTTGTACTGGTCTCCACAGCCACAGCAGGCGTTGTAACTCTCCAACAGTTTGTCTTCATCCCTGAAGGCACACTCTTCCATTGTCTCACGAGACAAACAACTGGACAGCCAGGGACACCAAAGTTTAGTCATGTGAAGCTGGCCAAATTATTACCTCACAGGATTGTTGTGAAGATAAGAGAGGAGGTAGGGAACCCGGTATATGATCCTGAGCGAATGGAAGGGTAAAAAAAACGCAACAAACAATTATGTTCTAACAAAGTTGCTCCTTCTTTTAATTTGAAAAAAAAACAAAAAACATACAAATGAACTCAAGATCCAAAACAGGCAGGTAATTTTATGGAAGAAACTTAAAACAGACATTACAATTTATAAGAATTAAACACCCATCCACTCCAATATGCCATTCAATATAAACAATGTGACCATTCTTAATTAATAAATAAGTTTGGAGGCATTTATTGCTGCTGGGTTCTTACTGAGATGCTTTAGATTCTGGGGGAAGACAGCCCTGCAAGCTTTATCACCTTGTACTCTATATATACTAGGGCTGAGATGGTTCTTCTTTCCTCTGATATTCTCATCGATATGAAGCAAGTCAATAATACATGAGAGAAAGACAGTGTGGAGCTCATATGAGAAAGAATGAAGATCTGGCTGAACACGAAACATGTAAGCCCCATGAAAGTTACACCAAGACGATTCACATTCGAATGGCAAAGGACATGGGAGTATTTTCAACAGAAATGTGAGCAGAAAATCCAATTAAACAGCCATAGGTCAAGAAATATATGTGTCAAGTGCCCCTGCTAGGTACCACTGGCTGTAGTGAAAATACTTAGCAAAGTAATTTCTAAGCAACTTTTTCTTCTTTCTGTGACACTTGTTTTGGCTCAGTGCCACACTTCACACATACTTAAAAATAAAGGGGGGGGGAGATAGTTACTATGTGCATACAGAAAATGTACATTTGAGGGCAACATCAAATGTCTATTTTGCTGTGATTCTAGATATTTTGAAACAAAATTTCCAATACATGTAATCAGAGCAAAATACACAATCTTACCATGTTCACAACTGGCAGTGTATGTAGTCTCTCCCCCGCCCCCCTTATCTCATGCAGGAAAAAGGGTATGCGACACGAGTCTTCAAAAGTATTTGTACTTGATAGCCATTACAATTTCAGTAGTCAATGCAAAGAAACAAGTATTTCTGTGCTTAAAAGAAATTTTCACTTCAAGTTTCCGGGCTTTGTCTTGTTTGTCCCAAGTCATTAGTGGTGGTTCTAGTTTATAATATAGGAGTTCTGGGTCGCTGTTGTTTGAAACACAATTTTCAAACACAGTAATGATATACAACCCCTTCTCTAACAAGTCTCTTATTCCTTCTGTTATGAATTATGGCAGAAGCATGTCCGTGAGAAAGCTCACATCTTTTGGAAAAAAGGAACTATATTTATTCAGTCAGTACTTGTAGCTTATCAAATACACGATCAATCCAGATTTAAATATTTGACAATGTAACACAAATGACTTTTACTTCAGCTGAACCTCTTGCATGATTAGCTCTTCCTACAAGTATAGGTACTTGGGGGAATCACAAGCATTCAGCTTTTCAAAGTATATTATGTCTCTGAAATAACTGAGTCAGTGCCTGTTTTAAAACCAGCAGTTTTCCCTTCCATAGAATTTGGTTACATTATTCACAATGTAACCCTGCGCATGCTTACCTGGTTCTAAGTCCCATTGTGTTCTGTGGGACTTAACTTGCAGGTAAGGGTGACAACCAATGGTGCCCACCTGATTGTGCAATGGAAATGCAGTGGGGCTTCCGGTTTCTCTTCTCCTTCAGTTCCTGCCACCCACATACCACAAATTCTGCCACAGAGTCCCAGAGTGGGCGGCTGGGGAAGCAGAAGAGGGAGAAGCCCCTTTGCACAAGCAAATGCCTGCTCATGCTACATGGGCTTCACCCTAAGTGAAAACAGGATTTTAGCCCAAGTGATTAACAATCACATTTCTCTCCCCACTCCCCACAAACAAATACAATTACTGAAACACTTAAACAACTCTTGCCAGGGTGATGCCCTGTCAGATGTAAGCTACAACTGTATCCAGTACAGCGAAGACCATATGGCCTTATATATATAGTGAAATACATAGTATTCATAGCATTCGTTTAACTGCTGCACAGCAGAGAACGATTACAGCTCTGAATCTGGTTTAAGTGATCAAGTCAGACACAGAAAGAAAAAAAAGAACATCTCTTTCTAAATTTCAGGAATGGTTTTACATTCCACTCTTGAATTCCAAAAATGTAAGAGCAAGGTTTTAGGCATGTCAACTTCTAAGAAAGAGCAAGGTATGTCAGAATAAAAAAACAAAAAAACCCCACTGAGACCAGTAGCATTTGTGACCTATTCAAAGCAACCAGAATAAACATCTGTTCAACAATACCATTTTTGACATGGGAGAGATGTCTGCAAGAGGACACACATGGCTTTAAGACATCACATGGGAAGAATCCCTACCTAAAATGGGTTGTTAATGTCTCCCTTTCATGTAGTTTCACACAGTTCCAGATGTATCTGGAAACTAGGAATGAACCCTTTAGGGCTAAAATGTTTTCCCATCTCTGCAGCACATTCTAGTTATGCTGCTTCTATATTCCAAATAAAATTGGTCGATGTCACAAATATTTACTTTAAGTTACATAATTGCTATTTTGTAGTTCCATTTTCTCACAATGACCCACAGATCAACTTGGATATAAAATGCACACCATTTTATCTGCAGTTTTTCTTCTCTGCAAGAATAGAAGCACAAACGCTGCCGATCGGATTTCCAGTACGCCTGGGACAAAGTTCTTTTGCAAAATCGGAAGGGAATTCAGGCTAGCTTTTGGTGCCACTCTGCTGCTGCAAGTGAAGCTGCAAGACTAAGTCTCTAATTTCTTCCCGCTTGCTTCTCACCATCTGGCGAGGGAACCACCGCTCCAGGTGCATTGGAAGTTCAAAGTTAACAATAGGATTCTGGTGATTAAAAAAGAGAGAGAAAAGGGTAGTGTTACATTAATTTAAAAAGGCACAAAGACACAAAATATCCTGCTCTCCTGGCAAAAAATCCCACAGTTCACTTTGTATTAAACAAACTATAATTAAGACAAACATACGTTGTCAATGAGTTGGAGCAAAAAAAGGGAGGGGGTGCGTGGAATGAGTTTGCGCATTGTTGCTCTTCCGAGAACTGTTGCACAATGCTGGATAGAACTGCACTTTCAGGAGCTGCCTAGAACAGGCATAGGCAAACTCGGCCCTCCAGATGTTTTGGCACTACAACTCCCATCATCCCTGACCACTGGTCCTGTTAGCTAGGGATAGAATCATAGAATAGAATAGAATCATAGAATCATAGAGTTGGAAGAGACCACAAGGGCCATCGAGTCCAACCCCCTGCCAAGCAGGAAACACCATCAGAGCACTCCTGACATATGGTTGTCAAGCCTCTGCTTAAAGACCTCCAAAGAAGGAGACTCCACCACACTCCTTGGCAGCAAATTCCACTGTCAAACAGCTCTTACTGTCAGGAAGTTCTTCCTAATGTTTAGGTGGAATCTTCTTTCTTGTAGTTTGGATCCATTGCTCCGTGTCCGCTTCTCTGATGATGGGAGTTGTAGTCCCAAAACATCTGGAGGGCCGAGTTTGCCTATGCCTGGCCTAGAGCAAGAGCAAGCCCAGATTGGTAGGTCATGGGGTGAGATGTCCACACCCATACAACTACTGCTAAACATTATGGATACTTAATGTTCTGTTTATGCTCTGCCTCTTAAGATTCCCCAAGCCTTGTCCTCTTATTGTAATATGAAGCTAATAAAAACCTGGGTGCAAACGCCTGTGTTGATTATTTCCTTGATTTCCTTTTGTTGTTGTTTTAGTGTTATGACACTAAAATATGTTAATTTCTATTACTGTTCTTTTTTTTATTCTTAAGCCTCTTTGGATCCTTTTGGAATCTATATCCATATCCATACAGATAAGTATTTAAAGTAAGATGAATAAATGAAAAGGGTTGCTCGCTCAGAGTTTTCTCATAGAATGCCAGGACTGCAGACCAGGAAGGGGATTCAGAATAATCAGAGTCCCCTGCAAAGAGACAAGAAATCACAAAACCCCACACATATTCCTGAAACAGGAATAAACTTATGTTATTTGCAAATTTAACCAAAGGTTAAATCTGCCTGCAAGCAGAATAGTTACTACCAAGTAGATAGGTCATCCTGCACCAGATACTGAACATAAAGAAAATCCAGAAGCAGTAACAAAAATACCTAAGAATGAAAACACTACACACACACACACACACACACACACACACACACCCTGCCCCAAGCAGGCACTGGAAGCTATCAAATCGGCCTTCCCATTCCTCAAGTTGTCTATGGAAGGAAGGATTTGATAGTTCTATCCAGAAAATTTAAAATAGCATCCCAAAGGACCACTGAAATGCTTTGCACCTGGAAAAAAGTTTCCACGTATTGGAGTAAATATACTCCACAGTCACTATTGTTATGCTGCTTGGGAACTCTCGGACAGAAATCCACCATTGTTGATTTGTCGAACACACGAAATGTGCGTTTTGCTTCACACTCTGCTTCTAGATATCTGAAATAAAAACAGAGAAAGATACGGTGGGTGGATGCAGGTTAAGACTGAAATCCTAAACGTGTCTACGCTAAAGTAAGCCCTAAAGGTTCCAACGGGGATTACTTCCAGGTAAGTTGTAACCTAAGTTAGCTGCATTTATATCCTCTTGTCAACGTGGAAAGCTAACCATCGTTAATTTGAGTCACACTGATTTTAATATCGGGGCAGTATCTTTATTAGGTCTAACTAAATACAGTATCACAAAATAGTATGCAAGCTATTGAGTTCTCCAGAACTCTTCTTTAGGTTAGATGGCAAACAGAGCTACGTAGGGGGCAGAGAGGGAAAAACCTGACTGAAGTTGAAGCCATGGAGTCTCCATCTGGCCACGGTCTTAAGATGGATCCTATTTGTTATCAGACTCCATGAGCTTCCCACCCACCTTTCCATCTGGCTTGATGGAACTTGAAAGCTAGCACACTATTTATTATGTGATATTCTGGGGGCTACCCAGGTCTTTGGGTCTACTCAGTGTTGGTTCTGGAGCAGACTGTGTTGGCTGTCTACTGCTGCTCATTGGCAATGTAATTTTCAGTTGAAATGCGCAACTTAAAATGTTCAAAACATGCAGTCTCTCGTCTTGATTTACAAAGCAAAATTACATGCAAGCATTTATCGATTCGGTTGCAGGGATCCATAACAGTAAGGCTATAAGAAATAGAAATGAACATACTAAAATATTAGAGCAACACTCTATATTACATACCGTTTTAATAGCATATCCTTCCTTCAAAATACAAGAGCACCAGGTTGCTCACAGTATATACAATAAAAACAGACTTAGATCAATATCACTTTAAACACAATTATCCGTTAAAAAGCAGAATCAAATGAAACACAGCATTACTCACTCTCTCAAGACCTGAACTGTATTCTGCACAGAACTTGCCTTTAGGGAATCTAAGATGAGGATACATGGCCTATACAAAAGAAAAATTATGTTTATTTTTCATTACACAAAGGATCAATGCTTGTTTTAAGAATTTCAGGAGAAATTTCAATAAAATAGATTCGTACCACTAGGATAACTAATGACTATTATTAGTATGTGTAGAAAAAGTGAATATGGCCCCATATTGTAGTATTATTACAAATGTAAATGCCCACCTTTTGCAAATTTTCTTCATTTTAGAAGTGCTTGAGGAGCTCTGAAAAACACATTCACAAACTATGATCAGAAGAAGCAAGACCAAATAAGCAAATATGACCCTTACCCAATATATTAGCAGTTAAACAAAAGCACTTCTTGTTCAGTTTAATTAATGTATATCCTGCCTTTCCAAACCACAGTTCACTGTAAGCTTCCTGCTTTGACTGGTCACATTGCCAAGAAAGGAGGGGGCTGCAGGTGTGAGCAAAAGGCTCATTTACATCACAGCTTGTTAAGCTGAGATATGATCATCCAAACATGGCCAAAGTCACTTACTTTGAGAGCTTTGTGATCCAATCCTGGGGATACAGTTGCTTGCTGAACATTATCTAATATGCCAAAGACAACAGAATATAGTTTAAAATAACAATGACATTGAAGGAGGGGGGTTTATACTGAAAATGTGTGGCATGCAAAAGCCCTGGTCATAAACTGAAGCAAATCATCTGCAGCAAGGTAATTCTCAGTGACAGAATAATATGTAAAAGAATATTATTTCATCTTTGCCAGCTGGTTACCAACACTTCCACTGCATTAACTCAAGCGCTCGGTTAAAATGAAACATTTTTTCAGAGCTACTTCTATTATTGCAGCATTGATGAGCAAATGCTGAGACTGTACGCCTTGTGTTGACATTCAGAGATAATTTTATCAATGAGCGATTCATAGAACACTGGTGTACTCTTAAGTCAACAAACTGATTCTTGCATGGGTAAGTAGTCTACAAATTTTTCTCTGGAGCCAATTAGCTTACCTGCAAATTCATTCGTCCAAGAGGTTTGTATATAATTATATTTCTAAACCATATATCATCATCTAGCACATTACCTTTGGGCTGTAGGTTGCTATTTAAGTCTTGCTGCTCTTTATCACTCCTGGTATCATTAAAGACCAAAACTGATTCTGTTCTAATAGTGCCATGTTTAATTTCTGGCTGTCGTGGAGATTGCTGGGCGGATGACTGCGGTGAACCTTGATCTGGGCAATCCTCATATACAACTTCTTCCAGCCAAGGGAAGCAAATAACTGCAATGTACCAATGAGACCTGGAAAGGAAGAAAAAGTCAGTATCTGATACTTTAAAAAAAGAAAGGGGGGGGGGGAATTGGAACTACGATTGCCTTTTCCCACTGTGATATCCATTAAGATCTGATAACAACTATGCTCAATACAATCAAAAGAGTGCTTCCCTCTTTCTGCATCGTGCCTAAATAAAAATTAAATTACAATAGAGGATGCATGCAGACATTAAACAATTTCAGGCTTTATACTCACTTTAAGAAACACCTACCCAAGCTCTAGATATCAACTGCACATACACCAAGTACGTAGACCATTTCTATTTTAAATCTGTAAGCAACATCATAATTCTACCTAATAGCAAACTTGGGCAACTGAGTGCTTATCAGTTTGGAAACGAAACAGTTATAGGCTTCTATATACACAGGCAACTCTTTGAGTGTGCAGAGTATAAATACAAGCTAAATGTTCTGCAACTGAAGTTACAAGTTGAGAAAAGACTTAGATTTCAATTAATGCAGCAAACTTACTCTTCATTCACAGGCACAAAAATGTAGTCTTTACTAAAAATGTTTACATGTCGAGTCCATCTTTTTACTCTTCCGTGTCTTCTTTGTGCTATCCTGTGTGGATAACAAACCAGTTAATTCTGTCTGTCAGAACTAGAAGAAGCATTTTCTTCAGTCCCTCCAAATCCAGCAAAGGAGGATATAAATTGTTCATATTGATCCTTAATATGCAAAATAGGCAAATCAATTATAGAGTATTAGCTGGCCCACGCCAGGTATTAGGAAACTCCTTTTTCCAGAAGGATATGACTGCAAGGCAGACCAGAAAACACTGAAAGATAACTTACGAAAGATTTGGGTTTTCTTCAGTGCTTGCCTCTGTCCTTGTCAGGCACTTATAGAAGAAGCTGCTAAATATATGGGACCGCTCAGCAAGTTCTTTGGGGGCTTTTTCCAACAACAGATACCTACCAAAAATGCAAAAGATGTGCAAATATTATGCATGTGGAAATTTATCTTGTATTCATTCATGTACAAAGGCAGGGGTGAAAATGAGTCTCCCCACGGGCGTTAGCACCACGTAACCAGAGTGGAACATATTATATACCATACTTATTTTACTCTACTACACTTACTTAAGGTAAAAGTCAATGATCACATCATTGAGGAATTCTCCATACTCTAAACACTCCAAATCTTCTCTTGTGACACCCAGTCCCCCTTTGGCAGGTGGAGGAGGGTAAACGATCAAGCTAGAAAGCAAAAGAGACATTAAATACCTTCTGATAATTCAATGAAAAGCAGATCAAGTTCTTATTAAGTTATAACGAATGACAGGAGAGTACAACAAGCTGTTTGATCATTTATCTATAAAGGTGGACAAGAGATAAATGGCTCTGTTCACAAGTAACACCAAGCTAAGCCATAACATAGCATGTGCTAAGCCATAGAACAAATCTTGGCTATACCTCATGCTTTGTCTGGGGATAAAACCATGAACAAAGGTTTGGGCGACACAGCTTAGCTCACAGCAGCACCACGGCAACAGGCCACAGGAGCAAAGAAGCCACAATCACCTCTCTGGGAGCCCATGTATTCATGCTAAGCCACTGCTGACTCAACATTCCATGCTAACCAAAAATCAAACAAACTGCATTAAGACCATCATTTATCTCCTGCTTTGTCAACAATGCTTTCCTGGTTTGGAGCTAGAATGACGAATGAAGAAACACATCTTCATCAACAACTTTATATTTCTGCAATGTATTTCATTTTAGTCTTTCGACAACTAATGAAGCCAGTGGGTGTTTCCCTATATAATTTCCTTCTGGACATGTCAGTATCATGCAACCAACCATACATACTTCCGAACGGGTCCAGTCGCTCGCAACTCTTTCCACTCATTCTTCTGCACGGAAGTGATGGAAAAGGAATAATGACCATTATTTGGCTTCTGCAGTAGCATGTAACTGGGCTTGTTGAGGCTTGGTTTTGATTCCTGCTAGAGAGAAAGGCAAAACCATCTTTCTTTGTCCTTGTTAAAGGCTCCAATAAGGATAAGAAAGTTGCAAGTAGGTCAGCTGAAACTTGAAAGCTGGCTTCAAGAAATCACATATGGCGACTTAAAATACACTTTCCCCCCTCACTAAATCTGTTATTTGGCAGGTAAGATATAGGAAATCGTCAATTCAGAATAGAAATCTCCTTAGAAAACTGTTTCTCCTGCGTATAGGGACAACTTCTACACAGAAAAGACCTTATTCTTCAGCACCTTGAAATGTTACCCTATTCCTACTGAAGTACATTCATGTTCCATTAAATACATATTCAAGGGACAGGTTCTAAACTAATGGCTGCTTTCTAAGTGCCTACTTGTTACATAAAAGCTGATTCCAGTCAAACAAAATTTTTACACAAAGACTGAGAAACCCCATAAGGATATAGTTTCTTGCCTTTACATGGCACTTCCTCTTGGGAATGTTTTATAAAGGTTGCTGCCTTGACCAGCCACCCAGTGGAGATGGTTATCATCATCAATTTACAGAAAATGGAACAGAGGTGCACAAGGATGAACTGCCAAGTGTTTGGGCCTCAAACAGCTTGCATAGAAGCTGTGGGTACTTCGTACCGCGGAAAACCTGGCCTCTAGAGACATGCCTGGGGACAAAGAGTCCGTGTTAGAGATAAAAGCATAGTTGGGAGTTCCTAGTGCCCAGCATCACGTTCAAATGAAACCAATGTCCAGATATCTCATTGACTGGAATATGCCACCCCTAAACAAATGATATAATCCATAAAAATACTTTTATTGCATACATTTCTCTCAATAATATATTGGGACCAGTTAATTATGTGAGTACACCACACCAAGTTACACTAACTTCCCTTGTTCCTGGTCAATGTGAAATTTTACTTGGCTGCTGCAGTGACCAGCTGAGAAATCTAACCCCTGCTCCCTCTCTCCTGATACTAGAAGCAGAAGATGGTCTGCAACAGGGAGGCAGGGCGGATGATATAGGTATTGGTCTCTAGGAGCTGACGTCAAGGGAGCGAGCTATGGATGTTTGTCTCACTTTGATTATGATGAACTCCACATAGGGGAACCCTTGAATTGCCAACAAGCAAGAATGAGGGCTCTCTCTTTAAATCAGCTCTAGACCCAGGAACTAATTCTATAACTCTGAAAAATATGAATGCCCCAAGGCCAGTGAGACCCTCACATTTTGCACAATATAGAAGTGAATGGTAAAATAGAGCAGGGAAGTGGCCATTGCCCATATAGGGAGTTGCTGGAGATGAGAAGAACACATAAACGCAAAGCTTGGCAACCCAGAAGTGCAGAGGTGGCTTAGAAGATACCCTAGTAGCTGGAAGATAAAACAGCGGCTGGTGGCAAAGGAGGTGCTGGTGGCATCCTGGACAGGAAAGGGAGGGAGAGAGCATCCAGGAAGGACTAACAAGAGTAAGGGAGTGAATGAAAGAAGCTCTCCAAGCAAGCATCTGAGTTGGCGAGAGGAAAAGAAGCCTGGCACTATAGGAGAGAAGGAAGTGATGCTAAAGAAAGAGGTGGATCTGCCCTGCCAGACCTTAAACTTTATTATGAATCAGCTGCTTTTTGCTGGCTGAGAGAATGGCTGCTTCTTGAAAACACTGATGTGTTGGACCTAGAAGGTTTCAATAATGTATTTGGTTGGCATGCATACTTGTGGTACGATAAGGTAAAAGCACATAAAGCGTTTAAAAATCATATTGTTAGAAAAGCACTGTTTAATGTCTGGATAAGAAATAAGGATTTGTTAGAAAAGAAAACCCCAAGATGATTGTCACCAATGGAAGCGAAGGCACAGAAAAAACTCAATATGGAGGCCAAATGGCCGAAATATTGGGAAATTCTGGAACAAGATGGAGACAGATTAAAATTGCAGAGCTTTGAAAAATTGAAAAACAGAGTGCGAGATTGGCTCCATTATTATCAAATAATGGAGGCATACAATATGGACAAAAAAGTTGGCTTCCAGGTGGAAAAATCAAAATTGGAAACAGAATTGTTAGAACCAAAAATTAAGAATTTGTCAAGAATGTATAACTTGCTGTTGAAATGGAACACTCAGGATGAAATGGTGAAATCAGCTATGATTAAATGGGCACAAGATGTTGGACATAACATAATGATGGCTGACTGGGAACAGTTATGGACCACAGGTATGAAATTCACGGCATGTAATGCCCTAAGAGAAAATTTAATGAAAATGATTTATAGGTGGTACATGACACCAGCCAAGCTTGCAAAAATTTACCATTTGCCCGACAATAAATGTTGGAAATGTAATGAGACTGAAGGTACATTCTTTCACCTTTGGTGGACATGCCCAAGGATTAAGACATTCTGGGAAATGATTTATAACGAAATGAAAAAGGTATTTAAATATACCTTCCTGAAGAAACCAGAGGCCTTTCTCCTGGGCATGGTCGGCCAATTGGTGCCAAAGAAGGATAGAATTTTTTTTATGTATGCAACTACAGCAGCAAGAATACACATCGCGAAATATTGGAAGACACAAGATTTACCCACCCGGGAAGAATGGCAGATGAAGTTGATGGACTATATGGAATTGGCGGAAATGACTGGCAGAATCCGAGACCAGGGAGAAGAGTTGGTGGAAGAAGATTGGAAAAAAATTAAAGATTATTTACAGAAATACTGTAAAATTAATGAATGTTAGAAAAATGTTGGAATGAAGTTATATGGCTTTAGTAGAAATGTTATAAGGAATTAAGTATAAATAGATTAATAGAAAATTAAAGGGAAAAATAAGGTTAAAATGTGTTAAGATAATTATAGGATAGAAAACAGAGGAAGATGGAAAGGAATTGCTGAAACAATTAACAGAAGTGGAATACGAAAAGGGAGGTGTGAGGAGGTCACTGAAATAAGTGAATGAAAGATAAGATATTGAAACTGTTTGGTTAGTTTAATGTGTTAGTGTTTTGTATTGGTTTTTGTATTGTATTGTATATTTTTTTTTGTAATGTTTAAATTGTTGGAAAAGTAATAAATATTTTAAAAAAAAAGGAAGTGAGTTGGCGTGCGAATGCTTGAGAGAATAGGGCTGGGGAAATGACAGAGCAAATGGAGGGGGAGGACAGGACAAATGAGTGGGGGGAGTAGAGGAAAGACGAAGGATGCAATGAAGCACCTGCAGCTCAAAGGAATGGCTAATGAGAAAGTTTGGTAGATTCTGCCTAGAAGGAAATCTGTAGAGAGGTAACACAGTCAGGTCTGTTGTTTTGTCTCACCGGTGGCAAGTCAAGGGAACATCAACAAAACAGTGCAATTACGGAAGAACGTACAGGGTATGCTGGATGGCAACACCCCTGACTCTAAACTGATTAATGTGTCTGAGCATAGTAAGAGCTCTGAACTGGTGCTCTGAAGATATATGGGTGCCTAGGTATAGAAGGCAGGGGAGGGTTAAAGGCTTTATAGCAATAGTAAAGGCTTCATAATATGTAATAATATATGACAATTCTATATGGTCTAGTGGAGATTCCTGCAGGCCCGTGCAGAGGGTGGGGGGTGGCAGTCAGGTACACTTGCCCCGGGCCTCTGAGGGATCAGCCAGCTGGGCAGGGCGGGGCGGCTCCACAAGGGACCGGCTGCTTTTTTGTTTGGGTTTATAACTTTAACAGGACTCCTACCCAAGGCCTCAGATGAGCTCTGTATGGGCCTGGATTCCTGCACTGCAGTGTGGTTCTAGAATCAGCGGTTCTCAACCTGTGGGTCCCCAGATGTTGTTGGACTACAACTCCCATCATCCCTGAGCTCTGGCCTTGCTAGCTAGGGATGATGGGAGTTGTAGTCCAACAACATCTGGGACCCACAGGTTGAGAACCACTGGACTAGATGATCCTGAGGGTCCCTTCCAACTCTACAATTCTGTCATTTGTGGGTGGGGGGCATGCATGAGGCTGCAGTGGGGAGGAGAGGATGATGAAGTCTTCTCAAGCGTCTCTGGATTCCACTCTCAGTCTTTCAAGGTGCCGCAAGATTCTGTTGTTTCTACTGCAGAAGACTGAACACAGCTACACCTCTGGAAAGTGTTAAAATTAATGGTAAAGGTTCTGAGTTTTAAATGCACAGTGTTCCCTCCAGGAAACTGTTATTTTCCTTCCCAGCTCTGGTAACTCCAAATAAATCATTTGAGAATAACTGATTTACCCGAGGGGGTGGTTCCATCAGAACTGAAGTGCTGTCCTTCTGTAAGTGCTGCTGGGATGCTTCATAGCACTGATCAAGGAAGGCATTTTCCTCACGTGGGATTTCTTTAAGAAACTCAACAGCGTCCTCCCACAGTAAGTAGTCACAGAGGTCTGGAGAGGCATTCTTCTTGCTCACTTCCACAATTATTTTTTTCAGAATGACCTGATCATCTTCTGTGAGCAGCTGAGGCAGCTTAATAAAAATAAACTCAACACTCTTAGCTGTAAGAAATGAAAAAGCAATGTGTTAGCAGCGACTTACAGGAAGCACTATGGAGCTGCAATTATTCACTTATCTATGCAATTCAGTCAGTAGCTTAGGCAGAAGGCAGAGCAGAAATAATACAAAACAAATCTATGAGACAAAATCTAATTAATTTAAAGGTGTGCCTACTTTCCCTCTTCACAAAAATGAGTCGATCAAAGCAGCTTACAAACAGAAGTGCAAACATGACAACAACAACATATTGTGATGTCTCTGTAAACTGTTATCTTCCACTGAAACAGTAGATTTAAAATATTTTCTTTCTTTGCTTATTCATCTGTTTAATACTGCTCTCAGTATGGGGAAACAACAACAAAAATTAAGAAAAGAACAGAAAGTAGAAAACTGAAAATATACAAGTAGCAGAAGCAAACAGGACATAAAAGCATTGCAGGTGAAAAAGAAGAGCAACCAAGTGACATTTAAGAAGTTCTGAGAGCATAAAAGGATATCAGCCTGATGCACAATGGTTACTGCTAGGAGGCCATCCACAAATAGGGCAGTACAGCTGGTTGCCATCAGTTGCCACCTACTGAACTTGGGCTCGGTGGTGGTGGTGATGATGGGGTTGCTCTCCCAACACTGTAGCTTACACGGATGGGAAGTGGGAGTAGGGGCGTCAAGGTGGGGGCTGTGCACTTCAGCATGACTCTTTGCTCCCATGGAGGACCTGGTTCACACTGTAAGCTGCCTACAGGTGACTCCCCAATTATTTGGGGGTTACGTTCCGGTGCTCCGCAAGTGTTAAGGGAAAAGCACCCCCTAAGCATCATTTAAATGCTCTCTCTGCGGCTCTCCAATCCAGATCAAAAATACTGTACCAAAAATACCCACAACTGGAATAGAAGCTATGGGACCAGCTGGAGGCTGCACAGAGAAGCAATGGCATGCACATCAGCTATTAGACGGGGAGCCTGAGCAGCCGAACAAAGCCCCACTGCACCTCCAGTCCCTTCTCCGCTCTCACCAACGTCCTCTTCGGGCTCACAAGCCACAAGGACTCTCCAGCTCTCTCCCTCCATTTCTGGCTATGAATCAAATTATTTAATTATTTCCCAACTACCTTGCTTGTTTAATATAAGCGTTCCAATTTGTTTTTCAATCTGCTCCACATAATCTGATGACAGCCAAAGAAAAAAGGTATTGCAGTTCCTTGAAGTTGAAGAATCTTTATTCATCCACAGCCCGAACTTTCTTAAGTGCACAGAATCCACTGACAGTTCAATCTTCTTATGAGCCACTGCAGGGAACAGAATTTGAAATACACAAGATGATATACAGGATTGACTTGCACCAGCAACCACAGCTTCACATTACCGTTTTTCAAGGAAATAATCACTAAGCAAGATGCAAAACCATGATTCTCAAGAACATGAAATCATTTCTGAAAAATGTGAACAGTCATTCATTCAAAACTTGTCACGCTTCTGGTATATCAGATATCCTAAGCTTGACTCATTATCTCTAGCAGTCAACACTTCTTTCCAAAACAACCTATTATGTGAAATTGAAGGGAGCCTGACTTATACCAGGTCAATTTCTTTGTCCATTTAATTCAATACTGTCTATTCCAACTGGAAGCAGTTTACAAGGGTCTTTAAGGCAGAGTTCTTATAGTTGTTTGCTATCATCTTTTTAAAACTGGAGATGTCAGAGACTGAACCTGGGGTACTCTACTACTCTTTTTGATGGAATTGTGTATTGTATTAAAAATCGCCATCCTGCCCCAATACATGTAAATATTAGACACTTCTGAAAAAGTTGAGGGGGTATTAGACATTATTATTATTATTATTAGCAATAGGCAATGCCCTGGCTCCTGCCCAAGACTAAACCACTGGTGTGTTTACTTGTAAGTAATAAAGTGAGCATTTATTACAGCAGTCTAACAGTACAAATTCAGTGGTCAGCAAAGAGCAGAATCTAGACCAGGTGTTTCTGCAAGGCAAAGGAATAGCAACAATAGAGGCCAACAGGAAGGGCCAAAGTTCAGGAGTCCAAGATTTTCATTAAGTTGCAAGACTGGATGGGAGCTGTGAACTTGTTCCAACTAGTTCCTCTGCTGGCCTGCCTAGCTGTTAAGCAAAGCTTGACAACTTGCAAGAATCCCTATGTCTGTAGGAATTCCTGAACTGAAGCCAGGAACCTCTTCCTGGGGGACAAGACTCCAATCTTCTCTTGAAGCACCATCTCTCCGCAAGAGAGATCGCTGGGCAAGCCTCCTCCTCTGAACTCTCCCACTCTGTCCCAGCTTATTGTGCCTCTGAACCCTGTTCATCGTCCACAGGCTGGGAAGGGGCAGCCCCTGGGACTCCCACCATGTCAGTTGGGGGTTAATTGGTGGCCGGGGGCGTTATCAAGAAGGCTGTGCTGTACAGTCTCACTCCCCTTTCCTCATATTCCGATCTCTTGTCCTCACTCCTAGTCTAGGAACCGTGACATGCAACACTGTAAAAACATAGCTTACTTCAATCTTCTAAACATAACTGTTATTTATATAAATGGCTGACCAAACTGCAATAAAATATCATAGAGCCTTACCTTCAAATGGGATCTGAATGTAGCTGACGGTAAACTTAAAAAGAAAAGAGAGAAAAAAAGTATTTTCAACAGTACTGTTTGGAAACACATTCTGCTAATACATTAGAAATTAAATCAGAGGAAAGTGAATAAATAAGTGAGTGTTTTGACCAAACTTTATGTTGCAAATTTTGAATCTAAAATTAACACTTGCCTGGCAATCTGAAGTGCATTCACCTCACAGTATGTTCTACTCAAAAGGTGAACATTTAATAAACTTATTTTTAAGGTAAATAGCAGCATCCCCACTTCGTGCCACAAACACTTTTTTAAACTGAGGGACTTTCAAAATAAGATCGCATTAACATACAATGAAGCAAGCTAATGTATAACACTTAGGCTGAAGTTTTTGCACCTTTTTTTTCAGCATGTCTACATCTCACTACATCTCAGCAGGATATATATACTTGTAATTGAAGGCTGGATGCTGGCCAGAGACAAAGCTCATGAGCCAAAGAGCTGCTTAGGCACACATTAGGGGCTACTATTGGAAGCTCAGTGGAATCTTTTCACTTTTTTCCTTTGGATAGCTCCAGTGCTATATTCAAAAAATTATTCTGATGCCTTCTGCCCCCAGTTTCTGGCTCAGAATGAGGGGAGGCTGTTGTTCAAGAAAGGCAAGTTCAAGCACTTTATGGAAAAGCTCCTGACCGCCATGGGTCAGTAGCAGCAAACTTACTCTGGCACAACCTGTTGCTTTTCCTTTATATTTTCCAATATAAATTATTTCAAAATTTATATCTAAGGCAAGACCCATCTGATCGCCGAAGGTGCTATGATCTGCAGAGGAGCACGGTTTAAGTGGTTCAGCTGAAACCTATAAAATAAACAACACACACATGTTGAGGCTGTCTCCTCTCCCCTCTCCTCCAAATTTCAAACTTCTAAGAATGGTTGTTGTTTTTTAAAGTGGACATTCCATATCCCGTTTTACACGTGTCATGCGTAGATAATGATAACAATCAAGTTGCTACTGCCTGAAGCAAATGATAAGGTACCATACTGAATGTACCAGGCTGATAATGTACTGAATCCCTGGTAATCATTTTTTGCCACATGGTGGTGCCATTTATGCAGCTATTACCAAAGGAATAGAATTCACTGTGAGGCCGTAATTCTAAGAGCTTCGGGAAGTAAGCTTCACTGAAAATTTGGTTAGAAGTGGTGTGCACTATCCTTTTGATATCTATGGGGGTGACCAGGTCATACAGGAGTGATACATGATATGGCTTCTAGCATGATAAAGGGAGGGAAAAGCTCCTCTAGAGCTGACTGTTTACCTGTTCTGTTTCACCTTCAGCTGCAACCTGTGATAGCTGCCCTTCTGACAAAGGTAACACAGCTTCTTGTTCTGTTTCCTTCTTCTCAAGTTTGAGGCTTTTCCCAGTCTGCAGGTCTCTCTCTGGATCTTCTGTCTCTGCGTGTCCCTCTTCTTCATCGCTAGAAAGCACAACTAAAGCAAAATGAAAGTGGTGTAAGGTTCTAACTCCAAGTGACTGGAAACAAGGGAAGGGAGTTACAGTTACATACTTGGTTCAGCTGAATCAGCCGACTTTTTATTCCTTTCAGATCTGTTCAATGGCTCTTTGGGAGGTAGAGTTGTATTCGTTTTCTTCTTCTGAGCAGAGCTGAGGAGTGGGGAAACCTGCTCATCCTTGCTGGTGACAGAAGGGTGCTTTCTCTTGGGAGAAGAGTAGGACCATTTTCCCCCTGGACAGTGAGCAGCAGTGTTCTCATTACTGCTGGCAAATGCTTCACTACAGTCCGTTTCCAATGGTTGCGGAATATTTTCCTGCTGAGGGCTGTGCGTATGACTCTGGCAATTCTCACCTGAGCTCCTGCAGCCAGGTGACTGAATTGGTTCTGTTCTCTGTTCTTTCTGCAAAATTAAAATGAAATGAAAAATTCAGGATGACTCTGGGCAGTAAAAGTGAAGTTTCTTCACACGTGGAAATTTACGAATAAGCTTTCAATTAAGCCCACTGCTGCATGAACTCAAAGGAACAGTGGGAAGAACCCGATTAAGGCTAGGAGTGGGAAAAGTTGCACGGAAGCTCCTGAGCCTCAGATTGCCTCGAATGAGACCACGGAGACAGTTACTACTACAGGCCTCCCAGCTGTTCTCCTCCTCATAAAATTATGTATCTCCTTCCTGCAAAACCTGCCACTCTCATGCAGTAAACCTGGACCGCTATGGGAGGAACATGAGCTCCACCAGAGGCGGGAAGCTCAGAAACCTCTAGATCTCAACATGGCCTTGAGCCTAGAGACCTCTGGAAAATCTAGATTCTTCTAAACCTTTTCAGCCCCATTTTTGAGTGCAAAGCTTTTCACATAAGACTCGAAATCAGATTGCCTTGCTTATGTATCTGAGCTTTTTTATTTTCAGAGTTTGGTACAAACACTATAGGGATTTATATCTTACTATATACTGACGTATGTATGCATTAAATGTAAAATGACTTATATGCCACTGGCACAATTTCTCAATCTTTACTGCTACCAAAACATGCAAAAGTTACTTACACTTGGTAGTGGTGATTTTGGTGAGGAATATATGTTCCATTGATTTGAGAAAACATCACTCCTTCTTTTTCTGCTCTCATTGTTTTGAAAGGTTGCTTCCCTCAAACCAGGAAAGAAATTCTTGGAATCTTTTCTTGTTTTCTCCGGCCAATCTCTTTCTTTATTCTTTATGTTGCAGTCTTTTTTAAAAATAAAGGAATTAGCAAATGAATATACTCTTAGCCATGCATGCTTGTTTTACTGCTTTAGGCATAAGTAGAAAACCTTACGTTAAAGGGGATATTAACAGGGCAACCCTATGCATGTTGCTCAGAGATAAGACTTACTGTGTTTGCTAAGCCTTGATAAGACTGGAGTCCAAACTTTTTTGCAACCTCACATGTTCCAAGTTGAATTCTGACTCTGGAAACTATTCCTCCCTCTCTTCATATATATGTTGTATATGTTTCACAATCATGGTAAGAAATATTTAAAACTTGCCTTGTTCCTCTAAAAAAAGCCACTTTTATTCCTTATTGAAGAATTTAAGAATCTGAAATAATTGGCACCTTCTATATTCAGTTACTGTATTTTTCGCTCCATTGGACGCACCGGACCATAGGACGCACCGGACCATAGGAGGGAGAGAACAGGGAAAAATTTTTTTTCTTGATCTCCCCCTCTAAAACAAGGTGTGTTCAAGGTACATTCACCAGAGCTTGTGGGGCTGGCGGTGGGGGGAAGCGCTGTTTTCCCCCACCGCCAGCCTCAAAGATCCCTGAAGCCTTTGGAGCGCAGCGCCCCGCTGCCCTGCAGAGGTTTGCGCGCAGCCGTCCCCAAGCTAGAGCAGCGAGACGGAGCCCTCCGTCTCGCTGTTCTGGCTTGGGAACAGCCTTGCTAGCTTCTGCAGGACAGCGGGGTGAAGGCACCCCGCTGCCCTGCAGAGGTTTGCGCGCAGCCGTCTCCAAGCTAGAGCAGCCAGACGGAGCCCTCCGTCTCGCTGTTCTGGCTTGGGAACAGCCTTGCTAGCTTCTGCAGGACAGCGGGGTGAAGGCACCCCGCTGCCCTGGAGAGGCTGTGCGCGCAGCCGTCCCCAAGCTAGAGCAGCGAGGCGGAGCGCTCCGCAGCGCTCCGTCTTCCTGTTCTGACTTCGGACTTAGCGGCGCAGCCTGCATTTGCTCCATAGGACGCACACACATTTCCCCTTAATTTCTGGAGGGGGAAATGTGCGTCCTATAGAACGAAAAATACGGTATTCAACATATTGGAACTACCACTCATTCATATATACAGGAAAAAGATATCCATTCTATATCATTCATTAACTGAATTTATGAAGGGGTAGTTTAGTGTGCTAAACATTAGGGCAACCTTGAATTTCCAAGACCCTAACCCTAAACTCGTTACACAGAAATATGTTTCATCAAGTTTAATGGAATTAGCATCCTTACAAAATTTGCATTAAGGCACAAAACACATTTCATGCCCTGTAATCTGTCGAATTTATTTCAAGGCTGAAATGATCAAAGAGCGTGGATTTCTATTTTGTGGAGATAAGAAAACTTTCATAAACTGTACTGCATAAAGTTTCAGAGATGGAGAACCATGTCTTAGTTTGGATGAAGGAGAACCCTAAAATATATTACATAATTTCTAAAATACTAACCTTCTAGAATCACGTCACATCTTTTTAAAGGCAAAAAAGTGCTATGAGTTTCTGCATCTTTATATGGTTTCTGGTCATTTGGCCTTCGTTGAGGTGTCCCATGCCTGTGGAAAAAAATACACCAAAATATTAATCACCCATATGTTTTCAAGAACAATGAGTACTGTTTAGGTATATTTCACGATGCTACAACTGCTTACCTGGTTTATAACCTTCACAATGGTCACTAAAAATAAAACCAATTCATGCTCCTTCAAATAGATCTCAACAAGACTCATAGTCCATCTCTGACAAATAATCTTAGTCTAAGCCCTTTTGTCACGTCATATCTGTGACAACGTATGGTTTCAAGTTAGGCTCACTCTGTCCCTCCTTCCTTCTGTACTATAAGAAGGGAGGAAAAGGAAGGTTGGGGAAAAGAAACATGTTCTATTTCCCCTCATATATGTAATCAGAAATATGTTTACATACACAGGGGCTGCAATCCTACCTTCCTAAATGCACTTAATAGGATGTAAGCCCTACTGCAAACAATGGAACTTACTTCTGGGTAAAACCATGTACAAGATTGTGCTGTTATTAAACAAGTTAACTAGACTTATGTATCAAGTAATGGGTGTTACAAGCAGGCATATTAAAAAATACAAATATAATAAATTGCTATTGATTTAGCATATCAATCAGAAAGAAGCCAGCAGACAATCTCACTATATTTTCACTGCTTTAGCAAATTAAAGGAATATAAATGAGATCTATCTATCTATCTATCTATCTATCTATCCCCATCTTCTGTGATTATATTTCCATTAGCAGTAACAACTAGTTGGACATATCCAATCCTGCTTTTCCACTTGCACAGCAGACTTCTGCTTGCAGAATGGAACTTTCTCTTCTCCTCCTCTACAGCCCCTCGAACCCTCACAATCTGCTTCAGAGGGACCCCGCAGAGCAGATTCTGAGGGTGAGCAGGGAGAGAAGACATTCTGTTGTGTGAGTGTTAGACCCGCATGCACAGCGTTAGACACAGCCCACAGAAAAATAAATACAGAAATCAACAGACACTGTTCAAGGATAACAATTTTACTATTAATATACCGTATTTTTCGCTCCATAAGACGCACCTTTTCCCTCTTAAAATCTAAGGGGACATGTCTGTGCGTCTTATTGAGCAAATGTGTGGTCCCTGGGGCTGGGGGGGACCTGGGCTTCCCCCGCCAGCCCCACAAGCTCGGGGAGCAGCAGGAAGGCTGGCGCAGGCTTTCCGCTGCTCCCCGACCTACTCTTTGGGGCTGGCGGGGGAAAGCCGGGCTTCCCCCCGCCAGCCCCAAAGAGCAGGTTGAAAGGAACCCGAAGCCTCCGGAGAGCAGCGGGAACTCTTAAAGTACTTTGAGACTTCCATTTGACTGAGAAAGTAATGTATAGTCGTACCTCCGCTTACGTATCCCTCTGGATACATAAACTTCGGGATGTGAACGCAGCAAACCCAAAAGCATTTTTCCGGGTTTCACCACCCCGCATGAATGCACAGAAGCAGTAAACCATGTCGCGTGTATGCACAGAAGTGGTCCTCCAGTTGCAAATTCCTTGGGATGCGGCCAGTCCTCCAGAACGGATGCCGTTCAAGACCAGAGGTACCACTGTATTTATTTAGCAATACTCAGGAAAAGACTTCCAGTTTAGTATGAAATTATTATTTTTCCTTGTACCCATAAATGACTGTTTGGCCAGTTAGAACAAAACCCCTCACCTTTCCTAACCATCCTTTTACAGATGGTGTTTTCTGTAACCTCTGTTCTTTAGCATACAGTGTTCTGTTGCTCAAGGCAGCGTACGTAGTTCTCCCCCCTCGCCCCACAAGAACCCTGTCAGGTAGGTTAGCCTGAGAGGCAGTGACTGGCCCAAGATCACCCAGTGAGCTTTGTGGCCACCTGGGATTTTAAACCCAGGTCTCCCACCACACCACATTGGCTCTCATAGTCTTATGTCCAAACCTTATGCCAAGGAAATGAACTCACTGACAAACAACAGCACTTTGAAATGTGGCCCAAAAAAAAATTATTGGCTTTGACTTGCTGGGATATTTTCAGTGAAATAAACGAAAGAAATAGGAAATAATCTGTTATGTTGATTCAACTCAAACACACTGAATTTTGAAAGTTAAACCAAGTGCAAGTATCAAAGACCCACATTTCCCCTCTATCATATCCAGTATCAGTCTTCACACATTTCGCAAGAGTGTAAAATGCAAAAACTACTGCTAAAGTAATTTTTGAAGTTGGTTACTTGTACAGTGGTACCTCGGGTTAAGAACTTAATTCATTCCAGAGATCCGTTCTTAACCTGAAACTGTTCTTAACCTGAAGCACCACTTTAGCTAATCGGGCCTCCCGCTGCCGCTGCACCGCCGCTGCACGATTTCTGTTCTCATCCTGAAGCAAAGTTCTTAACCCGAGGTACTTTTTCTGGGCTAGCGGAGTCTGTAACCTGAAGCGTCTGTAACCCGAGGTACCACTGTACTTACTCCCTATAAAGCTTAATCTGTTGGTTTTCAATACCCAGAAGTCCCCCATTTCAAGCAATCACATACAAATATTTCAAGCCCAAGTGCTATATACAGGCATACTTCATTTTGCTGTGCTCTGCAGATATTGCTCCTCACGAGGATGCGGGTGCAGCTGCAGGCAGCCAAGCCCCCACTGCCCCTCTTCTGGCCACTGAAGTGCAGCTGGCTAGGGCTGCAGCTGGGTTTTCCCCCTCCTGCCCCTTCAGCCAGGGGGGCCTGGCTTAATAGACCACATTATAGTGTAAACATAACTATATGCACTGGGAAACAGTATAAATGGTGTGACTCCCTTTATTGCGGCATTTGCGTGATTGCAGTGGTCTGGAACTGAACCCGGAATATCTCTGAGGTACGCCTGTATTCTGAAGACGCAATTTAACAAATACTGTCTGTTCCCTCTATTATTGTTTGTCCCCCCCTTCTGTTTTCTAGTAAAAGAAATGAAGAAATGCCAAACAACCCATACTGAGTTTGAGTGTTTCTGCTTCAAAGTAAACCATATTTTTCCTCCATCTTAAAATAACTGCTGGCTTGTCACATACTATGTCATAAACTTACGGATTTCCAGTACCCCACCCTTCCATAGTCCAGATGGCTTACAAAAACCAAACGTACAGTTAGTGTAACATTATTGAAATAAGCAAAGCAAAGCAGAATAGGAAGCAGCAGTAGCTGCAAATTAATCTAGTACCCCACAAAAAGTCTGCTGAAATAAGTGCGTCTTTGCCACCTGGGATGGAAGCTCCCTTGGAAAGTTGTCCTAAATTCTGAACACCACTACAGAGCAGACCGTCTGATGTACAAACTCATCACACATCTGACAACAGAGGAACCTGAAGAAAGGCCTCTTAAAGTGGCCCATATGAGCCGCCATCTTCTTTTGGAGGAAGGGAGAGAGGACTCTTAAGAAAACTGTTTACAACTTTCAAGGGCAAAGCTAGCACCTTGAATAAAGGTTGAAAACAGATAGCCAGCTTAGATAAAACATGATTGTGGTAATGTGCTCCAATTTACCAGTTCCAGTCAGCATCCTAGCAGTCACATTTTGTACCAAATTCGTTGCCACTTCAAAGGCATCCCACATAAAGTGAGGAGGCAAGTAATGGGATTGCAGTGACCCCATCATGTACATCCTTCTGCTGCCCAGCTAATAAGCACAAGGAATAGCTCTGTTAGAAACTCAGCTATATAAGCACCTGAAACCTAGGCTACGGTTGCCACAACCGATGGTCTAGTCGCCATTTCTTTTTTACAATGGAGCTTATTAACGTTATTATTATTCATTTCATTTTATGCCACTTTACATTTTAAAGAAAAAAATGGCCAAGTGGTTTACAACACATTAAAATATCAAGTAAAACAATCCAGAATAAAACAGCGACAAGACATCACGGATTGGCTGGCTGGCTGGCAGCAGTGTATTTTGTTGCTGGGGTGCATGTAGCAGCAGAAAACGCTGCTGCGTGCCAGCCAGGTGGTGGAGATGTCAGTCGCAAAACCTGGCAACAAGACATCTTCACTTGGTCACAGTTGGACACGCGACAATCCCAAAAGGTGCCTGGGGGATTTTGAACACTATCTCTATGGCTAAACAGCTGGGCAGCAGAGGTGGGGGGAATCAGTTGGGAAGAGAGGTCTGAGGGCTGCCCAGAAGTTGACCACTGCTGGAGGTGGGCTGCCCAGATGCACAACTTCTGCACTAGCTTAACACAAAGGGACGAAATGAGTTCCAGGTCTTTAGTATGACAGCTCCAGCATATAGCTACAGTTTTATATTAAGTGCTATGACGCAAAGAGTTGAATTCCAAATACACTATAGCTTCCATCATGCTTTAAAAAGAACCTCTAAGCTTCAAGTTTTATATTTTAGGTAGTATGTAGGGATATTATGTTGGCTTCTGATTTATTTCCATGTTGGCAGACTAAAAATTATGAAAAAATGCTTTCTTCCATAAAAGTCTTTTTGGAGGAATAGAGGTGAAAGGCATTATTCTACAGGTAGTGTTACCTCCATGGCAATCATTGCAAATCATGTCTATGAATGAAAACAAAACATAAGCTTGCACAAAAACAAAGGGTCAAAGTTATTCAAAATCCTACTGATTTCAATTAGTGAATTAAGCATGTGCGTAGCTCTCCAGCTGAAACCAATGGCATTTAAAAGTAATTAACTTTGACCGGATTGTGACCAATGACGATTACGTACATTCCTGTATGTATTGTTTTCAACCAAATCATAGTTTTAGTGATAAATTAAGGACCAAAAAATAAAAAAATAAAAATCAATAAATTGCTGAATGACGTACCTTTTAGGTAAAATACGGCTTTCTTGAGAGCTTATTTTTTGACATGACTCTAGGCTGGCAATGGTTGAGGAGGTCTGTTCATCTGATTGCAACTTGTTAGCATCAGATAGACTAGGATCAGTTAAAAGGTGCCTTTGAATGTATTTTCTTCCTGTTTTCGTCCTCAGAACATCTGTCAAGGTAACTTTGGGTTGCCTGCCATACATATAATAATTAGCATTCTGAAACCCATCAAATGAATGTTCGGTTGAATTATTGTATTGAAACTGTTTAAGTAATCCCAAGTTTTATTAAACATAACTATCAAGACGTTTACAATAAAAGTGAAGAAAAACAGATGATGGCAAATAAGTGAAGGGTCCCAAAGGACAGATTCAGATAAGATCTATCAGAAGAAGTGTTACCGATAATTTTAAGCTCCTGATGGCATCTTGGCACTGTTTTATTAAATGTCATGCAAAAAATGTAAATCCACTCTCAACAGAAGAAAAAATGATCAACTATAGCAGATCTTACTGTTTAAATAGCTATAAGCTGACAAACTACATATACAACCCTGATTAATTGTGGTCTTTTGCCATCATTTCAGAAGCCACTGGCTGATATTCTTGGATGTGCCAATCATATCTGCTGACACTGAAGAGAAGGAGCAGCAAAAATAGACCTAGAGATGGCTATCTGCTCAAAAGTACAAGACTATTGCAAAATTATTTTTCAACCAACTTTGTATGCATGAGTAATGGTGCAAACTATGAACATGCTACTGAATATGGCAGGCACTGCCTTCCTATGGTGATGATCCAGGCTAGATCTTTTAAAACTTTATTGTATTATAGTTGATGGCTTCAATTTGTCTACTTTTTTATGTCACTGCATCTTATGTTATGGCCTGCATGCAGGCTTCTGATTTAAAATTCAATTCCTTCTGCATTCTAATGCATCTGTAGCAAATGAAGAGAAGGGAAAAGTGTAGCTTTGCTAATCATCAAGTAGACACTACAGTACTAGGTTTCTTGCTTATTTAAAATATTTGGCTCAAGCCAGGTTCTTACATCTTGCAAGTCACTGACACATAAGTCAACCAGAATACTACAATTCGGGGATGAATGCTTTTTTCTTGATGTTCAGTATAGCTGCACTGAACTATTACCTCTCCACGTGCCTTATCTATCAATCAATTATTTTTCATGTCAAAGGGTATTTTCAATGCAAAACACAGTGTTTGGTTGGGAGGAGTATAAAAGTCCTATGGGAAAGCCAAGGGGCTCACAAAGGAATGGACAAGTTGCTATTGGTAACATAATTATGTTTTCATTGCAAAGAGAAGGACTGAGAAAATAGTCCAAAGAAGATTCAGCATGTGCAGGGGTGGGGTGGGGAGGGGAATAGAGGAAAAACTGCAACTCACTCTTTTCTGAGGGGGAGGAAGAAGCAAGAATGAAAATTCATGTCTCCTGCAGATGTTAATGATGCTAAACAAAAGTTAAGCATTACGAGAATAACTCACTATTGAATAATCCAAATAGCCTAGCTAGAATTAGTCCCACTGTTAGAAAGCAACTAGCTGAAGTTTTACAAGAGACATATGTAGACATATTTAATCTCATTCTAAACAATCCCAAAATGGAAGTCACAAGGGTGCTTCATAATGATGCATTGAAAAGTGAGAAATGGCTAACGTAACAGGGAATACAATTGCATGCAATTTATTTTAATAATATGTAGGCAAAGCTGTATTACGTCTGAGACAGCCAGACTTAACAAAACATACCTTCTAGATATAAAAAGGTTTTGCTGAAGAAGACTTAATATTTCCCGTATCTCTACACTGTCAACAGATGGTGAGGTTTGTTGATCTGACTGCAACTGGACACCATGAGTTATATCAGTTATAAGCTGTGTCTTTATGTATTTTCTTCCTATTTCCGTCTTCAGGACATTCGTCAAGATAACTTTGGGTTGCCTGTCATACATATAATAATAATGATGATGATAAATAAGGTAACTAAAGTCTAAATAAGATACACGAGTTCAACTAAGATTCTTCGGAGGATGTAATAATCCCAACATTGTATTTTCATTTTAGATGCCCTCAGCCAAGAATGTATACTGTATTTTATTTTAGAAAGATGGAAGTAAATGTTCTTTCCACACCTAATCTTTTTACATATTCTTCATTGAAAAAGCTTTGCTTACTATATATTGTGTGCTTGGCCACTGAAGCCTTCTTTAAAGTGAACCTAGTGAATCATGCCTTAAAAGTTTACCAACGCTTGTTTCAGAGGCACCTGCAGTGCACTAATTTATGTCTTCAGAAGTGACAAATGAAAATTAGATGACTTCACTGAAAGATTATGAATGGCAATGTAAAACTCTGCAAAAGCCAAGGTTGGAAATTTTCTGATACAGAATAATCCTAAGGAAGCCAGAGAAATCAGGACTTCAACCTAGAAAGGAAATAGCTGTACTAGAAGAGAACCAGCCAACTCAAAATCCTGGCTAGAAGTGCCTCACAGCTGTGTAATGTCTTCCACTGGGTTCAGAGATGCCAGGAAATTGGAGCAGTCTCTTCTTGTTCCTTCCGAGGTCACTTCAGAAAATCAGCTGGAGTCCAGGACTGTTTAGCAGTGTTGAAATGTCTTTTTTTTAAAAAGAAACTTTAGAACTGTACAAACCAGCAGCTGCTACGCTGGCCAACCATAAACCAAAGAAGAGACAGGAACGCTGCACAGAACAATAAAGAGGCTTCCCTGGAGGCTATCATGCCTTTATCGCAAACACAGCATGTAAACATGGCCTCAGAGAGATTATATATGGCTGCTCCGGATTCAAGTCTGCACAGAGAAAACTGTCACATGCTAATGTATTCAAGATACTTCTTAGATATTTTCCACAAATGTGTGCCTATATAAAATACAAGACCAAATAAAGGAAGTTGCATTTACTTTAGTTTACTTAAAGTCACAGCTACAGTGGTGCCTCGCAAGACGAAATTAATCCGTTCCGCGAGAGTCTTCGTCTAGCGGTTTTTTCGTCTTGCGAAGCAAGCCCATTGACGGATTAGCGCTATTAGCGCTATTAGCGGTTTAGCAGCTATTAAAGGCTTAAAGGCTTAGGGGATTAGCTGCTAAAAGGCTATTAAAGGCTATTAAAGGCTTAGCAGATTAGATAAAGGGGGGGGGAAGCGAAAAAAAACTCTCAAGACTCGCAAGGTATTTTCGTCTTGCGAAGCAAGCCCATAGGGGAATTCGTCCTGCGAAGCAACTTCAAAACGGAAAACCCTTTCGTCTAGCGGTTTTTCCGTCTTGCGAGGCATTCGTCTTGCGGGGCACCACTGTACTTGCATTTTTAAACAAATTGCATCTCCCATAGAACAGCTGCTAGTTCTGTTGCCTGAGAAACGCTAATAGTCACAGTGATGTAGACATGTATTCACTTCACATTTAAGAACCGGCCTGGTTCTTTTACTACTGCTGGCAACAGAGACAATGGTATCTATTTTATAAGATTATTGACTCAAGCCTAAAGTGAAAGTAAAATGAAAGCAGCGCAAGCTGGGCTGCACAAAATAAAATCAGTACATTTATGGAAACATTCTTTGCTTTACGTAGTTATACCTATGATCTACATAACTGGCCATTAAAAATAATATCTGCTTTGTCACAGGCTTTGAAGGCTCCACTGCGCTGAACCCTGAGAGCCACCCAGCAGATCTTCAAGGGTCCCCAGTTACATACTGAAGGGGACAGGTTAGGACAGGTTAGGTTACCCAAAAACCTGTGTAGTCACCCCCCCAACCAGACCTCAAGACTTTTTAAATTACTTTCTCTGAGGATTCAGTAGCTAGAAAAGCATTAGCTAGCATTGGCTTCGCTGTAACAAAAAGGCTGAGAAAACAATGCTTTTTGCTTCCCAGGCCTCCAGTGGCCTTGCCAGCACGCATCCAGCTTATCTTACCCAGTTGCAACAAATCTTGGACACGCTGACGCGCAGGCTTCTCAACCCCCTTCTCCTGGGAAGGGCGCCAGGAGTCCCAAGACAGGAGTTTCTGTTCATGCTCAGGGAAACTCATGAGGCAGGGCTCCTGGGTCGGGGGGGGGGGGGCTGGAGGGAATATATGCTGTGTGCAATGGCTGTAAAAGTTGTACTTGCTTGTGAATTATCACGCAGGTTCCTTCTGCTACCCGGATGGCAGAATAAAAGCTCTTTCTCTGAATTAACCCCTCGGTGTCTGTACTGGCTCCTTCTTCCCTCCCCGGGAGCAATGCTCTTCCCATCCGTGGGCAAGGCCTGAAAGGCTACAATACAAGTCCTCTTCTCAGCTTACCCCTCATAATTCTAGGCATAGCACCAGCCGGGTAGAATAATTTCTATAACAACCAAGAAGCATCGTTAAATAAGGATGAAGCACCAATGCCAACCTTTTTTAGCCTCTAAGAGTTGTTCCATGGGTAAAATGAGACAAATATATACTGTAACACGTACTGAGTCCATGAGACACAGCAGGGAGGGAATCTAAAACAGCCCGGTCCTAAAACCCACTGCTCCAGCACATAATTGCTTGCCATGGGGTATATCAACAGTCAAACCAGTGCAATCCCAAAGAATGTTTGTTTGTCACCTTTTAGAGCTGGGGTGGGGAACTTGAGCTCCCCCCATCCCACACCAGAAACCTCTTTGAATTCTGTGGTTTTAAATATCAGGACATAATAACAATCATCTGTTCCTTAGCAGGTCTTAAAATTAGATTAATACAACCTCAGATGAACAGAAACACATGACATATTACACTGTGTCATGTGAATGACAGAATTCAAATGAGGCTGTGCTTTCTTTTTCCCATGACTGTGTGTGTGTACACCCACACACCAAGAACAAAAAAAATACTGGGGAATTAATAATAATAATAATAATAATAATAATAATAATAATTTATTTGTTTGTTTGTTTGTTTATACCCTGCTCATCTGGCTGGGTCCCCCCAGCCATTCTGGGCAGCTTCCAACAAAATATAAAAAATACAATAAAACTTCAAACATTAAAAACTTCCCTAAACAGGGCTGCCTTCAGATGTCATCTAAAAGTCAGATAGTTGTTTATTTCCTTGACATCTAATGGGAGGGTGTTCCACAGGGCGGGTGCCACTACCGAGAAGGCCCTTTGCCTGGTTCCCTGTAACTTCGCTTCTCGCAGTGAGAGAACCGCCAGAAGGCCTCGGAGCTGGACCTCCAGTATCACAGTAGTGATGGGTGAGCTGCTATGCTTGGCAAAACTGCTAGTATCTGCTGTGTTGTGATAAGAGATGGATCAGGGATTTCTTCCATTTCCTTCCTGTGCTGAGAGGCAGCAGTAGAGGTTAGAGTGCTGAAGCCAACATTGTACAGGGACATGATGGCTGGGCATATTGTTGGTCCTTATGATGTCAGCAACCTGAATCCATGATGGCACATCTATCCAACATAGCAACAATACACTTTCACATCTCTTGACTGTGGCAGCATCACCACCCTCCACTGCTATGCAGTGTTGAAATGTAAGGACAAAGTTCCCCTCCACCTTCTGTTGCCACGAGGTTGACCACTGGTAGTTTTGCCTAGCATACAGCCTCACGGCTCACCACTACATTCGAACTAATGGAAATCAAGGAGGTACCCACAATGAACTCTCTGAGGTGTCCAACCATCAGCCTGATTTTACTAAGAGAGACAAGAAATAGTCTTATAACAATATGTAAGAGAAATAACAGAAAATCTGGAATAATCCTTTAGCAAATAGCAGGACCAGGCATCTGCTTCCACCCATTATGGTTTAATAATTGGTATAAGATTTTCATTGCATTCTATATTATAATATGGAATAATCATTTTTACTGTCACATAAATTGTTACGGGTCTGTCTAAGCAATACATAGAACTTCTGATTATATTTATGCTTAGACCATGTATATGTGGAAACTCACCTGAAAATCATTTGGATATCCATGTAAATATGCTTGATACTGAGATTTTAGATGTGCAACAAACTATTAAAAGTTTATAACATTCAAGGTTGTGTGAATCGTTACAAACACAACTTACAAATAACTTGACTATGAATGTATGTCAGTATTAGTTATTGTAATAATCTATCTCCCATGAGTTTAATCTCATGTATTTTCCTATATAAATTAAAAGTCACCTCTTGCCTTGAGAGCAAACAGAGGAGCACTCTCAGTGGATTATTCAATGACATACAGTCATGGTATTCTCCTCTCGGAGATTCATCAAAGTGAGCCAATAATTTCCCACAAGTATTGCAAGATTTGTTTCTTTGTACTGGCATTCAAACCCAAACTGGTGGAGATTAAACTTCTATGAATATTTTTGTTGTGGTATAGACAATTTTATATTTTGCTGGTTTCATTGCTTATTTTTAATACTGATCACCTCAAGATTGGTGAGGTCAGAAACCTAAATCCCCTAAAGATTCAACTTTGAAGACTATGGCTTCCTAGTCAGGCTGTCTTCTGATTAAAGATGCTTGAACAAGCATATGACTTGTAGGCTGCAATTCCACTTCCCTGGAAGTTAAGTCCCAATGACCTCCTCTGAGCAGACAGATACAGGATTCAACTACATTCTACTAGATTAAATCTGCATACATATGCATATGAATAAAAACTCTCTTTCTTTTTCTTTGCTTTTAGATCGTACACACAGTACCATAGCAGGAATCACCTTAGAAAATATACTCACTCCTATGTGAAAGAAAACAGAATTCTTCTAGAAAGGCACTTGCCATCTAGCGTTGATAATTTACAAAAAATTAAAAACCTACTACCCGATTAATCAGGAGCACTATTTTAATTTTCTTCCTTAACTGATCAATCTAACTGTTTAATTAGCTAAACACTGCTGTCCTACATCATAGGCTTGCAGTACCCAAAATACTCAGCACTGTGGCCTTCAGTTCTGAAGCATCTTCCACTTACCCAAATGCTGGTCCTTCATCATCGATGTAACGTTTCTCAAAAGGTCTTTTTCTTCCCCACTTTGCATTAAAATTGTTATTTTTAGACCTTGATGTCCACTGAAGTTGAGGGTCAGGCGGCAGGGTGTTTGAACAAGGGGGGAGGAGGTGTGAAAAGAGGACAGAAAAAAATTAAGGAAAGCCACTGCCAGCAAGTATTGACAATAATGGGCTAGATGGACCAATGGTTGGATGCAATATAAAGCAGATTCCCAAACAATTTCATTTATTTCAATTACAGTCTTGAGTCTGTGGTCCTTCTCACGCCTTAGACTTTACCCAAAGGGCTGCACAAGCATTCAGCAAATGAACCCAGTTTCACAGTGAATGGAACTCCTAACTCTCTTATCTCGCTACTATAACAAGTAATTCAATCTGCTCCATGTCCCACAAATCTATGGAAATTATGGAAATGGAATGCTATACAGGCAGACACCCCCACCTACACACTTTCAATATATGTGCGACCATGTAAACACAAATTGTTCCAAACCAGGAAGTGACACGGAATCATAATAAAGACAGCACTGAAACGTGATGGAATTGGGGCAGGGGTGGAGCGGGGTATTTGCAAGTTTTTTCAATGGGTTCCAATTATGCGCGATTTGGCATATTGCAGCCCTGAAAACTAGAAATCTGCACGTGTAGCCAAAGGCTGTGATCTCAGACCTTGCATGCGTAGTGCAGGGTGCAGAATGATCTCTTTTAAGGATAGCCTCCCTTCTCCCACCAGGTCTCTGTGCTTAGTGTACCACCATTGAGCAAAAACACTGTCGAAGCTTGGCCAACCTGCCCTTCTCAATAAAGGATTGGAAAACTATGACCCTCCAGATATTGCTGGACTGTTAACTTCCATCACCTCTGACCACTGGTCATACTCTGTAGGGTTGATGGGAGCCCTGTAACTCTTCCCCACCTCTGCTCTAAGTGGAGGCCTCTCCTTATAGCAGTAGGTTCCTTAGTCAAGCCTTCAGTGCACAGATGCTCCCAGCAGAAGCAAAGTCATGCATGTGAGGAGGAGCAGCCTGCTGGATGCGCCATCCATGGGCTGGATGCAGCCAGCAGGCCTCTCCCCATGCCACCCCCTCTCTCAGGCCCCTTTTGTCCTGCTGGTTCCCTCTGATAAGCTGAGCATGGCAGAGAGGAGGGACAAAAATGCAGGATGGGGAGGTTTCCCCTGTACAATTTGCCACCGCCACAAGTAGGGAACAGCTCAGCAGCAGGGAAGAGGAAGCATGACTGAGTCCTGCTATCAAGTTGCCCGTGAATCAAGAGTTTGCTTTCTTTCACAAGGGCAGTTTATTGCCTTTCTGTGGTGTACACTGAGAAAGGAAGCCTCCTTTCAGTACATAGCACAGAGACACTCTCTTTCTCCCTGGGCACTTGCTGCCTTATTGTCTGTGTCTGAGTGAGAGAGAAAGCGGTGTGCATGAGATATCTGTCTGTCTGTCTCTCTGCTTCAGACCTGCCCATTTAAATGGATGGGCTTGCTGAGATGCCGTGTCCTTGCAACAAGCACGTGGGGAAGAGGGGACATAAGTGTTTCTTACGAGAGACCCCTCCTCCGTATCTTGCTTTTATTGCACAGAAAACTGCAGTCAAAATGAACAAATGAAAGGTGTTAAATAGTTTCGTCCTTCATTTTTCATAAAGTGTCAGCTCAATGTGTTATTTATCATTCGCAGGCATAAAGTGCAAAACTAGATATTTAAATACAGTGGTACCTCGGGTTACATACACTTCAGGTTACAGACTCCACTAACCCAGAAATAGTACCACAGGTTAAGAATTTTGCTTCAGGATGAGAACAGAAATCGCGCGGCAGCAGCGGGAGGCCCCATTAGCTAAAGTGGTGCTTCAGGTTAAGAACAGTTTCAGGTTAAGAACGGACCTCCGGAACGAATTAAGTTCTTAACCCAAGGTACCACTGTAGTACACAACATCTTGTGGGATACCACTGTAATTATAGAACATTTAATTTTCAAAACATGAATAATGCTTGCCCTAAAATAGCTCTTCCCAAGCCCTTCACAGCAGTGCAGAAAACAATAAACTTCTGTTTACCTCTTGCAATGTGCGATCCCACGGGTGGGAAAGTCTAGACAGTGGGGACTGAACATGGGCATCATCTGACTGTGAGGATTTCTTCTTTGGTATTCGATACTGGAATGAAACATTGCATTTTTTGCAGCAAAAGAATGGAAAAGAAAACAATAAAACAACATTGAACTCCACACACAACCTTCAAGGAAAAAAGAGTTAAGGTACAGAAACTAGTAAATTATGATATTCGCATTTGGAACTCTGGGCACTGAACTTGTGAGACTTCCGGTGAAGATGGCAACAAGTAAGGCTACTTATCTGTGAACTCTGCAGACTGTTCTGGTTTTAGTTTACTTTTATTTTGAATACTGTTAAAGCATGCTCAGCAGCATTTAACAACAACAACAACAACAACAATTAAATTTGTATACCACCCTTCAACCAAAGATCACAGGGCGGTTCACAACATAAAAATATAAAATGAGAACACAAAATACATAATACAACAAAAACCAATAACCCTTCCCCCACAAACACATTTAACAGACCATAGAATGTTAATCAGGCCTACTCACAGAGGAACATATTCACCTGGCGCCTAGATGGGTAGAGAAGGCACCAGGCAAGCATTCCACATACGGGGAGACACTGCAGGAAAGGGCCACTCTTGTATTGCCACCCTCCTCATGGAGGAGACACAAGAAGAAGGGGCTCAGATGACAATCACAAGGTCCAGGTTGGTTCATACAAGAGCCATTTAAGGCTTTTTAAGTCTAAACCAACACTGTGAATTGGGCTGGGAAACTAACTGATAATCAGTGCAATTGGACCAGGATCAGTGCAATATGTTCACACCATCTTGTCCAGGTGACAAACCTGACCACCAAATTATGCACTAGCTGAAGTTTCCAAACTGTCTTCAGATGCAGCCCCATGTATAATGCAGTAATAGTACAAACATATATCAACGTTACGTATATAAAAGCAATATTCATTAGACATAAGAGTTTTAATTTGCCAAATAGGTCAATCTTACGGTCGTTGTAGTTATGCTCATGTATTTTTCATTTCTAAGAATGTGGCATACATTTGTTTATTTACATGTAAATGTTATTCCGATCCATCCAAATGGTGACATTTTAGAAAAGCTACCAAATATTATGAGCTACACTCCCAAAATAATGGATGCAGATCAAGGACAACTTACTTTAGGCTGACTTGATGATGATTTTTTTCCATGTCCCTCCATAGTTGCTGCTGTACAAGGCAGACAGAAAGTAGCAGTATTGTGAATCATGTTATAATCAGCATTTCCAAAAGTAGCTAATTAAAGTATCATTAGGAGGCAATGCATATTTCCCAGATGTTAAAGGTAGGCACATCCCGGGTGAATAAAAACGTTTCTCTGGTGATTGCTTTCTCCAAAATCTGTATACAGCTCCAAGGCAACTGCTGATCCCAAGGACTTCAAATCATAAGGAGGCGGCATTAACGACATGCCTATTGTTTTCATTTCTGCTACTGCCAAGGACATTAACTGATAAAAAGCTGGTCTGTGCCATTTCGTTTGGCAAGTTCCAAGTTGATTGGGAAACAGAACATCCACCAATCCAGGAGCCTTTTCTATGCTAAGCGCTACTTTGAAAGAAAAAGGTCTACTTGGTACGGCATCTTCTGCATCACAGATTTAGACTATTAAAACAATTCTGACACAGGCCTTGTACAAATGTAATGGTACAATGCAGAGGAAACTGAAAATGCCCCATGGACTGGCATATTCCTCCCTCTTCTTCCTCTTCCAGGCATGTTCCTTCCTTTCCCCCTTTATTCTGCACCCCTTTCTGCACTAGCTATACTGAACGTTATGTGTAAATGAGTCTAAATAGACCCATTGGGTTTAAATTTCTGAGTGGCTTTTGGCAGATTTGACTACAACATCAATAGCCCAGATCAAATAGGTACTGTGTTCTGTCTGGATTTTGAGTCGTGCTCCTCTTTATAATTGGTGCACACTCAGAGAGCCTGTGTGGTGTAGTGGTTAAGAGCAGTAAATTCATAATCTGGGGAACCGGGTTCGCGTCTCCGCTCCTCCGCATGCAGCTGCTGGGTGACCTTGGGCTATTCACACTTCTCTGAAGTCTCTCAGCCCCACTCACCTCACAGAGTGTTTGTTGTGGGGGAGGAAGGGAAAGGAGAATGTTAGCCGCTTTGAGACTCCTTAAAGGGAGTGAAAGGCGGGATATCAAATCCAAACTCTTCTTCAGTGAATCACTAGTAATGTTAGCATATCTCCTTGCGGGTTGACATGTAGTGATCCATAAGGCTTGGTTTGGCAAGAGATGCTGGGAAAGTGGTAGTGTGAGACATTATCTACAGCAGGGTTGGGGAACCTATTTTTTAGCGTGAGAGCCACATTCCCTCCTGGGAAACCTTCAGAGAGGCCAGCGGTAGGCTGACCAGACAGAGCAACAAGTGTAAATGTTATGTCTGTAAAGGAAGCGAGTTCCTACACACATGCACATACCTCTCTGCCTGTCCTTCATCCAGTTAAGCAAGAGGCATTATCAGAGTTCAAGGGCACATCCCAACCAAGCAAAAATATGCAATGTGCAAAGCAGAACCAGCTGGAATGCAGCCTTGGAAGTGTTCTGAAGGCCAGTCAGTGATGCCTGGAAGGAGCCACATTTGACACACACACACCGCCCAAGTTAATGCTAGTTAACTATTAGTGTTGCATTTCTAATTGGGAGAGTAAAAATGATACACCTCCCCCATAACACATACATGTGTGTGAAATAGAGATATTAACCCACCACGACAGCAACAAGAACACAATACAATACAGTGGTACCTCGGCATGCGAACGGGATCCGTTCCAGAGCCTCATTCGCATCCCGAACAGAACATAAGACGCGACAGCGCGTCTGCGCATGTCACGTCTCGCCACTTCTGCACATGCGCGAGTGGCAAAACCTGGAAGTAACGCGCTCCGTTACTTCCAGGTTGCTGCAGAGCGCAACCCGAAAGTGCTCAACCTGAAGCGTATTTATCCCGAGTTATGACTGTATCAATGAACAATTGGGGGGAAACCAAAACCTGAATGTCACTGTAAAAAAAGTTGTTCTCTAAAAATCACCTGACAACAAGAGTCTCACTCTTCTTTCAACAAGACTTTTGTAATTAACAGCTAGCTGCTTGACATGCCAAAATGCCACAGTCAAACCTTTTCTTGGTCTGGAGACAAAATAATAAGAAAAGCTTCATAGCTAAATCATTGTCTTTTTCTGAACTTGAACCTTGCAAAGAAACATCTGTACATCTAGACTGCATCTTTTGTATTGCCTCAATGTTTACAGTATTTTACCTATTCCTGTTATTATCGATGACTGGGTGAACCGGGGATAACACACCATGCATCTGATGAAATGGCCCGAGCCCCCAAGTGCTGATGGCATAAAAATCCGTTAATTTCCAAGGCAATAAAAGGCTCTCGGTTGTTTTCGCTGCTGCAGCAACAAGGACTCCTTTCTGTAAGACAGGTGGGCAAGAGCTTCCTTGTTGTTGTTTAGGACACTTCGCGATACGCATAATACAACAAACCTGGGGATTTGGGGATTTACAACCCCCTGTGTACGTTTAACTAGGACGCGGACGCCAACCGAAAGCAGCCCGGCTTCCTTCCCAGCAAGCATGCACAGGGACTGAGACTGCAATCCTAAACGCATTTACATGGGAGTAAGGAAGACCCACTGGCAAAAGGGCTGCGCCTTCAACCCCCATCAAAAAACACAGATGATCCCCCCCGCTCGCCTCTGATGGGACAAACATCACATTATTTATGGTGCCTGGCAGTATTTAAAATGCAATCACGACCGCAGGACCAGCATCCCTCAGAAAGGAAGCGGATCCGGGCGTGTTCCGGGGAAAAGAAAACAAACCCGCGGTAGGTCCGGCCCCTTCACCACCCGCCCCTCTCTCCTCTCACCTGGCCACGGGAACGCCACGGCCCCCCTCCGAGCGCGCTCGGCTTTGTTGATCCGGAGTGGCGCCGGAGCCGCTTGGTCTGCCCTGCGCACTTCCGGCACAGGCGCCGCCCCGCCGCTTTCTCTTCGGTGGGGTAGCCGAGCCAGGCAGCCACGTGCCGGGCGTTGCGCATCAGCCTTCTCGGCTTTCGGGCCTCTCTCCGCCCCACTTTGCCTCTCCGGGTCTGGCTGAGGAGGCCCTCCCCTCGCATACATCCACGCCCCCCTCCCCTTCATGGTCTTGTTTCGAAACCACAACGGGAAAACAAAGCTTTAAAAAAAAGTTAACGCGGGGTGGTTGCGTTGGTTCATTTAAAGGAAGAAAAATACTAAGCCACTCTTGAATGAGCTTTGCAGCGCGCTTGCCTGCCTTTTCACACAGTGGGTGTTGCGCAAGCGAAGGGAGAAAAAGGTTACTGGGTTGCCCCTTGGAAAAAACGGAGTACAGTATGAGAGATGAAGTGACGCCCTGCAAGATGTTTCTCTGGGCTGGGTTCCAGCCACTTGTTGCCTTTTGCTTGCCCTTTTGTGCTAATTAAGCATAGCTCTTAACTGCTATCATGTTTCCCTTTCATTTTCTCTTCCTAAAGATACACTCTCACCCATTTCAACTACTGTACAGTATTATTCATATGACTTGGCTTAAACTTTCTTTCTGCTTGGAGGTGTAGACACAGTTGTGCTCAATCCCAGCAATATTAAAATCTTCACTTCTGTCTCCAGAAACAGCTATCTATACACACACACACACACACACACACACAGTCATACCTCGGGTTACAGATGCTTCAGGCTGCGTTTCTTCGGGTTACGGACCTGCCGAAACCCGGAAGTACTGGAACGGGTTACTTCCAGGTTTTGGCGGTCGCACATGCACAGAAGCACTAAATCATGTATTGCGCATGTGCAGAAGTGGTGAATCGCAACCCGCGTGTGTGCAGACGCGCCGCTGCGGGTTGCGAACGTGCATCCAGCACGGCTCACATTTGCAACCCAAGCGTCCAAGCTTTAATAAAGATCAGGCTTACTAGTTACTTCCGGGTTCCAGCAGTCACGCATGCGCAGAAGCGCTAAATCACACTTTGCGCAAAAGCGCCGAATCGCAACCCATGCGTGCGCAGACGCGGCGCTACGGGTTGCAAATGCTGTGGGTTGTGAACGTGCCTCCCGCACGGATCATATTTGCAACCCGAGCGTCCACTGTAATGCCATTTGCTTCTGTAAACAGAAATGCTTGCTGAAACAGATTGCCTGCTTTTTCATATGTGTCAAATGAAGTTAGTGGAAAGTTTTCAGATACCCTTTGAAGCTCCTCCCTGTTTTTGTATCCTGCAATCCATCAAGTGCTTTAAGTAATTCAGTCCCTGCTTTATTTTGCCACTAATGGCCTTTTCTTTTTGTGCTCGCCAAAGAAATGTAACAGATAAGGGGCCTGAATTATAAGAAGGTGTGAAGGAGTTTCCCTATGTCTGGTTTTCTCAGGTCTTGATAATAGCCAGGAGTCTCCTGAGAAGGAGGGAGGAGGAGGAAAGATGGGACAGGGTTTACATTTATCTGGGAGTTCCATAAAATTGGAAACCTGAGTTTGCTGCTTCCTCTTCTGCGTGTGTGTATATGATTTTGGTTATATCTTTCTGCATGTAATTTTCTTAATATAAATAAATAAGGGTGCAGTCCTATAATGCTTCTTTGAAAATAACTTCTGTTGAATAGTAGAAATTGCGACGCACAAGTAGATGTTTAGATGTGTATTGTGGGCATATGTAGGTTTACAACCCCCTAGGTATCAAGGTTAGTTTCATACATCACATTCATAAGGAGTAGCCATACAATATTCTACACAGTGCACATTTCAAGTTGTGTGGATTGCATAGGTGTAATGTTGTGTGTGTTTTGGCCATATAGGGCACGTATGGCAGTTTTAACTTGGGAGCAATTTAAGAATTCAGTATGGTGTTTACAGAATTAAAGAACTGGATGAAATGCAAAGAACAAGGAAACCTCAATACAACAAAGATTAGGAAGCACTTTCCCACATTATCAATTTTCATGCCTATCTTTAGCATGTGGTGCACAACTGAGTTTGTAAATTATTTGCCCTTAAATTTGGCACCATAGCTATACTTGATTAGGAAACAATAAGCCCTGAACTACAACATCTTAATAGTTGACTCTATTCGGACAGATCTCTGAAGCAAAATATCCAGAAGTATCTAGAAGCCTTTGCTGTTATTCTCAAGCAACATGAATGTAAGTATGTTCTGTATTTAGGGGTGTCTGTACAGGGGGCCTAAGGGGAGAGGAGACTGAGGGAAAAGTGTGCTTCACAGCCAGAAGTCTTGGCGCCAATAGCCTTGGCACTTCACTGGATACTGTACTGGCAAAAGTCAAGTAGAACTACACTAGAAATATATCTACTTTTTATCTGTTACTACTGGCTAAAATTACCCAGTTCAGAGAATGCTCTGAAGGTATCTACTAAAGTTTTACACTGAAGTATAGTAGGTTTGGGCCTCACCAGCACTTTAAAACATCTAATAAACCTCTCATCATTCTGTGCTACTTTGAAAATGGAACGGGATACAAATGCAACAAATAGAAATATTTGTCACTTTTTAAGTGATTTAAGTTAAAGTTATTTTTACTGCCGTCCCTACCTGAATAGTGATATTTTAAGATTTTCTACAATATTTTTACAAGAACTTGAATACAGATGTTTAAGAAATGTATGGTTTTTTGTTTATGTCATGATCTGTCTGTTTTATTTGTAGTGGTCACAGATGAATGAAGACTTGAGCTTCAGAAAACTAATAAATGGTTCAGAATGTCCAGAAACTCTCAAATATGACTTTAATAAAAATGGAGAGCTTAGGCATATGGATACCAATGAACCTTTTGTTTATGATTATCAAGATTCAGATAATGCTAATCACCGACATTATCAATTTCTTGGATACTTAATTACGCAGTATGTTTTCGAGCTCCTGGAAAAGACATGCAAACTGCAAAAGATTTACATCCCAACAGATGCTCCAGACAATGAACGTTGCAGTTTTTTTTTCATGAGTGAGAATGCATTAACTAATTGCTCAATTCTAGTCGTCCTCCTTCAAGACAAAGGACCTTTTCGTGCAGGTCAGTGGGGACGAAAAGTCATCGTTCATGAAGGCCTCCAACACGGATCTCAAATACCATTCATCTTAAAGGCTCTGCAGTGCTCTTGGGGAGTGATTGTTTTAAATCCCAATGATAACTTCATTGAACTGAAGACAGAACAAGAATGCTTAAGCCTGTCTGTGAAAAAAGACTCCACATGTCCACTACAGTTACCCTTGGCAGTCCCAAAGAGAGAGAGCAGTAGCCCTGAAGAGCATACAAGTTACGTTTGGGACCATTTCATTTCAAAGAGCACAGCGGAAAAGGTGGCTTTCATTGCCCATGGCTATGGAGGTTTGGTTTTCATTGACCTCCTCATGCAGAGAACTTCAGAGGTAATGAACAAAGTAGGTGCTGTCGCACTTATTGACTCCACACACCACACACCGCACCAGACACAAAGCATTTCCCAGGTGCAGGCCTGGATATGGAAACATTGCCGGGAGTGGGTATCACACAGTGAACCTTTAGATAAGTCAATAGGCTTTATGGTGAAAGTGGATTGCCCTACAGTCTCCACAGGAACTGAAAATTATAGCCTGGCTCCTTCCTCTAGTCTACAGTCCATTTTCAATTATCTTAAGAGTGCACTGAAAGTCTTCACTAAAAAACCATTCAATCGTTCACCTATTCTAACAAGGAGCAAATCAATGAAAACAAGTTAAGCATCTGTTATTCATACCCATTTTTTCTTCTAATAGAAGTTTTGTATTAGCTTTAATGATTAAGCTTAACATTGAGGTAAAAGTACTTTATCTAAATATGAAGCATACCATTACCAGTCTAATATTTGTTGTCCCATTTCCATTTCTGAAACTTTATGTGAATGTAAATGTAAATGTAACAACTGTTCCTTGTTTCTGGCAAAACTTCCTTCCTTCCTTTGAAAAGTCTGGGGTTTAATCTGAATAAATCATTGCAATTTTGAGTGGAAACTTCAGTGCATAGCAAAAAGAATGAGAAAACTTTGCTTGAAAGATGGGTTTACCCCTTCATCCTTCCTACGGTATCATCATACTTTGACATAATACAGTTGAGTTTAGTTCTTAATATCTTAAAATATTTATTTTTTAAATAAACCAATTTTAACATTTAAACTCCCACCCACCATCCTTTTCCAAAAGAGAATTTCCCATTTTGGGTTGTTAAACTAGAAATACCTTATATTTCTGAAGATGTAGTGTTCAGCTGATGGCTGGGAAGTTAGGACAGGTAGTGGGAGCAGTTATAACATTTCAGAATAAAAACCCATTCATTTTTTAAATCTTTTCTTCAGGATGCTTCTACGGGACATGGCAGCTCTAGAATGTTAATTATATCCTTATATAGCCCGAAAGCATTTATTTAGTACAAGAACATATTACTCTACTGCAGTTTTTTTGACATATTAGAATTAAATAAGTTGCAGCCTAAGCAATTCCAGTCAATTTCATTGAAAAATGAATTAATGAAAGTCTGTCTCTGAGGCTGACCAATATGATCCTGTGTACAAAAAAGAACAGTCTCAGCTCCTTTCTTTCATTCGCTTTCAAAATGCAATTGGCATATGTTTGGAGAAGACGTGGAATCATCAGCTTTAAGCAGTTCATATTCCACCTGTCACTCCTCTCCCAGTGGGGCATTAAATGCCTTGATACAGAAGGTCATACTTGGGAATATTCTTTGGATCAATTGGGCTTCGTACGATCAGTTTTCCACGCATTGCTCCACGGTAAATCACCTCAATCAAATCTATGAAGTCTTGTTTTGTTTTGAAACTTCCCACAAATTTAGTGTGATCTGGAGATCTAAGTAGGAAAGCAAAAGGGAACAAAGTAAATGAAAGCTAGAACAACAACATAAAAGCTTAAATTCTGAAATAGTCATAGCTCCCAAGTCTGAACCCTAAAAAAACTCAAGCCACAAATCTTCTAGTCTTTAAAGCAGGGATGAGAAACCTCAGGCTTAGGGGCCAAATGTAGCTTTTTGAGACTCTACCTCAGGCTTTGAGACTCTTCCTCAAGTACTTTGGCCAGGCTGGAACATGTTCTTAACTGTGATGTTGCTTTTTGCTTACCTGGATGGAGAGATGCAAACCACTTAACAGCAGGCTGGGGAACCCTATGGGCCCACTTCCATGGGCCAATTTTGACAGGTGGGCTGGATAGTTTTGCATGAAACAGCCCGGCTGACCAAATAAGGCCTGGTGGGCTGGAGGCTCCCTACCCCTGGCTTAGAGGCTTTAATGATTAAGAGGTATATATATCCTGTTAAATGTGGTATACAGTGGTACCTCGGGTTAAGAACTTAATTCGTTCCGGAGGTCCGTTCTTAACCTGAAACTGTTCTTAACCTGAAGCACCACTTTAGCTAATGGGGCCTCCAGCTGCTGCCACGCGATTTCTGTTCTCATCCTGAAGCAAAGTTCTTAACCCGAGGTACTACTAGCAGAGTCTGTAACCTGAAGCGTATGTAACCCAAGCTACCACTGTAGAAACCTTTGGTTTTTGTGTGGTTGAAATGTAGCTTATTACACAAACGTAAGAGCTGCATCCTTCACTTCCACTTTTGCTTGTCCCTTCCCACAAGGTTGTCCAGGACAAACTGCAACCTTCTGCTAAACAAAGTTCTCAGCTCCTGCTTTAAAGTGACAGAATGCATACATGAACCTTGCTGGATCAGATCAAAGATCAACGTAGTCCAGCATTCTGTTTTCCAGAGAGATGGTTCCAGGAAGCCCACAAGGAATTCAAGACAGCAGCTTCAAGGGCAGCTTCCTCTGAACATGGATGTTTTATCCAGCTGCAATTGTTTTCTCCTTGAACTTTGTCTCATCCCCCTTTAAAGCAACCTGAGCCTGTGGCTGTTAGGTTCGCTGTGGCTCCTGCGGGTTGTATCCATTGTTAAAATAATATTCACACCAAACCCATTAATGGACATGAATAATTTAGGTCCATTGATTTCAATGAGTCTACTCTGAGTAAAATATAATTGGATACATTTGGAATTAGGGAGCAAATCCTTTGCAACTCTAGATTTGATATGACTTCTGTGCACAGAAAGTCTTTACAGAGGGTGGTGATATCATGGGCTGTCCCCTGAGCCTGCTAGATGACATCGCAAGGGATCAATGCCTTAGGAGAGCGAGAAAAATTTTCAGGGACGATTCACACCCTGGCCAGCACCTCTTTAATCTTCTACCCTTGGGCAGGAGATCTAGAAATATAATCAGTCGTACCAACAGGCTAAAAAACAGTTTCTATCTGTGGGCTGTTAGGCTGCTGAACGGAAAATAATATAGTGCAACAAACTTTCGGGGTTGGTGTGTTGTGCAACAAGCACACAGAGTGCAATGAGATTGAGTGTTTTTTGGGGGGGAGGCTCGGTTAATTTCATTTTACATAGGTTGTACATTGACAATAAAGGTATTATGATTATGATTGGTTTTACCTCTCAGAATAGACACCTCTCAATGTCTTGTTGCCTCCAATATTAACAAATAGGTTCTAGAGACAAGATACCAAATTTGATTTTTATCCCATCTGGCTATATACGCACACATGTATGTCCATTTGTTTACATACGAATGCTCTGTGCTCCAGTGTGAAAGAAAACTAAGAGTTAAAAGATGATAGGCCTTTATTAGAGCCAGTGTGGTGTAGTGGTTAAGAGCGGTAGTTTCGTAATCTGGGGAACCGGGTTCGCGTCTCCGCTCCTCCACATGCAGCTGCTGGGTGACCTTGGGCTAGTCACACTTCTCTCTGAAGCCTCTCAGCCCCACTCACCTCACAGTTTGTTTGTTATGGGGGAGGAAGGGAAAGGAGAATGTTAGCCGCTTTGAGACTCCTTAAAGGGAGTGAAAGGCGGGATATCAAATCCAAACTCTTCTTCTTCTTCTATTATAGAGATCCTGATTCGTAGTAATGGGAATATCCATAGTACATTTGATACATGCATTTAAAAATCTATGTTGCAATTAAGCAGCCACTCTCCTTAGTGTTAAATAACTACCTATATTGTTAAAAGATTTCTGTACCACTTTTCATTTACAAAAAAAATACCAATTATGTCCACAGTAATAAAACAAAACAATAGTCAGTAAAATATTTATCAATAAAATCAATTAATGACCAAGGACCTTGGAAGCCAGTATTAATAATATTAAGGGTTAGGGAAAGGCTATAGATGTTTAAAATTACTGGGGGGAAGTAGTGTCTTGTGGCACCCACACTAATTTCTACAGTAATGTAGAAGGATGGAGTAAAAATCAGAATATAAAATGAACATAAGGACTTGGTCATATTATGATAAATCTGACAATAATATTTATTAGGTCTTTTGTGCATTGTTGATGCTTGCTAACATCACAAATGGTCACAAACAAATATCATACCAAGAATAGCTTGTACTTGGGTTACATGCAAACCAACTTACCCATAATCCACTTTCATATGCTGCCCGTTGAAAAAGAAGACAGTTGATGGAATATAGCTGATGTCAAAATATTGGGTGTACACTGGCACTATGTTTACATCCACCAAGAAAATTGCAGCCATTTTACTTAAGTCATGAGATGTTTTTGCAAGCTGTAGAGAAAAGGTTATAAAAAGTTATACTGCCCAATATGATAGGGCAAGAAATAGTCTTGAATTAAATTTAACACATTTTGAGAACAGATTGATAATTGAAGCACCAGTGCATGTGGGTTGTTTTTTTTGCGGGGGTGTGAGTGGGTGGGAATGACATGAAGGAATAACTAAGGTCAGTTTACTTCTGGGGCCAACGCCAGCACAACTTTGCGCTGTCAAAATATCAGTAGGGTTGAAGTGTTGGTAATCTGGGTTAGGACCAGGATAACAACACTATCTCTTACCATACAGTTCTATGTAATGTAAATGTTTTAAAGGGGAAAGTAAAATAAACCAGTAAAAATGAAATTTAAGAGTCTTCCAAAGTGACTGATATTTTTACCCCCAGTCTCCTTTTCTCTCCCCTGCCCTCCTGAGTTCCCTTTCTATATTTTTATACTTAAGCCTCTGCTTAAGTACGCAGATGCTGCTTTATTAATAAAACTTTTATTATTAAATTACTTCTTATTAACACGGAATACTTTCATATGAATTCTGGCAGTAAAATGTCCTCTTTTGTTTTGTTCACAGCGGTGGGTGTGGGGGGGAAACTGTGTCTGACTTGGTTGCCCCAGACAAATTCCTACTGGGAGTGCGGGTGAAAAAATGCGATTGCAAGGAGCAAAATTCGCCTGCTCACAATATCGTCCAGCTGCATGCAGACGAGATCTTCATCTCTGCCAAAGCGAAGGACCAGGACTTTCTCGGCCACGCTCTTGATTGCCTCATCCACCTCCTTTTTGCTGCCGAGCTTGGGAAGCAAGAAGCTCATGGCGACTGAGAGAGGTGGGAGGCTCAGACAAGCTGCGGCAGCGCGGCCACCGACCCATGCGGAGCGCATGCGCACAAGCTTCTTTCGCGCAGAAAGAGGGCAGTCGCGAAGCAATTCTTGCAGCTCCCCGTGATTGGCTCGGAAACTGGCCAACCAGTGGCAACGATTGCTCAGCTCCTTCCGAAATGCATGAATGGCCTAGTGACGTTAGCGGAACTATTCAAGGGAGGGAGGGAGCATCCGCATACCCACTTCCGGCGGGAAGGTGATCGGAGCCGGACCGGGCATGTGCGGAGGAGTGGAGCGCGCGGAGCTTCAGTTTGAGGTGATTGTTTAGGATGCCGCCGAAAATATTTTCTGAGCGGGTGTAATGCTGGGATAGCAGAATGTGAACGGCATTACGAACCTTCAAATATATAGGGTTGCCTTGGCGCACGCTGGATTTCTGGGTGTACCTACTCAGAAGTAAGTCCCCTGGATTCCAGCTAAGAGTTACTCCTAGGTAAACCTGTATGCCAGGCATGGCTAAACTTGGCCCTCCAGATGTTTGGGGACTACAATTCCCATCATCCCTGACCACTGGTCCTGCTAGGTAGGGATGATGGGAGTTGTAGTCCGAAAACATCTGGAGGGCCAAGTTTGGCCAGGCCTGCTGTATCCTATAGGTTTGTAGCCTCCATCTGGTTGAAACTAATGGGTTTAAGTGCACTTAGCTGTCTTTTCCTGTGGCTGCTGTGAGGAAGACACTTGAACGAATGTGTGTGGAGCTGGAAGATGGGTGTTAAAAGTGCACAAGGCAGTGAATGTTGATTCCATAGAGCAGCCTTTCTCAATCTGTGGGTCCTCAGATGTTGTTGATCTACAACTCCCACCACCCCTAGCTAGCAAGGCCACAGCTCAGGGATGATGGGAGTTGTAGTCTAACAACATCTGGGGACCCACAGGTTGAGAACCGCTGCCATGGAGAAACAGATAGCTCCCTCTTTTTCCTGCTTCTCCTTTTATAAAAAAGGCAACTGATTTCCTTGTCTGGAGTTAAAAGATCATAGGAAGCTGCTTTATACCAAGCTAGATCAGCGGTCCATCTGTTTTAGAATTTTCTGCAGCTCTCTTAGGGTTTCAAACAGGAAAGCCTACCTGGAGATTGAATCTGGGACAGTCTGCACAGTGCTCCACAACTGAGCTATGGCTCTTCGGTTTCTCTTCCCCAGTGGTGTAGATGGCGAAAGGGAGGTGTCCTGATAAAGGACAACACAGGGGTGAGAAGACTGACCTGGGGGGAAAAACCCCTTAAAAGAGTTATCTGAAGTCTTCAAAAAAGTTCTATATGACATGTAGCTTTTGTGCAGCTTAGAGAACAATTCCATATGATGCTGTAGCTGATCATTGGTGGAGGAAAGTTGTCAAACTTCTTATTTCTTAAAGCACTTTAACTATGTGGAAACCAGTTTTAATATTCTCAAACCTATGTTTTCTTCCAGAACCTGTGGGCTTCAAAGCATAGTAGCAAGTAACTGCATACTTGACAAAAGGAAAGGTAACTTAATATTTCTATAAAACCAATCTTCTTATTTCATAGATATTTCTGGCCCGAGGCCCAATTGCTCCTAGTCCTCTTTTTAGGAATGCAAATTGTGTTTATTGAATTTGGCCACCAGCAATAAAATTAGTTATATATAAAGTTATTTTGAATCAAGGTAGTAATGCAGATGGAGCTCATTTGAAAGCTTTACTGAAATTAGTGGCACCCATGTACTGTAATTAAAGATGGGCATATCAAAAGGTTTTCTGGTCACAGAAAATTTCTGCGAGATTTTCACATGAGTTCATTTACAAGTCTTGTACATGCTGTTTCCACATTAATATTTGGGTTTTTAAAAATGCATTTTGAATGTATTTTCTCATATGAATTTCTAAACATTTTATTTCAAAATATTGAGTTTTTAATAAATGTCTGATGTAAAGTGCATAAGCTATTTTCCCCAGTTAAGAAGACTTTTGCATTATGCTTTGATATTGGATAATGACTTTGTTGCTGATGTAAGCGAAGGACCTATGAGGGTGAAAGGAGAAAAGGCTGATAATTCTATTGGTTCTTCAGTGTTATTTGTTGTTAAAATATCAATGCATGGAGCTATGATAGAGGGCAGGGTTATTGAACTGAGGAACTCTGATGCTCCTCCTTAAATCCATACACTGAGTTTTCCAATAAGTTCTGCATATGACACAAACTTATCCCTCCCTTTGAAGCATCCCACAGCTTTGTCCCACCCCAGCTCTTCCTTTTATGTCCAGCCTTTTATTTCTCAGTATCTATCACATTCATTTCTCCAACTGGCATTTTAAGTTGCCTAAAGTCTCTTAATTTTCACAGTACAATCCTATTCATCAGGCCTCGGGAGCTTGTTTTAGTTTTAGGGTTGCATTCCCTTATGAGGAGACTTCCAGGGGCTGTATGCAAGTGGAGGGCAGAGTCAGGGCAAAAGAGGGTGGAGCAGTGGATTGTAGCCACCCGAAAACCAGCCATTTCTACAATACCCCTCCTCCTCTTCTAGGAAGTAAATGACATTATTACAGTTCAGCGACACATTCCAGGTACACTCAAGCAGGGCATGAAGGAGGGCTAGTGAGGGGGTGTGGCATTGCATAGGAAGGGTCCTGTCGGTCAGAAGAAACACTCAGAAGGCTGCCTTTTGGCCATGGTTCCCCCACTCCTCATTTAAATCTTTACCCTGAAGAAAGTCCCATTGAGTTTACTTCTAGGTAAAGAGGTACAGAACGGCACCTTTAGACAGCTTCATCAATTCTCCCTTGCTCTATTACGAGACTAGAATGCATGTTTTTACTGACATACAAAGTGAGCAGTATACATATTAATGGTATTTTAAGATAGTTAAGATTAGGAGCAGCTTCAGCTTGCTAATACTGAATTATCTTCTGTTTTCTCTGTATAATTGCAGATAACAGCCGAACATCACATTTCCAATTACTAACTTCTAAAATATGCATCTATTTAATATTATTAGAAGATCTGTCTTCCAATTAGCAGCATCAGATGGGACAAAAAGGAGATTATTTTTAATAATGCCCAGCAGAGTCATAACTTGTAGAACTTTGGTTTTGTCGGCTTGGTTAAACAAGGACTCCTCCCCGAGTGCTACTGAGAAACTAGATTTGGATGGATGGAAACATGTAATGCGGTCTGCGCAGCAAGAAGAAGCCACTGAAAGAACATCACAGAGTGAAGAAGATTCTCCTTTAGCGGTTACTAGGGAACTTATTGAGATGTGGAGACTATCGGGCAGACTTGTTCCAGAAAATATTAGCGAAGAAGATTTCAAGACTTTAAATGAATGTCCCACCAAGAGTTCCATAAGGAAGTACTTAAAATTCTTGGCTATAAAAGAAAACAGGAAGAAAGCTGACAGAGAAAAGAAAGAAAAACGAAACGAAGCAAACAAGGAACGAATGCTAAACGCTCAGGAAAATGCTCGTGGTGAGCTAGAAAATACATTTCTCCCTAAGTTTTGGACTAGGTCACAGGATGCCGTGTACAACTGGAGAGCAGCCCAGTCTATGATCTTTGGTCAGCCTCTGGTGTATGATATGAACTATGAAAATTATATGTCACGCAGAGAAATGGAGAATACAGTGAAACAGCTGATGGAATGTGAAGGGGCGAATCGTAGAGCTTTGGACCCATTTCACTTGCATTATTGTAATCTCAAAGCAGGTGATCCGTATCACAAAGAATTTGTCAAACGTTACGGAGAAGCGTGGGACAAGTTGTTTGTGACTGTGACAGAAAAGTCTTATGTTGAAGTCTTTCCAAAAGATCAACTTGTCTACTTAACTGCTGATTCTCCCAATGTGATGAAAACATTTGAGCATGATAAGATCTATATAATTGGATCAATAGTTGATAAATCAATGAAGACTGGACTCTCCCTTGCTAATGCAAAACGGCTGGACTTGGCAACAGCACGCCTTCCTTTGGATAGGTGCTTGCAATGGGCGGAGGGTGCCAAAAATCTCACTCTGGATCAAATGATGCGCATCTTATTAACACTGAAAGATACTGGGAATTGGAAGGAAGCTCTGCAGTTTGTTCCACAAAGAAAACATGAAGGCTTTGTGGATACGTCTTCCTGGTCAAAGCAGCAAATTGACACATGGAAGAAAACAAAGTTGCATGAAAAAATGGCTGGTCAAAGAAAGGCACACAAGCAGTTTGCACAAAATTTCTCCAGGCGGCAAACACAGAAAAACTGGTGGGAAGATGTGTCTTAATAGCATGTTAGCCACTCAGTGTTTGACTGATTGTAATTTTGAATTAAATCAAGATTTAACCTTAAGATTTTAACTGCTTAAACTTTTCTCTAGCTCTTGAGTTGCATGGGTGTCAGCCAAAGTGACACAAGAACATGCTTTTCTACAGAAATGAATGTGACATATTTATTGCCTGTTATTCAATATTCAGTGATAAGTTCCAGAAGTTATTCAAGAGTCCAATAATATCAAAATTTGGCAGTGCATGTTGTAACCTTCACTACCCTATTCTAGTAAGGGAATTGTCTTTCAATCTGTGGATGCCAGATGAACTTCCCTCACAATACTTAACTATAAGATGAGGTCATGAAAGTTTATATCATTCACAAGCACCCTTGGCTTCAAAAGATCCACAGACACTTATGTCCAGGGTGTCAGTAGCCCATACTTGGTAAAGCAGAATAGATTTCTTCAGCCCCCACTGGCTAGCTCAGACCTGAAGCAACTGAGAGTTCAGCAGCATGCTAGGGCAGCACAATGAATTTTATCTGCTTTATAAAGTTGTTGGACAAGAAGGAACCTACATTTTCTGGTAAATTGCAAATATGACCATTGTATTCAGGTATTACGTAGATGTATGTAAATACGAGCTTAGCTGTGGTAGTATTGAAAAATAAATGGAAATTTATTTGATTTATGTTAGTTATGTGGCTGTTTTTTTTTACAAGGAAAAAGCTAGATATTGAATGTTAATAACAAATTGGATCCATCATCATTATTGTGGCTTATGTGGTGCTTTTTGGCCCAAGGGCTAGATGCTTTGGACTTTTATCCATCCGGAATGCGCTGCCAATTTCACTGGATGGCCTCGAGCTCTTGAGTCAAGGAGGCTCCCCCGCTCTAATTCCGCTCAGTCGGTAGAGCATGAGACTCTTTAACCTCAGGGCTTGAGCCCCGCAGAGGGCAAAAAAAGATTCCTGCATTGCAGGGGGTTGGACTAGATGACCCTCGTGCTCCCTTCCAACGACGATTCTCTGAAAATGACAGCGCTCCTCAGCCCTGAACGATCGAGGGTGGCTGGGTGAGGGGGGGAGCGAAGCGCGAGGGACGACGTCACGACCAATCAGCAGTCTTTCGAGGAACACCAATCCCCTTGCGTCGACAGCTAGAAAAGAAGCGGCCGCTCCAAGCCGGAAGTTGCGACCACTTCCGCCAGGAAGCGGAGCGAGCCGAGAGAGCGCAGGAGCCTCTCTAGCCGCCGCTTCTCTGCTCCCGCTGACGGCGCGAGGCGTGGGCGGGCTGGAGCGGCGACGCTGCGCATAGTCTGTGGACGCAGCCGCGGGGAGGAGGAGGTGGGGCAAAATGGCGGACGGCAAAGGAGGCGACGTGAAGCTGAAGCGGCCGCTTCTTGACGGAGGTAAACACGCTGCGTTGCTATGCGAGGCTCTGGTCGGGAGTGTGGGGGGGGCGCGCTTGGGGCTGGGTTTGGGCGGGAGAGGGTCGAGGGCTGGTTTCGGAGGGGGGAGCGGCGGCGGGCTCCAGGTACCACCTTCTTCCCTCAAGAGCCCTTGAGACATTTGGCTGCTTACCGGAGGCGAGTTCGCTGCCTCTGACAGGAGCCAAGTCGCAGCCTCGTCTTTCGCGCGGCTTCTGATGCCCCGTGGCTTCTGTGGGCGGGTGAAGGTCGTTCTGCAGACTCACCAAAATCCCGTCCCCTCCCCCTCCCCCGCCCGGGCTGCCTGAATGCTGCATTTCCCGGTGCCTCGGCTTTCCAATCTGTATCCTTCACAATTCCGCTTCTTCCCTGTCGGGAGTGGGAACCCCTCGTGGAAGACGTCGTAGTGCCTAATATGTATCCCGCCCTGTGGCAGGGCAAGGATTTCAAAGAGCCGCTTGGCCTGAAACATTGCGCTGCTGAAGTGCAGCTGTTTCGTAAAGCAGATGGGCGCCCGTGTAAATAATCCCAGTCCCTTCAAAACTTAGCGCAACATTGGCCCAAGGCTGCAGTCCTCTATAGACGCCACACTGGACTCGGGCTTTCGTGTAGCTGGACATGTGCAGGGTTTGACTACAAACACACACTATTCCCTTACAGGGATAATGCTACAGTAGTTGCTTCCTTCTGAAATTTCGCCATGGCAATTTTTAGGAATAAAACTTACGTTTCCAACTAAATGTGTTCAACCATATGCCCATATTCTCAATTTGGCATTACAGTTTTCATATCTACTTTTCACATATACTTTTCCAGTAATAGAAGTGGACGTGTCCATTATATTTGAAAGGACGAATGCTGCTTGCTAGTTTAATAACTAACAAATGGCTTGGATGCAACTTTTCAGTATTTTTAAGGATGTTTATTAACTTTCATATTTAAAAAAAAATGTCAGAGGAGTGTACCATAAAATAAAAATGAATCCAGTAAAATTACGCAATGAACAGAGGCATGTTTGCATACAACTGATATCAATGTTCTGAAAAATGCCTGGGGAGACAGAACAGTGTTAAGCAGGTGTTAGAAACCATCTTCTCTATGTATCGTTATAACTTTTAATGTCTTAAGAACATAAAAGAGCCCTTCTGGATCAGTCCAAAGGCCTATCTGGTCCAGTATCCTAGTCTCTCAATGACTATCCAGATGCTTATGAGAAGACTGTAAGCAGGACCTGAATGCAACAGTGCTCTGACCACCTGCAATTCCCAGCAACTGATATTCAGAGGAATATTGCTTCCAAGTGTTGCGGAAGAACATAGCCATTGTGGCTAGTAGCATTCATAACCTTCCATGAATTTGTCTAATCCTTTTCTAAGAATGTAGGAATGTGCCCTGTTAATCTGTATAAAGTTAGCCAGTGCACATGAAGAGATACAATATTGGTGCTACCCACCCGCAGTATTACACAATTCCCACTGTAGACTAGGCCAGGTAACATTTTGGGATTAACTAAATATAATGAATGAATTGAATAATAAGAGATGGACAGACTTCCCTTTTTTTGCTGGTTAAAACAACAACACAGTAGTATTCAAATATAATGCATGGTCAAAACCCTTATTGAGTACAGGCAACTCCCGATTTGTGCAGGGGCCCCATTCCTGGACATTGCTTGTGTTGGCGAAGTGCTCGTAAGCCCCCTTCTTCCATCTTCTGGGTCTGAAAATGGCCTATACATGTTTGAAAAGGTACAGGGCTGTTTGTAGCTTGTTTTTTCTTGAAAAATTAGCTGTATGAGGCAGAACAGTGTCAAAGACACTGGTTGTAATGTCAGCTCTGCTTTTTATCCTAAACAGTTCTCTAATTTGAGTAACAATCCCTGTAATTTGAGTACAGTTGCACACTGTTTGTGAATTTGTCAAGGACTGCAGCCATTTCCTCTTCTTTTTCCCTGCCCTCAGCATCAAAACTTAAGTCATGTGTCATTTTAGACTTTTTATGGTGGTCACATATTTTTAATCCTGATTTCCTTCTTTGAACCCACAAAGTGCTATATAAATACAAGTGCTATATTCTTAAAAGATGTCAAGCTTTTTTCACTGAACTTCTTAAAGTCAAAGGATGGAATTCAGTTAGTGCCTTTGCACTTGCAGAAGGTCTTTTGTTCCAGCAGATGCCTCTGCAAATTAGAGGGGAGGCATTTCTTGCTGATTTCTTCCTGTACCACCTTCCTTGCTATTCAGCAGGACTCCCAATTCTCTGTGTCCAGTTTTTCTGGGCACTGTTGTAGGGAGAAGCAATGGACACTGTTGCTCCTTAGTAGAGGCATCTGTGATCTGCTAGATCAAAAGCTGTTCCATGGGTGCAAATACACCAATTAGATTCCACCTTAAGAGCTTTATTGTGATGTAAGCATTTGTGCTTTAAATATCAGTGTTACAACTATAATCTAAGATGGATACAGTAATGAGTATAAATGGGGGCTGTTCAAAGCAAGACCTCTAAAATTATTCAGTCAAGACGTGTGCTTTAATAACTTGCTGTACCTTGATCTGAATTGCCCTTGGCAGTAGTAATAGTGGTGCCCTGTGGCTTTAAAAACTTATTTTGATTTCTTTTTGTGTAACTGAAGAATTTTGTTCTGCATTAGTCACGTGATTGGAGCTCCCTTCACTATATGTCTATGTTCTTACAGTGTGCTCTGTATAAACAGTTGTGGAGGTGCTGACACTGTAAGTGCAAAAGTCTCCTCTGCATAACAGTGCTTTATGAGGTTGCTGCTCCCATCAGTCCACTCAGTAAAAATAGCTCATCTTGGTAAGTTGTTTCGACTTCACCAGGACCTGAAGAAGAGGCAGAAAAACCTGTGAAAACTAAGACTGTTTCTTCCAGTAATGGAGGGGAAAGTTCGAGTCACAGTGTGGAGAAGCCGGCAACTGATGAAGAAACTGACGACCCCGACACAAAGCCTGCTCCTGCCAAAATGTCCAAGTTTGGGTTTGCCATTGGCACACAGGTTGCAAAGAAACCACCTGCAATATCCATCAAGCTTGGAGCAAATGTACGTTATTGGAATGTTTTATTGTGAATTATAAAGTTGCAGTGTCTTTTTTGTGGTAGCATGCTAGTTAAGTAGTAAAAAAACAAATTAAAGCTTTTTATTTCATTATTCATTGATCAATAAACATTTAAAATATTGTAACTGTTACAAACTATGTATCTGAACCCACATGCATGTCCAGCATGCACGTGTATTCATACACACACTGCCAAGAGTTTTAGGATCTTTTGCTAGAGTTATGGTGTACATCTGTTATGACTATGTGTCTACACTTAATCTTATGCCCAAAGGAAGTTCTTACACAAAAGGATTAAAGAAAGCTTGGTTTATTATATGAAATGAAGGTGACAGAATAGATATACAGGCAGCAAATCCTACAGTACCGACACACTTTAATCTAAAGAGTGAAAGAATCCCTAACTAATCTCAAAAATCTACAGAAAGTGAGTGTGGCAATTTTGCCACAGAACCCACACTAGTAGCAAGTCATGAAATGGAAGCAGGGTAGATTATGCCTGTCCAGGTATACACAATTGGAGCATGTGTTGGCTCTTTAAGAACGCTGAGTAAGTTATTGGTTGGGGCTTCAAAAGCTAACTAACAATTGAAAATCTAGGGGTTTTGTATTAATTTTAGGCAATGAATTCTAATGAGGAGGAAGGTGGGCTTTGAGATAAGCGTTTCCTATAATTCCAATCATTCTAATGTGCTAATGAATTTATCCTAGTTTCCTGTCTATTTCCTATTTTGCTTATTTGCTTAATAATATTTTCATTAGATTTACATATGATGATCTTTACACAAGGAATTAGGAGTGCTGTATGTCTCCTAATGCTTTCCAGGACACATTTGAGATGAGGTTATGCTAACCTTCTTACGCATGCCATAATCAACAGTAATAAATTGTAGAAAATGTTCAGATTGACATACACCTATTCACAATTTCTTGTGAATTATAAAGTTGTATAAAGGTGTTTTTTGGGGTAGGATGCTAGTTAAGCATAAAAAATAATAAAGCTATTTATTTCAATATTAATTGATCCATAAACATTTATAATAATACACTGCTGCAAGGGAATGAAATTCTGGAAGCTATTGGTGGGTGTGGTGTTTGCTTGAAAAAATTCTTTTCAAGTTGGTGATTTTTGTTCTGACTTGGGTGCTATGCAGTACTGAGTACATAGCAAAATACTGGTGGTATTGTTTAGCTACACTGGTAAAAGATAACTACACTAATATATTCTTATATCAATAAATATAATGCATGAGCCTTGGCTAAAGGTACAAATATCCATTGACAAGCATCTAAAGAACTTAAGGGGCTTATTGTTGTTTTCTAAACTATTCCACCTTTCAGTGGCTAATGGGGATTTCCAGGTAGATTTGGGAAATACCACAAGAACCACAAATACGTATAACAAAACAAAAAACCCTCACAACACAGGACAAAAAACAAGTGCTGTCTTTGTTCTCTTTCAGAAACCTAAAGAGCCTACTCCAACCCTAGCTCCAAAAACGCTTTCTGTAGCAGCAATCTTCAACGAAGATGAAGATGTAAGTACATATATTTTCTTAGAATAGAGAAGTATGGTGTTCTCTGACCAGGACAAGTATGGGTACAGGAAAGAGAAAGTATCATATACTACTAGTCCAATACAACAAACACATGGGATTCTGCTAAAATCTGAAATCTGTAAATGCCCTTTGAAATTTGAATTTCAAATAATTTAAACACTTTGGTATGAGGTCCAATATTGTGTCAGTGGTTTCCCCTTCTTCTTGAAGCCCTGCCCCACCTCCTGTTTGCTCTGGAGGGGACACATTTTGGTACACAGCAGGGGCCTTGCAGAGAAGAGAAGGGGCAAGCCCATTTGTGAGAGCAGAAGCCAGCTGTGCCAGCAGGCACCATAGTTGGGTATCACTCTTTGTTTGCCAAGCTGTCTTGAAAATTTGACAGTTGACATTTCCCCCGTTTCTGCACAAGGCTGATATACGGTACAAATCTAAAGTATTTTTCCAGCCTTCGCTTTTTTCAGACTTGGAGTAGTTTTTTTATTCCTGTGTTTCTAAAACACATCACTACTGCCCCCTGGTGTGTGAAACCAATCGTCCCTCTGACTTGAATTTGAGTCTGTTATCTTTGCTTCTTAATAGAACTGGCAGTAGGCAGATGAGAGAAATGTAAATGCTATGTGTTCTTTGAGTGGGGAACTTGGATCTGTTTTGGTTTTTGTCTTTGGCAGTATTGGTGAGAGAACCTTGAATTTTAATTTGAGAATAAAAAAAGGTTCATGGAAGGGGGCATGTGTCAGAAAAACGTGCATACTTCTCCCTGGCTCAGATCTGATCCCTCTAGATATAGAGCTGCAACTGCCTGCTTTGTTCTGAATGTAAATATAAAGTTAATAAGTGTAAACATGAATTTAGAAGAGGCTTGTAATGTGTTCGTTATTTCATATGCCACAATTTTACTCCTACTGATTAGAATTTGTAACTGTTTTCTTATGTTCATCTTAGAGTGAACCTGAAGAGATGCCACCAGAAGCTAAAATGCGCATGAAGAACATTGGAAGGTAGAGTTGCACTTGCTTGTTATTTTAGGAAAATATGGGGTGACAGAAAGATGTTCTACATAGTAGCTTTTGTAGTTTTGCTTTCTGCAACAACATCATTTCAAAACCTTTCACAGTTTTTCTTGTTATGGCCAAAACTATATGAGATCTTCTCATCCCATCCTGTCTTGTCTCTTCTGTCTCATACCCACTTTTCACCCCGCTCAGGTTATGTCTTTCAGTACAATATTTTTGAAAGTTATGTAATATCTCTGAATCATAATGACCCAAAACCTGAGAGTTTATGGAAGCTAATCTGGAAAAAGTATCTTAGCACACTGAACAGTCTGTGACTGTTCATTATGCAGATACAACTTTTATTATAAACTGACTCTAAGGTCATGGTCCATCTAGCTCTAGGCAGACAAGCAATATTAATATATTGGGGTTTTAAGATCCAACATATTCAAAGTGTGTGTGCATGTGTGTACGCGCACTGCATAGTATTCCCAGGTTCAATATTGTGGGCATTGTCACTAACTGCTGCTTAGTAGCTGCATAGAAGACATTTCTGCACTATATTTTTTCCATTGTGTGAGAGTAGTTCTAGAGAGGCATCTTTCATTGCCTCACAATGAAAGATATGATGGTGTTAACTTTTCTGCACAGCAAACTTAAGAAGGTACCTACTGCATGTTAGCAGGTTAGCATGTGCACCTGGACTTCTAAACCATTAATATGAAACTGATAAAGTTGGCTACATGCTTTTTTTTCTGTTATCACAGGGATACTCCAACTTCAGCAGGACCAAATTCTTTCAACAAAGGAAAGCATGGGTTTTCTGACAACCAGAAGTTATGGGAACGGAACATGAAATCTCACCTTGGAAATGTCCGTGAACATGATGACTAGTTGTGTATTGAGATCTGAGTGTTGGGAGAAATGGGAGGGTATGATATTAAAGGAACAGTTTCCTTTTTTAGAGTGGTGTATGGCTATTTTGGGTGCCACTTTTAAAAGTTTCTAAGTGGTGCACAAAAAAACTGAGTTTAAAAGTAGAGGTAATTTATGTTTTGTATACAGATTTCAAAGCATTTGCTAATTTTGTAGCTTCGTGCAATTAATTTCACAAGGTTATGGAAAATAAAGACATTGGAAGTGGTACCTTTTTAAGAATTTTCTTTTACAACTATTCTTATATGAAGACAGAGGAAAGGTTACTGTCTCTTTAATCCATTTAAATTAAATGCTGCTGCGCTCAAGAATTCCAGCTCCTACTTTGTAATAGATTGCTTGTCTCCTTAAGGCTACTTTTATAGAAGGGGAGTAACTTGCTATACATTGAGTTTGATAGACTCTGGCTTTCTGGTCAGCATAGAACCTGAAAAGACTACTGCAAAAAGTCATTTAGTATTTTAAACATCCATAAACTCAGACTTCTGACTGTGGTAGTTTAGCTCTATAGTCCTGTTTAGAAACTTTGTGTAATTTCTCTGTGGCCTGTTCCACTCTTAGACATCAGTCTTACATGTGTATAAATATTAGGAAAAAGGTAAATCAGTATTTTGATTGTTTTCTTAATCATGAGTCTTGACCAGTGCTTGTTAATGTTCCTTTGTCAATTTGAGACCGATAAAGAATATCAGCAGAAAAAGGCATTACCAAAATGATGATTGTACTTTTATCCTGCTTTAGTTTTGTTTTCAATATTTCCCATAATCCCTTAAGAGGAAAAGAAAGCCACACACCAACCAACCAACCAACCAACCAACCAACCAACCAACCGGTAGAAGCATGTATCCATATTTTGGTTTAAAGCTTTACTTTAAATGCTAGAAGACCTTCATCTTGTATTTTTAAGTAAGGGACACTCTTGGATTTTCAGACAGCATTTTAATCCACTTTAGTTTTGTCATTAAAGCAATCTGTACAACATAACTTTACACTTTTATCCCCAGCTGTTTTACATTTTGTATTGCTGGAACACTGTTGAGACATAATTTCTTTTAGCAATAGAGTTTCCTGTCAATTCTTATTTCCCTAATCTACCTGGACAAATACCTAAAACACTTGAGGACTTTTCAGCAGGATTTAAGTTGTGTAAGTAGTCTGGGGTTAGGTAATATCAGCAGTCACAATTGACTGGCATAGCTGAAATAGATAAAACACTTCAGAAGCAGTATATGGGTCTAAATTACTAGTTTTCATATGTAGTGTGAATATCATGATCATATTATAGATCACCTACTGTATGTTAGTCACTCTCACTTCAGCACAACGAGATTATCTGGTGAGGGAAATAGGCATCCAAGTTTTCTTTTTACAATTTAGAAGAGCTTTGACCATGTAGACATCTGTGTGTAAGATCTAAGCAGTTTTGTATTTGTATGTGAATTTTTGTTTGCAGTTAAAAATCTGTAACGTATATTTTCTTTAAAGGCTTTGTTATAAACATAAGAGATGTAAACAAGTTATTTCTCTATAGCTGCAGTTGTTGAATTACTTGTGAAAGTTCAAGACTTTAAAAAAAGATGATTTATCTTGGCTCCTTATTATTGAAGCCAATGGCACAATTAGCCCTTAACTAACCATTAATCAGGGAAAAAGAAAGATGGCACTTTTAACCATTTATGTACCTAAACTCACCACACACACAGCCCTTCAATTTATTAATTCATTTATAGCCTTTGGGTGACCAATGCCATGGTCAGCTTTAGCCCAATTCTAAATAATAATCTTAATGTGTGCTTGTTTTCAATACCCTCCCCACCATCAAAGCAATGAAAAAGTACACAAATCCTTTACCTCTGGCCTATGATATGCTAACCTCTTGAAGTTTCACAAGAACTCTTTGAAGGAGGAAGGAAAAGTCTGGAGTATTTGTCATGATTTATTTCCAAGTTGGGGAAGAAATGGTGGGAACCAAAAGCTGTAACTTATTCTTCTTTGAGCTTTGCTTGTGCTGATGCTGTATAATCTTTAGCCATGGACTCTAGCTGAGGCTAGTGTTTTTAAGTATAAAAACTTGTCAAGTAAAACTAAATTCCATGTCAATTTCATGTATTATAAACAAAGGAAATGGTATATATGCTTAAATTTACCAAGGCAAGTATGAACGCAACCTTCTTTTTTTACAAAAACCCTTGGCTAACGTCACTGTCTTATTTGTGTGTACACAAATTTTTCTCCCTGCTACATCTGACTAGCCAAACTTCTCGAAGTGGAGAATTTATTTAAGATAAAGAATACTTCCAGATCAAAGGAGCTTCTCAAGGCCACCATGAATTTCAACAAATTATGAATCAGACTTGGAAACTATTTTGAAGAGAGCAAGATATAAGATGTGCTTCAGTTAATAATTTACCATCCTTTAATGAAGCACCTGTAAGTAGTATGTTTAGCTTAAGCTATCAGCCCTTCATTTTTCTGATTTGGAATACTGACCACTGAAGTGACTGCATTACTTCTACAAAAGGCAGGAGTTGCTTTTTCAATTTGTTTTCTTATCACAGATTTCTTTTGGTGTAGAAAAGAATTTTTCAAAGTGGGTTCTCATGATTCCTAGGATTTCCCAGTGAGATCAGTAGTGACAAATGTACTTGGAAAAACTGCACGTTTTCTGTTGCTGATCTTTAGTCTGTGCAGCCATTGGAGAAGTCTGGGGGCACTTTCATTTCTGGTGATGATGGCCAACAGGCATGGCTACTACCCTCCATAAACTCGGTGTAAACCTTTTCCAGTCTCCTGCTGCTGCGGGTTCCATGATGAGTTTGGACAGGGCTTTGTGAAGATCTGAAAGCCACTACTTTAGAGGATTTGATATGTTTGCATGCTAACCTCTCTGCAAACAAAATATTTGTCATTGCTTGTTTGTCAAATAGAGGTCAGGAATGGGTGTCTAGAGCATTAACCCTGGTTTTCAGGATGCTTTTTAAAAAAGCAGCTTGCTGTCAACTGCCTTTTTCAGGAATTTCAGTGTGCTGTTCCTGCTCCTTTGCTTTGTCTGCTTATCTCCAGATCTGAACTGGGGTACATCCTGCCAGCTCAGCAGCCTTCACCTTGATTTATTACTTTTTAGCAGGCTGAATTTGGCAAAATTTCAAGTTATGGTAATAAAGCTGCACTCACGGAGGTTTCTGAATCTCCTAAATTAATCTAAATTAAAACTGCTGTGTTGCCAAAATGTTGGTCTGCTCTGCTTATACAGAAGTAAAATGTGAAATAAACAGCAGAGGGCCAGAACATTTGTGTGTACATATATAGAACTCAGTATAAAATATGAAGCATTACAAATAAGTGTATGACCAGGCTATTACTCTATAAATCTAGCACTGTCATACTATAGTTGGCATTATACAATAAGGCTGGTATTGCCCCCAAAGTCAAATGACAGCCTCTTTTTGCTGAACTAAATAGTAATGGGTACTTCATCTTGGTGTTTGCTGTTGTTTTATTGCTTGTGATACATTAACAAGAGTATTAAAATTGTACTTTTAAATGGGTGGCAAGAGGTTACCAAGCTGAGAAGGCGCCTGTATTTCTAAGAGCCGCTCAGAAAATGATTTCACCTAAAGCTATCATTTCATGTACATGCAGTTGCAGTGACAAGAAATGCTGTGCAGATGAAAATTTTGGTTTGAATGAACTTTAAAGGGATAGGAGCATCACTAAGAGCTGGACCTACCATCCCTACCAACAAAAAGAAAGCACACTGTTTTCTGCTACCCATCCCATTTCTAGTTTCATGAGATCACTTACAGTATTTAACTTAGCTCGACTGAAACTGAAGTACAAAACACAAATTCCTCACTACACGCAAATTGTGAGCATGTTCTACAATAGTCCCATCTCCTGGCACAATATTTTTATGTGGCTCAAGATATGTAAAATTCCTAAGTGCCAGCTGCTGGTTTCCAGGCATTGGAGCAGTTCCAGTTCATGCACCTGTGGCAAGCCAGTTAGAGGTACTTCAATGCTGTTGATTTTAATTAAAATGTGTCATCACAGGTGTAACGATTGGAGCGTAGCAACATGTTTATTACACTATTTAATCAAATTACAGGTAGCATTTCAAAATCGGGAGCAAGCTTAAGTTCCCTAGAACACACACTATCATACTTTCGCCACCTTTGCTTAATATCTGGCTTGCAAGAGTTCTGGGAAACTCAAAAGCTTGCATGCTGTTTTGTGCCAGCACTATTGAATCCTAAAAAAGGTTTTTTTAAAAAGTTCAATATTGTATACACATCTCAGAAGCTGTCAAAATGAATCAAATCAACTGCAAGAAATAAGAGCAGGTGCTGACTTTTAAGACATACCAGTGCATCTTTACAATTGTGGAGCTCCTTTTTCGGAGGACCCACATTGTGGTTTCAGGAAGAATGAAAATATATCAGGGAATCTGTTGCTGTCTAAGTTTTGTTGTCATTTGTATATTTATGTGCCAAGCTGGTTTGAGGCCTTTTGTTAGAATAGCAGTAAACCTATTTTAATGAATTATAGAAAAACGTGAGACGATGCAGCAATAAGTAAACCATTTTGAAAAGATAATGTAAAACAGGCACTAGGAAATTAGGGGTGCAGGGAACAATATTAGTCATTACTGCTTCTTTCTTGGTTCAAGAGAATGTCTTGTAATTGGGCATTTCAGGGTGACGAGTTTTGCTTATAGAGTGATATTTTCCAGAGCTGCTTGGAGTATGGGCAACAGATCCTAGGTTCTAATACCCCACCACTACCACTGGGTACCAGTAGGGATGTCTGGGATGAGGTTTTTAACCCAGCAGAGGAAGACTACTGGCTGCAAGATTTCCGCTCTAGTCGAAACTCCCTATTAACTTCAGTAGCTGTCAAAGCCTATGATGAACCTGGGTTTGTCCAGTGGAAGATATCTGTCAGGCATGACACCAATTGCTAGTGCTACTCTTGCCATTGTAAGTGGTATAGTTAAGGGAGTACAGCTTCGGAACTATTAGAGCAATAGTGATGTCATCTGCTGCAGCACCAGGGTAATGGATGGTTCCTCTTTCCTCTGAAGAGTTAATATTTTGACAATACCTTAGCCTCCAATACTATACTGCAACCTTCCCCAACCCTTCAGATGTTCTGGACTGCAGCTCTCATCATGGCCAATGCTTAAGAGATTATGGGAGCTGTAGTCCAAAAATCTGAAGGGTACCTGCATGCAAGAAGGTTGCTTTTCTGTAACCAAGCCAGTTGCATATTCAAGCCCGTTTATCCTTCCATTTCTCTCTCCTTCTGCGTTGTTGGCATCTGTCTCGAGAGACAATGGAATGCACCTCCAGGGGTGAAGTCAAATCGCTGCTTTAGCAGCATTGAAGTGACCTCCTTCGGGCTCAAGTCTGGGCAGTGCGTATGGAGGTTCTGAGCTGCCTAGACATTACAAGACCCCTTGCTGATGTGGTTCAAAGGAAAGCAGAGCTTGGCTGCAGGAGTTGCTGGAAGGAGGCATTCAGGGTGCCATCCAACCATCTTAGGGACTCCACTCTTGAGGGTTTACTCCTTAGCCTTTTCTTCTCCTACAGATATCCTACAGGGCAGCAGAGGTTTAAAATCAGTTTTCCTTCTCCTAGATGGGCTACCTTCCCAGGTTGACAAGCGCCATCTGCCCCTCACGTCTGTCCACAGCATGTGCAGAAACCACCACCTTGACTATTGGACCCACTATTGGTCTTGTCCACAAAATCTGCCAGAGCCTGTATTCACATGCAGGGGAAGCCCCAACCTTACTGAGGGTTTGAGACCCATCACCAACCCTCACCTGGTTTAGCTGGCCAGTTGAAGCCATTTCCAAGGGTATGGTCACTGTTTCAGGCTGACAGCTTCTAGTAGCCACTGGTGAGAGCTGAGTGCAGGGTGGGGACCAAAGGTGGAGAAATTACTACAGAAAGAGCATAAGAGGTCCTACCCCTTCCAGTTCATTACCTACAATGTAACCACTTTGTGAAAGAATAGCCTCTCCTATCCTTTGAACAGAGAAATTACATCCCAGTAGCTCTTTTCTCTTTTTCTTGCTTGTAAGTCCCTTGCTGTAGATACCTTCTTTATATAGTACCATGTACATGCATACAATATAACAGTACAGGAATACTTTTCCAGTTTTAAACAAGCACTGGTTTGTTTTTACTATTAAAATTTGTGTTTAGATTTAAGGTCAAGACTAAAATACCTATACTGTAGATTGATATAATCCTGAGAATTTAAATTTCTGCAATAGTAGGGCTTCTTGCCGTCACTGGAGGAAGCAATGTTTCAAATACATCACGACTGAACAACAAACAACTTCACATCTTTTCTCACACCAACTAGCAACATAACACAACAGTATTCTTTAACTGGCTATCCTTTGTTTAATGAAAACAAAGTGAGACAGATGAAAACTTGGACCCCTGTAAGTTAACTACTGTTGCCAGGTATCAGAATTTCAACTGGAATTTCATGATTCGTTTAAGATAGGTGAAAGCCTGAACTAGTTATGTGTACAGTAAACAATTTAGAATGTTTAGAAGCAGGCATCATTACTGACACTATAATATTTTAAACAACTTTTGAGATGAAGCCGCGTTGCCACTGACACAGATGTTGCCATACTGGATCCACATGGTTGTGCTTATACCCATTCAATCGCTGGCTTGACTGTATTTTTAAAGTAGCGGGGGGACGGGGGACGGGACTAGAACCTGTAGCCAAGTCTGCTCCCATTACACGTCCCTTGCCTTCATGTTTCACATGGTTACATTTTGTTTTTTTAACAAGCATACTGAGTTCTATAGTCCTTGTGAATAGTTTTCTTGAATATATGACTAATCAAGGTATACATAATTTACAGACACTAAACAATTTTGCTTTCTGCTTCAGTAAATTGTTACTGGTAGCTTTACAAGAGACAATCACCACTTACAATCTGCAGAAAACAAAGACTCAATATCCCCATTATGGGAGGAGATGCTGTACTTCATATAAGGCATTGGTTCTGTTGGTCTGTTTTTACAGAGAACAGGTAACAGCTTAGCTCCTAATTGATTCAGAAATTAATTTCTTTACAAATACAAACTTCAAGCCTCTATAATAAATAGTAATTTGCTTGATTAGAGTTTACCGACAGTAGCTCAATATCACTGCTATGGATATAGATTTCATCCGTTATGGTTTGATAAACAACTCAATTGGAACCCTATGGTGCTCTTTTGCATCTAACTCTTAATGGGTCAAGTTTTTCTTTTTAAAATTATTAATCTTGGCAACTAGGCTTTAATTCCTTACCTCTCAAAACTGCATATACAAAAGTTAGGTTTCATGGATGTTGAAATGTACAACAAAATAAAATAACCACTCTTGGCTTTCATATACACAGCACATTCCTTAGTTTTTCTTTGTTTACAGTGCTCTTAATGAAGCATAATTGCACCAGCATATATATATAAAGTATACAAATATGTTTGCTAGTTGTAGGACATGCAATCTTAAAAGTACTTTTACAGGTTATGCAAGAGACAAAACTGAAAAAGTGCAGGAATGTACAATGCAGCAGAGATTTGCCCCAACATACACACTGGAGTACAACTCACCACCTCAGTCCTTCCCATGATCAGAATATTCATCTATATCGATAACAGGTTCATAGGTAAACTTGCAGATCAAACTCCTATCCTGCTTTTCAGTGAACTTCAAACATAGCTGAGTTTTTAAGTGACTGGCACAACTTCGTAGCATACCAAACTGCCCAACAAAGCCAAAACAGCAGTATACAGTGGTACCTCTGGTTACAGACGCTTCAGGTTACAGACTCCGCTAACCCAGAAATAGTACCTCGGGTTAAGAACTTAGCCCCATTAGCTAAAGTGGATCTCCAGAATGAATTAAGTTCTTAACCCATGGTACCACTGTAAAAGCAAACTGCAGAGGGGAAAACAAAAACTACAACATACCTAACACTACCACACCAGTGACTTTATTTTTGAGATTTTACTAAGTGATTACAACTGATCAGTAGTCTTAGTACATGTCCATGGCTTATATGGAAAGTCTTTGATTTTGCGTTTTATTACAGAGGTTGGTATTACACATTCAAGAAACTCTGAGCAGTGTTCTGGAGCTATTACTGTAAAAATCCAACCAGTACGATGGTTAATACTTTGATAATTGCATGCCGCTTCACCCAGGTCACCTTCCTTATTCGTGAACTTTTGTATTCAGTCTGGATCAGAAACATGTTCTACCTCCACTTCTACAGTTTGAATGGCTTCTGTGACCTCAGTCATTTTCTGTCCTTGTTGTGCCAACACATAATTGACGACCTGCATGATACTTTGGTCAGAAAGTGTGGAAACTGTTGTACAGTCTTCAGCAGTTGCACCTGTTTCCAGTGTTTCTTCAGTCACTACTACTGTTTCAATCTCTTCACTGCAAACCTCTGTTTCTTGTTCTGGCACATCAGATGTTAGAATGCTGATGGCATGTTCTACTTGGGTTCCCTGATTATGAAACTGAAGTGTGTCCTTTTCCAGCATAATTTTACAAGGTACATAATCCCTGTGGAACTTGGTCATGTGCTTCCTTAAGGTACGGGCATCTATGTAGGCTTCATTGCATACTGGACAAACGTAAGGCCTCTCTCCAGTGTGTGACCGTACGTGGCGCTTTAAAGAACGTGCATCAGCCCAAGCCACTCCACAGGTCAGACATTCAAAGGGTTTAACACCTATTTAACAAAATAAGAAAGAAAGGAGGTAACGTTTGAAAGGCTAAGGAAAACCTACTGGTTACCAAAAAGGTAATTAAGAAATACTGCTGTATCAATTAGTTCAGACCCCCAAATTACAATAGAGCACTCACTCTTTTTTCATCTGCCCATGTTACAATATATTGCTACCAGCACTTGGAGCGTTTTCTGCATTTGAACCTTTGTTGAAATAGTGTTTTTATTAACATTACAATACTTTCCTTAACAATTTATTGCATGGGTGGACGATTGGATCTGGCCAGTGGATCAAATGGTTGCCCTCCCGTATTGTGGGCAAACTTTGGCACATGACACCCAATCACCTTTTGCCCCCAGGTGTCTTCAGGAGCCCCTTTCAAAGTGCTCTTGCACAATGCTTTGAAAGGTGCTGCTGAAGAGCCAACAATCAGCTGACTGATACCTTACTCAGTGCTTTGCTTAAGGCTTTCTATGCAACACTGATCAGCTGTTTAGTCTGCAAATGCCCTTTCAGCTGAGCCAGGTTTCTTCCTGCCCCACACCTGAAGACATTGGGCATGTCCAAAATGGCATTGCAGGCCCAATGGGGAGCCCTAGTGGGTCTAATCAGGTCCATGGGCTGGATTCATAAAGCATACTTGAAAGTCACTGAAGTCCTCTACAAAGATGTGTGTAGAAAAATTATACAGAGCTAAGAAAATCATGGCAGTCTGGCTACTGCATGATAGTCTCATTTGTTTATTAATTTTTCATCATTTCATAAATGCACCATTTATTTACACCCAGTCCATTATTTTTAGCCCATGTCAAAGCAGTGCTGACTGGAACCATTTCCCCCTTAAATTTAATGTTTTCTAAGTCCCAATTTTTGTTCATTTATTGAAACATGGCATTATTCTTAAAATTAAACTTGTCAGATTTACCCTCATGGTTGTTCATGTGTCTTCTGTACTCCCGAAGCTGGGTGAATTTTCTCCCACAGTGCTCACAAATACGTTCCAAATTTTGCTTTGCTCTTCCTTTTTTCCCATGAGTTGCTTTCTTGACATGCCTTCTGTACAAAGCTTTCTCATAGAATTCTTTGCCACACACATTGCACCTAAAAAATGAGAGAAGACAGTTAGAGCAGGATAGAAAAGTCCTAAAAGTATTTATAACTCTTACAATAATAAGTGTTTGGGCTGGGAAGTCATTTTTATCCCAATCAGATTACTTGGTGAGTACAAAGCTGCCTTTTAACATATTAAGAAATTTTAAGGAGCTGTAGGAAGTCTAAGCTGAGGCGATAATCAAAATATTTTATATTAATCATTCCTGATGGCTATGACACAGAATTTTAAAATATGCATCCAAAAGTCATTCCATTATGCACAAGCAGAATTACGAAGTACACACTGACTTGGCTACAGGTCTTTATCATCTGAGTATTTATTCAAAGCTTAGACTAGTTTACTTGATTTACCTGTAAGGCTCAGTAACAGAATGGGACTTCACATGAGAATACCAATCTTTTTTCCAACTATAGCACTTTCCACAGGATTGGCACTGGAATGGTTTCACCCCAAGATGCTTGTTCATGTGCTGTCGGAGATCTCGGGGTTCATAGAAACTTTTCTCACATCTGAAACAGTACACAATTGTACACATTTGGTTAAAGGAACTTCCTGGGAAAGGTATTTGAGGTACAGCTATAAGCTGCATGCCCAACTAGACTGTTATATCATGTTAATGTAACTATGGGCTGGATCTGGAGAGTTGCTTATTTTTATTTATTAGATTTTTGTCCTGCTTTTCCTCCCAAAGAAGCCCAGGGTGGCAGGTTAGAATAGATACACTGAAATTAATGTTAGTAAAAAAAATTAAAACCTATAAAAATAATCCCCATTAACAGGCGTCTAATACTTCACAAAAGTATGGCCCAACTTGCTATGCTACAAAAGTCTGATGACGGGCTAATCCTCTACCCTTATAGAAAACAGTTTGATTCCCTCCCCCCTCCATTTTTATTCACTTTCTTTTTTTTCTTGACAAGCAAGCTTGTATGATTTATAGTGGTCTTAGCTACAAAGTGTAATATAACATAAAAAATTTTGTAAAAAAGAAAAGAGTCTGATTTTGAAGCCCAAATTTTCTATTGAAAAATTGTTCCCATGCCTTTTAAAGACAAATCAACTTTCCTTCCCTAAGAAACCCACAGCCACTCACTCACCCTTATGCTATCACAAGCTACATTGTACTGGGTGAGTCTTTTAAAAGATGCCCCGTGGAACATGTGTACTCTGTATCCACGGGGCCTCTTTTAAAGGACTCGCCCTGTACAAGTCATAAGAAATGAAGTGTGATAAGAGCAAAACTCTGCTTTCACATTAAACCACATATAATCTATACCAGGGGTGGAGAACAGTTTTGGCCAGGTCTTCATCTCCCAACCACCACTGTAACCCACCTTGGACAGATGGGCAGGACCAACCACGTGTCTGAAATCAAAGTGGCTTTGAGCAATTGACACCTGTAAAAGTTGGTCCACGGGGGAGAAGCAGTTTGAAGGGCTTGTTCAGCCTTGTGTGCCACCCTTCCCAAACACCTGACAACCAGCTAATTGTCAGATGTTTGGAAAGAGCTGCCTGCGCACAGTGAGCAAGCTTTGGAAGCCCGGCACTCAGTGCTTGGGAAGCGCCAAGCACAAGGTTTGCAAAGCACTCGGTGCAGCGCTTCCCAAATGCCTCACAGTGAGCTGGTTGTTGGGCACTTGAGAAATGACGTGCAGAAAGCACTTGCAAAGTGCAAAGTGCTTTGTATGGCACTTCTGATGCACCCAGCAGCCAGCTGGTTGCTATAGAATCGTTGAGTTGGAAAGGGACCACAAAGATTATATAGTCCAAACCCTCCTGCAATACAGGATCCACAACCCTGAGATTAAGAGTCTCATGCTCTACCAACTGAGATAATCTCAGTGTCAGGTGTCTGGGAAGCAGGGAGCCAAGCCTCACCCTTATCTACCCCACACATGACATCATATTTTGTGGAGCGGGCATGGCTTGCCTGAAACAGCCTGGCAGATTTCTGTAAAAGTAACATGGGAATTCATTTTGATACCCACTGAAATTGGCAAAAATATACTTAAAACATTTAAAGGCTTGCAATTCTTTTCATACTTACTGAGTACACTGATATCCCCGAATTTCAGGTTTTGGCTGGTGTTTCTTTATATGCTTGCTAAGTCCTGAAGCTCTATGGAAAGACTTTCCACAGTGTGAGCAAAAGTATTTTGATTCTCCTGACAAAATAATAGCGGCAATGGCTTTAATAGATGCTATCGTATTCAACTTAAGGCAAAAAAACAAAATTATTTGTAACATTAAAAATGCTTTTGAAATGCATTTCCTTGCATGGTTTTGCCTAAAATATGAGAGAAGATAATGCGAGCAAATATAACAGGAAGGAGGTTAGCTGAGGAAAATAGATACTTTGCTCTCAGAGGTAGTAGCAGCTAGAGACCATCAGTGGAAGAAGTGAGCTGTTCATCTGGCCCTCCTCCACAGCTGCTGGAATTCCTCCTCTTGAGGAAGCCAGCCTTTTTTTGCATCTTTGGTCCTCAGAAGGAATCCTTTCCCACTCCAGTCTCTGCTGACTGACTGACTGAGAGCCCAACTAGGCTCCATCTACCAGGGAGTGTAGGCTATAACAAGACCGGAGTTTTGGAGTCCATTGTCAGCAAAATGCTATGTTTTTTAATTATGTATTTTTTGTTCTTGTTTTGGTTTTTTATGCTGTGTACTGCACTGTGATCTTCAGGTGAAAGGTGGTATACAAGTTTAACAAAGAAGAAAAAGAAGAATATTCACTAGGAAAGGGAGTAGAGGCAGCAAATGGGATGAAAGAAAGTTGAGAGTAGGTAGATATGTTGTTGACAATTATGGCACAGGGGCAGCTAAGGCATGTTGCACCACACTCCAGTCTTTTTACACATGTAGGAAAAATATTTAGGCATTGAATAATTGACTAACAATTCAACTGACCAATAATTCAAACATTCTTTAGAAGAAGCCAGCTAAGGCAGAAGAAAAGAATGAGTACAACAGGGCCAAGAAGGCATCAGAATTGTAGAGAAATTTGTAGAGATATGGTTCTGTGGAAATGGAAGAAGCTCACAGGAGATGATGAACAGTTAGGCAGTGGCTACAGAAAAGAGACTGCGGGACTACAAAGAAGACAAAGAGAAAAGCCTCACCCTGTACTACAGACAAATGGGAGATAAGTTGTGGTAAGGGATGAGGAGAAAATAATCTCATTCCCCTTTTTTAGCTGATTCAACTGTTAACACCATGAATCAGCAACAATGTTCATAAAATAAGCAATTAATATAAAATAAAGCTGAATTTAATATACCGATTCAAAGCTGCCAGTTGAAAATTGAAACAGGAGAGCTCTAGTCTCTCAGCTCCCTCATCACTTATGGCTGGAATGCTGAACTGAACTGAAACCACTAGCTAAATATTTGTGGTTTGAGTGCATTCAGTTTATACACCCATGAAAGCATAGTGCAGGTGTTACTTTTTCCTTAATAAGAAAGGGTCTCTCTCATTTACCTGTGTGAATGCTTATATGCTCCTGAAGACTTCTTTTTGTGACAAAAGACTTATCACACAATTCACATTTAAACTGCTTCTGTGCCTCATGGAGCGCGAGGTGCATCTTTAAACCGTGTTTGTAAGTAAACGACTTTCCACAAATCTGCAAGAGATCAAATTGTCAGCAAATGTTACCATCCCTCCAAACAGAGAGCAACTACCTACGATAAAGGAAGCATTCGATGGTAAAGTAAGAGTAGTTTTATGGCAAAACTAGGAGACAAGAAGACAAAGGGATTTAGTATCCAACTAAACAGATCCACTAGTGCAACTACCTTTGGCTGCTGAAGGGACTTCATCTCCCTCTCCTCTCCTCTTCCTGTGCCCCCTTAAATCTGTTCTGGGGGGCTTCCCAATCTTCTGGAGCAGATTTGGGGAGTGCGGAATGGACATGTGGGAGAAGACAGGGTGGCAAACCTCCCATGTGAAAACAGAAATCCTTGTGCTAGCAGATCTACTTAGTTGGATACAGCCCACAATTTGTACGTGCAGAAGTAGTTTAGCATTTCAGTGATGAAGAAAAAACTTATTCCAGTAAAACTCAAAGCTCCAGAGAGACAGAGAGCACTTGAGAAATCTTTTTTAGGTAATGCATACCCTTTAATGACAGTGCAAACTGAGATAATAATTGATGATCTTAGAAACCTAGCATGACCAATTCAAATTTCAATCTTGAAAATCGCAAAACAGAAAATAAACGTAGCAAGTCTGCCTACTAAACTCCCAACACCTATGGTACACCTGCAAATGTAATTAGATGTTTTTATAATCAATGAAATCAATCGCTACTGTTCTGCTCACATAATAGCTTTTGATCCAGTGGAGGCATCAGCTAAAGTAAGAAAAGGCGATTTTCTCCCATGTGCATTCCCTCTGCAGCCCTCACAACCCTCCAGTGGGTTGTTGGGAGGTCTTGAAGAACAGGTTGCTCAGAATATTTCAGGAGCGCATAGACACCACTGCTGGATCAAAAGCTGTTCTGCCAGTGGAATGGCAGCATTGGATTTCACCCAATACATATGAAAGCCAAAGTGGCTGGGTGATATCAACATTAGTCGCAGAGCAGACACAATGAAATCAATAGGCTTCAGTAACTTACCTCAACTGATTTCAACTCTACTCTGTAGATGTCTACTCTGAGTATGACTTAGCTAAATATTATTTAGGTATCAATGGAGCCAATGCGAGTTCAAACTGAAATCTAGGCCTTTAGGATTAAGTAAATGAAACATGGTGGCCATAGCATCCACCTTTTTGAAGTATTGCAGAATCAAGATTTTAACTATGGTTTATAATTCATGAAAGGTTTCACAGCCTAATACTGAGGTTTTTCAAGGCTACATTAAAACTTAACACAAAGTTCCCATCCACTTTTCCTTCATTTCAGCAGTATTCATTGTTATGAATTCTGTTACTTTCAGATAGCAATTGAACTTCATATAAGCTTTAAGCCACATGGCTAAAATATCGCAAGAAATACATCAAAAATGTGAGACCATAAAGCATTACTTTTACCTTACATGCATGTGGCTTTACACCTGTATGTTTCAACATATGGATTCTCAGAGAGTAGAGTTTAGGCAAACTTCTTCCACATATATCACAGATAAACTCCCGTTTAGTTCTGCCCTTCATAGCTGCACCACTCTCTTCTATACTGGCAGTTGCAACAGTCACTTCGTTTTTTCGGGTATGGCGAACAAGGTGGGCTCGCAGCGAGGCACCATACTGAAACTCTTTTTTGCACAGCTGAGAAACATAAAATTGTTTTGATATGTCACTTGAAATCTTAACACTAAGAATCAGAGATCAACATTCATACCAGTTTTGTAGCTGGAAGAGTTCTCTCCATCTACTAGATAAGGGACTTACTTCCAGGTTTGCATACCTTACAGATAAAAGTAATGTATAAATAGCAATGCATAGATCTGACTAAGAGATCTGTGACAACTCAAATTCTAAAAGTCTGTTCCACTTTATACATATTACAAATTGCAGACAGGAATGGCGACAACATTTGTCTTGTAACACTCCAAGATGTAGAGACTATTAATCTAAGCTATCTGACTGGAGAGCTGAAACATATTTAAGAGCAGTGATGGGAGTTTAAGTTGGAATTGTTATCTTTTGAGAAACCACGCTGGGAGATTATTGCAATGTTAAATGCCAAATGGATTATCAAAGGGAAGTGGTAGGCTGTACACAACTCAATTAATCTAGCATTTAAAGAATAGAGAGATGTTGGACATGAAACAAGAACTGATGCATGGAAATGACTATGTACTCATTCCCTAGCCAGGCCAGTTTCAGCAAATTTAAAGGGAAATTTTAAAATCTAATAGCAATGGAATTTAAAACCATACACATTAAACCTGATTTATAGAAAAGGACAGGACAATTGCTTGAGCTGTGGGATGACACAGGCAGATATTTTTGCACATATATTGGGAATTTCCTATCTTTCAGAACGTTTGTAATATAATCAGTTACAAAAACACTAGGGTACCCTAACCCTTGGTATCCTAAGATACTACTGGGGTTATCTAAAAAACACAGTTCCAGATGTCAATTTGCTAGAAGCAACCAAACAATTTTAGCAAAAAACAACAGGGGGAAACAATGCTCCTCTAACAATACTGTATATTGGTTTGAGAAATTATGGTTTACTGTGAGACTGTTTAAATTAATATATTCTAGGACAACACAAATTAACAAAACCAACAGATTTATTGAAAGATTGTCTATATTTCTTAAGTTATTGAATGACAAATCTTAGGGAATGTTCAGTCGCATGATGCTTTTAACTTATTGTTAACATTTACATAACACTTGAGCCGTTTTTAAACTCTGTATTAAATGGTAATTTGTACAATTTTAAAAAAAATAAAGTTAAGTAATAAATGCATGAACAAGCATTGCTACAGAAGTGCCAGTTTAGAGTAATTTTAAGGGGAAACTTACTGGACATTTAAAATTCTTTGTCCTTTCATGCTTCAGTGTGTGCATTATAAGAGCATAACGCCTCTGAAAAACCATTCCACATTCACCACATTTGTGCTGAGTTTCTGTCTCACTGTGCTCTGAAGTGTCTCTCTTGGGCTGCTTCATCTTCTTGCCTCTTTGCACTAGCTTCATGGCAACCTAATTGAAAAGGATTGGTTACAATTAACATTACATAGGGGAGGGAGGGACTGTAAAATCAACAAGCCAAGTGGAATAGCAATGGAAGTTTTCTTTTAAAATATTAAATTTTAGCAAAGGGACATGAAGAAGATATATGTGATGTTCCCCATAAAACCTACATGCTCGTATTAGCTCAATTCAACAACATGTGAGCCCTCTTCAGACATGTGAGCCCTCTCCACAGGAGCAAAAGCGTCCCAGGTTATTCCAGCACCTGTTTTCTGTGTGTACAGCACCAATGTATGTTAACACCAAAGCGTTTCTGTGTACAGCTAGAATTCTACGTGATTGGGGACCCAGGTCACACTGAAGTCTTCACATGTACAGCTGTATGTCTGCCATATCCTTTGCTACAGATGTTCATGCTGTACATGTAGACTCCAAGGAGCGACGCTTTTTGGTGCATGCTCACCTCTATATAGAGCAACGTAGAAGCTGCAATGACCAAAGCGTTCAATAATGGAGCACAAATCTAATTTTGAATTAAGATGTCATGGTGAAGCTGTGATTACAGCTTTCTTACACATTACCAAACCACTCTACAAGTAGTTTACATATAGGCTGTGCTTATTCAAGGCTTCTACACATTAATTCATAGGTTCTCAAATGTTGCAATAAGCCTCCTGAAAGGAAGAAACAACTTAGGGCATATTCATGGTGAAATTATCATCATCATCATCATTTATTAAATATGTCAGTCGCTTTATCTTGCCCAGGCCAAAGCAACTTACAACCAAATAAATAGACGATAAACCCCACACAGATATCTTTCAATGAAGAGGAAACAGATATATATTTAAAAAGCATCCCAACCACTTCTAAAAGGCCATAGATAGCTGAAGGCAAAGTCCTGGTTATAAAGGAAAGGTTTTGTTTGCTTGGTGCCTAAAGATATATAATGACAACAGGCGAGCCTCCCTGGGGGGAGCATTCTATAAACAGGGAGTCACCAGAGAAAAGGCCTGTACTCAGGTTGCCACCCTCTAGGCCTTGAAATGGGGAAAAGCGGTCCTTGAATATCTCCTGCATATCTTTGTAGTGAATTCACATGCTCTGGCAAGGCCCTGTTATGTCTGCCCCTGATATTAAGGGTACAGCAGGAAGCAGCGAGATCGCAAATGGACAGTGGAACTGGAATTGTTTTCTTGTACTGTTGAATTTACTTTTGTTGACTGTTTTAATCATTACATCTGATGATGTTACGATTTTGTATACATTACATCTTTAAAAATTATTTTTTATTCTAAACCACCTTGGAAGCCTTGCTGGGATTGAAATGCAAGAAAGCAAAGATATATCCTTATTACTACGAACAAACAAACAAGCAAACAAATAGCTCAGTGGACACAAAGAAAGTTTTTTGGACGGTAAGATTCTGAGCATACCTGCTGAATGGCTGATTTGGCTGCCGGCTTTCTATTTTGTAGTTTTTTCTCAATGCCCTTGTGCAACTTGATATAGCCTCCCTCACTCACAGAACGCTGACGTAGCTTGCTTTTGTAGGTGTCATCTTGACCGGAAACTGAGGTCTCTGACTGAGACTGAGGAGTGCTCTGCATTTTACATGGTCTGCCACGTTTTCGCTTAAGTCCTTCCCGATTATCTTCAGAGGCAGCATCTGCATTTGCTTCGCTGATCACGTTTTGTTCACTTCCATCGTTCTGATCGGTATCGCTTTCTGCCCGAGTGCTGATAATGACTTGTTCTGCTGCTGGAAGCTCGGACTGCACTAAAGAAACAGTCTGACTTGCGGTACATTCTACAATTTGGGTTTTTTCTTCAGTTTCGGTCATTTCTACACAAGTAGATTGCACTAGAGGCTCTGGAGGATTGTCCACGAGAGGCTCTGAAGCAGTTTGCGGTGCAGCCTCAGGCGTAGCCATTTCTTCCACATCGGTACTCGAACATGTTCCATTCACAGTTGCTACAGCATCTTCTGTAGGTAAAGGCTGCTCCACGCTGTCCGCTGGGTTCAATGGGCTTTCGTTCTGCTCTGAAAGATTCTGAGCTACCTCACTTTCGTTCTGCTCTAAAAGAGTTTGCGCTACCTCGACTATCTGAACATCTCCTTTTTGGTACACTGTGATTTGTTTATCTTCCATTTGCTTGTGCACATTTTCACAGATTTCCAGGACTTCTGTCATGACGAGATGTTGGGCCAGCTCAGCTACTGCTGCCATATTGCAGAAATCAAACGTCAGCTCTGAGGTATAAGCAAATTCTAGCAAAGGGAGGAAGCTGGCCTTGCGAAAGCCTGCAACAAATAAGGAAGAAGGTGACAAAAGGGTTTTAAGAGATGATCACTATTTAGAAATAAATTGCTGTTTTTGTTCATTACCAGCTAACTATAATAACAGCCTCAAACCATATGAACAAAGTCCTCAGGGATAATTTTTGGTTTGTATGACCACATTCTTGGAGTTCTGAAGAGAAAATGAATACTTCCAGGACAAATTAGGCAAATTTGGGAGGAATACCTTAGAAGTGCAGCTGAAGGATTTTAGAAATCAGACACTGTGTGGTCTATCCATATGACAGTCCCAGAAGCTCACTCAAAGTAAAGGTTGCCTGCTCTGGTCTCTATTGAATAGGAACCCCTAACATATTTTCTGGAGAAACTATACAAGCAGAAAGAGAGAGGTTCCATTTGTCTGAAACATGCTTAAGAGGCTTTTCTGCAGCAAAATGTAACACTCTCTAGTTTCTTTAAGTTCACTTTGTTTTAATGTCTTATGTTTCTGGATGCGTGATTTCTAAATATGGCCAGTACAGCAGTATATTATTCCCTGTATTTGGGATCTAATGCAACTTCTCCCATACACTCTGGACAGCAGAGACCTAACTTCCTTACTCACATATCAACAGCAGTAGTTCTCTGTCCATGGCATCTCCGTCCTCTACTACCACACCCTGTTAGCTCCTCCTGTTTGTGCATATGAAATGCCAGCAGAAACAAAGAAACTCTGGGACTTAGTTCTGGAGACAGCATATCATACTGAATGGTATGCATGTCTTGAAGGGCAGCCCTGCTGGATCAGGCCATGTATATAGCCCTGCATCCTGCTCACAAACAGCTTTCTGGCCTTCCATCGAGGTCGATCATTCATACGTATAATTTCTATACCACCCTTCATCCAAAGATCACAGGACGGTTTATAATATGGCAAGCCTCAAACAGGCTCTTTTCAGCGGTGACCCGACATCTTGTGCAATTTTCTCTGTAGGGAAGTATGTATGGCCTTGTCGCTATCTGCCTTTCAGCATATCTTTAAAAACTTCTGTTTTGTTCAGAATTTTATTAATTTTTAATGTGTGTCACTGCTCTCTGCTGCTTTTATCTGGTTATTTCAATGTTTTTGATCTGTAATTAATATACTTAATAAAGAATTACTGTAAGCCTTGGGGGAGTTTCTTGTCCTGAAAGGGCAGGGTAAAGATCTATTAAATAAATAAACCAGCTGGGGAAATTTGTCTGACTAAATCAGCTACCTATCAATCTAAGCAGAGTATGCAAACAGACAAAATGAAATCATTCAGTCCTCTTTGATGGTGTTGGGGGTGGTTTTCAACATCTTTTCTATTTGACCAAACAAATTCTGAATAGTCCCCCCCCCAAAAAAAACCCCCATTATTTATGGGTTGTTGTTTTTGCTTAGATCAGTTTACCTGAAAGATCCACCACAGCTTCATGACTGGAAATAGCTCCTTTTTCGATGAAAAGTTCTCTGAAGTACTCACTGTTGGCTGCCAATATAGATTTGTGTGCTTTGTGCACTTCACCTTCAATAAGCAAAGTAACATCACAAAACTGACTGGAAAGCCGCTGCTGATTCAGTTGGTTTAAGACTGACAGAGAATGCTTTGGAGAAGTTTGTTTCACAAGACCTTTACTATCAACCTGGGATTTTTTTAAAAAAGAAAAAGTAACAAGCAGTGTGTTTAAACTTTGTTTAAATCTTTTATTTACATCATTAAGTAATACAAATATAAAATAAACCTTGGTACCAGATTGTATAAAAAGTTACTTACAAAAACAAGCTCATGTTTGGCTATTGGCTTCTTTTTCACAGGTTTTGGCAAAGCTGCTGGAAGCGACGCTGAGTTACTTAATTCATCATCTGTTTCATTACTATCTTCGTGAGATATTGTGTCTAAACCTAGTTCTTCCAGCATTTCAGAAGGATCAGACAAAGATCTGGAACGATCCAATTTTTCCTGGCATTTGCTACATTCCTTAATATAATCTTTAACTTGCTTCAGAATACCTAAAGAAAGGCATGCCAAAAAAAAAAAATATCATTGTAAATATTGCTTCATTGATGCAAAAAAGGATGTATTCACCTTTGTCCTTTCAGGTAATATTCAGCAAGTAATTCTAGAAAATAACAACATTTGTCTTTCATTTTGATAATAATTCCACTCAGACTGTATGGAAACAGAATAATCAAGAATCAACAATTCCACCTTCTACCAGACCTCCTTGTGTGACTTAGTGCAAATCAGAGATGCATGCATTAATTCAAGACATCCACTCTTTCAAGCTGCATCTCCATGTTGCTTACGTGACCCTTCCTCCTGATCCATGTGCCAAATCATGGTAATGATGCACTTGCTGAAAGCTGCACACATTTCCATGCAAGATGGGCCTGCCCACTGCTTTTTTCTTTTGCAATTCCCACACTTTGGAACCAACAGCACAGGAAGTTCTTCAGCAAATATGTCTTTGTTAGACGGATTGCCAAGTCACATTCTTTGACCCTCTGAGAAATGTTCCTGGTTCACAAGCAAGCCTGTGCATAATGCTGCTAAAGGTGGTTTTTTGTCCTTTGTAGACAATGTTTAGAGTCTACAATCCCTACCAAGTTGGTCCTCTGCCTACACAGCAGTGAGTTGCTATATTTATATGCTTGAAGTTGCTAGTGTTCTTTCTGTGTGGTCCTCCCATTACAGGCTTTTAAAAACAAACCCCAAATAAGATACTGTGCTAGATATACAGGAAAACCTCATATTTTGAATTAAAATATTCTTAATAATTGTTTTTAAACCATTAATGTCTCTGCAGGTCCACTGTATTAGATCTTCTCTGAAACAGTTATATTATCTAATGAACACATTAGCACATTCTATACAGCTGAACTATCAACTTAACCATGTTAATGTCTGCTCTTATTTTTGCTCTTTATAGTTATGCAAAAAAAGAAAGAAAAAACCTTCCAAAAACGAAGTGTGCTTCCAGGATTAAAAAACAACAACTTGCAGTCAACCCGTTTACTCAAAAATTAATCCAGTTGGTTGGAATAGATTTTTTTCATCTGGAAATAGGAACTTACTTGAAGATCTGCTGAAATCAGCAGAACCTGTTTCCCAATGAGCACAGTTGAAACTAGACTTGAAGATCTGCTGAAATCAGCAGAACTTACTTACTTGAAGATCTGCTGAAATCAGCAGAACTTGTTTTCCAATGAGCACAGTTGAAACTAGACTTCCCATCTAGGCATACTACTGACCACTTGACTATTATAATTCTTAGTAAGATAGTGCTTGCCACACCAAGCCAAATCATGGCTTAGAACAAACATGAAGGCTCCTGGAGAGGAGACCTCAGCCACCGCCCTGCTCCTAAATCATGGTTTAGGTCTCCCAGTCAAATCATGATATTGCTTGGTCACAGGATAAACCTTGGACAGAGCCAAACCGTGAGCCTTGGGTTTGGCCAACATGCTAAGCCAAAGTATGGCTTAGTTCAACATGACAAATAGGAAAACAAACAGGGAGGACAAGTGGCTGGGGTGTCTTAGTTGGGAGTCTCCTTGTGAGAACCAGATCAGGGCAAAGCCCTCTGAACACAGGTGATCTATGTAAAATGATAAACGTTAAAACAAAAAGGAGGCATCTACCTAAGTTTCAAAATGTATTGGGGGGACGGACACTGAGCTGAAGACACCTGAAAATCGGGTTAGCGACTGATTCACCTTTTTCACTTTAAGACTCGGTGCCACAGCCAAAATCCACAAAGCAGCCCACCACCCTTCTGGTCAACATCGCCCTCTGACTGCAAGGGATGCTGCATTGGGGCCGGACAGGCTACCTTAACCATAGGCGAGCACATGCTCACTAAGGTACGAGACTCGGGTGCATTCGGTGGGGGATTATTTGTGTGTGTGTGTGTTTTTAAGCGGAACCCCTCCTCCTCCGAGTTCGTCCTAGGACACAGCCAACCCCTCGCTCCCCTCCGACCCGTCTTGCAGCAGCTCCGAGGAGGAGGAGAGCTCCGTCCGCCTAGACCAGGGGCGGCGCTCCTCGCTCCAAGCCCGGAGCAGGAGGTGTGGCGGGCGAGTGGCGCGCGTGTCGCTTGGCTCGCTCGGGCCGGAGACCCGTCGCTTCCCCGCTCTCCCCCCTCCCCCTTTCCCCGCCGTCCGCTCACCTCGCCACCAGTAGCGCTTGGAGAGGCGCTGCCAGGTCTGCAGGCGCGTCCGGTGGGCGCCGTCGGGCTCCAGATGCGCCGCCCGGATGAGCCGGGCGCGTCGCTCGGCCTGCAGCACCACCTCGAGCTCGGCGAAGCGCTGCTGGTCCCGCTGCCGGCGCTGGTAGTAGAGGGTCCCGCCGCGCACCACGTAGCAGGCGGCCGCCTTGCGGATCTTGCGCTTGGCGTTGCCCTCGGTGCCCGGCGCGTAAGGCTCGCGCTCGTTGGTCAGGTAGCGCAGGATGGCCAGGTAGCTCTCCTCGCTCGACATGGCCGGGCGCGCAAGGGAGGGACGCCCGCCCGGACCTTGCCCTCCTCCTCCGCCTCACCCGCTTTCCCTCGGCTCGCTTCTTTCTCTAGCCCCCACGGCGGCGGAGGGAGGATCGGGACAGCCGAGCCGTCTGAGGGAGGCGGGGTGCGCACTTGGGGTCACCCGGCGGCGAAGGGGGACGGGAAGGTTGGGGTGGGGGAAGCGTCTCCTGTCACAGGTTGCCGCGAAGGAGACGGGACCGGGGTGGCTGGGTGGGAAAAAGCGAGAACGGGGAGCAGGGGGGTGGCGGCGAGAGTGGTCGGGGGGAAAGCAAGTTGCCTGGCGGGGTAAAAAGCAAGCCGTTGGGTCTAGACTAGAGTCAGGCCCCAGGGGGTGGAACTGGAGTTTCGCGGTCCGCGGCGACGGGTGGGAGGAAGAAGCTCGGGCAGCAGGATCAACGGAAAGACAAAATGGCTGCTGCACAAGCGGAAGTGAGGTCAGGGATAGCTGTCGCCTAGCCCTCAACGGAGATGAGGAAAGGGGTTTGGGGGCAGGGGAAATGCCGCCATGTTTGGAGTGGGCAAGTGATGCCTGCTTCAGCTCGGGTTAGTGGCTCCTTAAGCGCAGGCGATACTAGGGCCGGTGTTTCGGCTGCCGCCGCCATCTTTAAAGCAGGCAAAATATCCCATCCAAACGTTCCAGTGTACTTAACCGCGTTTGTTCTTTTATCTAAAATACTCGTATGGCTGCATAATAAATTGTGAACTCAGTGTAAAGTAATTTATTAAAAGGTCAATAGCTAATTTATTGAATTGCCTCGTTTGAAGATTGCTGAATCTTTGGTTTTAGATTTCTTGTTCTATTGGATGATACAACTCTGAAGTCATTACATAGGGACAACTTTGGAGCGTCTACCTCAGTTTCGTCTACTTACAAACGACTCCAGTCCTATGTTAAAAAAATTGAATGCAAGGCATGTGCTTTACTGCTGCTCTTCTGAACTTTCTCTCCACGCCTTAAAATAAGGCCAAACAAGGAGAATATGGAAAATGAAATTACCTTTCTGAACTGTATATAATTGATACACAGTATAAGGTCTAGTAACATGCCACTCAAGTACCCATCTCAGATTTCTGTGCAACCTGAAGAGTACTATTAAGGTTCTGCTCATATGCAGATAAGCAGAACAGCAAAATCCTATACATTTTTTATTCAGCTCTCAAATCTTGATGGAACTTCCTTGTGTATGCATAGAATTGTCTCTTATAAACCCAAGATAGTATCAGGCAGGATCACCTAATGGAATCAGTCAAGGTAGTGGGTAGGGTGCAGTGTGTCTGGAATATAGGCTTGCAGTAATGGAATCCTAAACACACTTGCCAGGGGATAAGTCCCTTTCAACTCAATGAGTCTGATTTCTGAATAGTCGAGAAAAAACGTATATGGGAATCTAACACCGGCCTGAAAGACCTACTTTGGTTTCCAGTATGTTTCTGAGCACAATTAAAAGTGTTGGTGCTGACCTTGAAAGCCCTAAACGGACTCGGCCCTGTATACCTAAAGGAGCATCTCCAACCCATCATTCAGCACCTTCTGGCGGTTCCCTCACTGCAAGAAGTGAACCTTGCACACCCCGTCTTCAAGGCGCCAGGGAGTTCTAAGATGGGATTTCTCCAGGGGAGCCTGCTCTCCTGCTGTTTCCAGTCCAGGCTGCCTGTTAGCTCCACCATGCGCTCCAGGCTCAAGGGGACCCTCTACCAGTACTCCCACCACTTGAGAGGTTGTCTGTTTTTAGAATACTTGTTTCGTGGTCAAATTTGCACCATTGTTTAGAAAACATATGAAGCAGTATGGACAGCAAATCTGAGTTAAATTTATCCATTCTGCAGTGGATTTTAGATTCACACGAAACACTGAAGGAAGGCAGAGATAACAGGGAGAACGTAAAGTGGAGTAGAATTTAAGGTGAATCAATCAAGGTGTGTTTGAATACAAATGGAATGTTACTTGTTTTCTTTTTAGCTACCATAGGATTTTACTCATCTTTTGAATGTTTTTTAAATACCAGTTATTAAATTGATAATTTAAATGTTTTATTTTTATTTTAGTTTTCTTAAATAAATGTTCCCCCAACATCTTTTTGCATCGTAACGAAATAAACACTAGCATTTCTTAACTGTCTTACAAAAGGCATTTTTAGTTTCCCCCCACAAAAATCCTTGCCTATCATTCTAGCCATTATGCCCACCTTTCTAGTCATTAATGACGTATAAATAACTTTTAATATTTAAGGTAAGAAAATTACACAAAATCCCCAGAAGTGACCAAGAAACAGACAGTTTACATGTTAAATGTTTATTTCATGTAACCAAAGCAGTCAAAAAAGTTAGCGTTTTCCACCAACACGAGGAGCAGAAACTTTTACCGGCTTCATGATTTTTTGCTTTGGAGCAGCCTTTGTAGGTGCCTATGAACAGAAAAAAGAATGAATGAGAATATGCTACTTGGTTATTTATCACTGTAAATTAGGTCAATAATTGTGAATACACAAAGGGAAATACCAGGTTTAAAGTGAAAATACAAATTCATGCCTGCTATTTAACAGGGACAATAAAGGAAGACAATCCCACACTATTATCTTATTCCCAACCAATGGAAGTAACATAGGAGAATGTGAGCTATACCCCTTGAATAAACTGGCAGGCCTGAGGATCAACCAGACAACAGTCAACTTTCACTTTAATTCTTTTCAAGCTTACTGTGGCTGTTCCCTGTATGGAAAGGATCACTCAAGTGTTGACTTTGCATAGCTAGAGATAGGAATGAGACCCATGTGCTACCAATACTCATGGCTATATGACACTTACCTGCTTCACAGCAATTAATGAACTACTATTTTTCGAATATGTTTGTGCCCTGATAGACATGATACAGGACAATTACAAAGATGCTTAATAAACAAATTTAGGTTAAAAATAAGACAGCCAAATGGTTTCTTAATAGTCTACTCCTATGCATGTTTACACGGAACAGAGTCCCAACATGATGTAATGGTTAGAATTCTGGGCTTAGAAGGTCTACTTGTGTCATCTTTTGTGCCTTAACTAACAGGGCTTCTCAAAGGATAACTGAAGAAACCCCAATGTACAAAATCCTGAAAGGCAGGAAATAATAAAAAATGGGATGGTGCAAGAAATTTAGCAAAGTAATTGGAACAGATATTTTCATGGGATTATTATGCAACACAGAAAAACGCTAAATTTAAAGGCCATATCTTGCTTTTGGAGTTTTAAAGAACTATTAGGAGGAAACTCAGAAAGCACACACAACGTCTCATCTTTAGCCATTCTTTGGGTAAACATTACCTTTGTTGTGGAGGGTACAGTTTTCTTAGTAGCCTGCTTAGCCTTCTTTGCTTCCTTGGCAGCTCTGTAAATGATATTTACAGGAACAGACTTAGTGTTAAAAATAAATGCACAATTCAAAGTGTTGGTGCTGACCTTTAAAGCCCTAAACTGCCTTGGTCCTGTATACCTGAAGGAGCATCTCCACCCCCATCATTCAGCCTGGACATTGAGGTCCAACACCGAGGGCCTTCTGGTGGTTCCCTTGCTGCAAGAAGTGAGGTTACAGGGAACCAGGCAGAGGGCCTTCTCAGTAGTGGCACCTGCCCTGTGGAACGCCTCCCAGCAGATGTTAAGGCAATAAGCAACTATTTTAATTTTAAAAGACAACTGAAGGCAGCCCTGTTAAGGGAAGTTTTTAATGTTTGATGCTGTATTTTTTTAAATATTCAGTTGGAAGCCACCCAGAGTGGCTGGAGAAACACAGCCAGATGGGCGGGGTATAAATTATTTATTTATTATTATTATTCATTGCTTTCACATTCCAGAATGGATTAAGAAATAAGCTTAGTCTTCAAATACAGCAGAATGAGGTGACAGTATTGGCAAGACCAGTGGTTTTCAACCAATATGCTGTGGCACCCTGGGGTGCCTTGAAGGATGGTCAGTCATGCCATGAGCAACACTGGCCTCTGTCCCTCTTTCCTTCCCTTCCTCCTCTGATGTCCTCTTGTCTCTGCCTCCCCAAGGCTTGAACTGCAGCAGCCCTGGCTACAATCTCCCCAGGCGAATGATGCCTCCGGGTCTGGCCAGGGGGTGCTGGTTGCTAGGAGCAAGCAGGCAGGCATGCAAGGGAGCCTAGCCAGCCCTTGCTGTTGGGAATGGACAGACAAGTGGGAGGCCGGGCAGGCTCCATGCTAGCCTTTCTTGTGCTTGCTGTGTGCAAGGCCTGCCTGGGAGCTGAGTGCCCAATGCTGAAGGGGAGCCTTTCCGCCATGCAGGTCTGGCAGCCCCCACTGCTGCCACCCAAGGTAAGGTGCTAGCCTCACATTCACCTCTGGCCAGTCTCCATTGGGCCACAAAAGCTGGGGGCATCCTCTTCCCAGGCCCTTGTGGGGCAGTGTGAGGAAGCACCTCTCTTTGGGCGGTGTGTGTGTTCAGAGACCGGGGCGGCAGCAGCGGCTGCCCAGAGGACTCTCAAGGAGAGGAGGCTGAGGTAACACTCCACAAGGGAGGGTGTTCGAAAAAGGTTGAGAGGCTGCCAGCTATGCAGGCAAGAGGTGACATAACTGGGCTCCTGAGCCCCACAGGGGTGTTGCAGAAAGAAGGTAGTTGGGCAAGGGAGCCGTGGACTCAAAAGGTTGAAAACCTCTGGGCAAGACTATTCCTGACTATAGGTAGGCAACCCCTTTTTTGAGCACTTCCTTGGAAACTGAGGATAGAAACTTTCCCAGCTGTGTTTAGCTCTCTTTACAGTTCCTTTAGAAAAGAAAAAGTGGAGCATTGAAATCTGAATCTGCCTACCCCTTCTCCTAAATGCAAAGACCAGGTCATAAATTGCATTACTTCTTATTGTACCATTTTACACAAAGCATAATAACTGCTTTGAATTATTTTTCTTACCATCAGTAAGTATATTCATTTTATAAAATAAATACACAAAAATTAAAACAAGGCTAATTACTTCACTGCACTACTTTTACACCCGACACTTGAAAATGGTATACGCGGCTTTGGGGATTATCCCAGACCCTAAACTTGGGAGGAGAACTAAAGATAGTCTGTGTTGCATTGTCCATTGTGAGGGCTCCAAATGTTTTGAAACTGGTGTAGAATGGATGAACCCCAGCCCTCCTCTTGAGGTTGGGGCAAGGAATTGGGAATGTCTCCATAGTTCAGCATGGTATTGGAGACAAGTTCTCATCGTTGGGGAGTGGACAAGATCCTGGCAATCACATTTTTTAAATGCAGGCTAACCAATATTTAACCCAATTGTGAAAAATGGAGAGTCTATGAGGTGTCACCTGTTTACATTCAATCAATGATCACAATGAAAGCAGAAAATAAGTTTTCTGGCTGAATTCACTAGTGGTTTAGTTGCCTTTAATTGTGTTAGCAAATTTGTGTTTTAATATTCCATAATTGATTACTGCATTGCTTGTTTATTTTATCTTTTGTTTCCACCCCATCCCCACAAAGTATCTATGTATTAACAGCATAATTTTTAAGTAAAATAAACAAATTTTAGAATAATTGCATTCTTGTAAAAGTAGAAACCAAGAAAATGTTATAATTACTCACCTAATGGCCTGTTCCCTTTGGGCTTTGCGCACTTCAGGCTTTTGATTCCTCTTGGCCATTATTTCAGCCAAAGAGGCACCTGTAATTGCCCTATGGCACTTGACAGCACGGCGGGTACGTTTCTTTTGTACCTCTTCCTAAGCAATGAAGAAAGAGAACTACAGTAAGAGCCTGCAACTTGTGCACATTCAGCTTTACACACTTGGCAAAAAAGAGGGGCGTCTTATCCAGTAATTTTGGCAATCCCACCCGCCATTACACCCAAAATTGAGGGCTTACTCTACTAAAAAGTCTATTCACAATTCAGGAGAAGAGAATATTGGAAACACACACTTTTCATAAACCTCTGAAGGACCTGATAACGCAAGTCCATACACTACACTTCTAAGTAACTGCTACAATTTCTTTGCTATTAGTCGTTGACATATTTTGATCTATTCTCTCCCAGTTTAAGCTTCAAATGCATCCAGAGCCACCTCTAAAAAAAGTACAGCTTGTGGAATCAATCATTTGAACTCAGGGCATTGATGTTGCAATTCATTTTTATATGGCATCATTTCTATTCTGTTGCTATATTTGTTATCCAACTTGAAAGGCAAGGTGCAAATCATTTAATATAAATTACAAAAAAAAAATTCACATTGAATTTTTCTAGATTTAAAGTCTATTTCACGTTCCCAGAGGAGTGCTTAATGGACACTGCTTTATCATCTAATTATTTCAGACAAAATATGGATATATCAAAGGGTGATTCCAAGATAAATCTGTCACAAAGAATGCATAAAAGCTCACATGTTCTCTAAATAACACCGAGTCAATGTTATGTTGGTTATTTTTCTCTGACTTTAACGCTGAACACACTTCAGAATATATATGTACAGGATTGTGCCACCAAGCAGGTTCTCTGCCTTTTCAATGAACTAGCCACAAGAGTTCATTATTGAAAACATTTGGTACAGGAGGCAAAACACTTAAAAAGAACCGTTTCCAACCCTAGTCACAAACTTCAATTAATAGATCAGCCTCTTTCCTCTAAAACAATGTCCTAATACTATATTATTTTTATCACCATCTATCGCAAAACAATATTCACTTTTCAGTGATCACAGAAGAGCTCTTTTATGTGAAAAGCCAGACACTACCACAAAACACCATAGACTAACTGAAGAAGAAAAGTTTGGATTTGATATCCCGCTTTATCACTATCCAAAGGAGTCTCAAAGCGGCTAACATTCTCCTTTCCCTTCCTCCCCCACAACAAACACTCTGTGAGGTGAGTGGGGCTGAGAGACTTCAGAGAAGTGTGACTAGCCCAAGGTCACCCAGCAGCTGCATGTGGAGGAGCAGGGAAGCGAACCCTGTTCACCAGATTATGAGTCCACCGCTCTGAACCACTACATCACACTGGCTCTCTGAACAGATTATGCTACATGCTAAGCTGCTAGATCACAAATAAGCCAAATGGATAGTAAGCCAAATGGATAACTTCGACTTTGCTGCTACATAAGCGTATTTAAGTACAGGGGTACCTCGGGTTAAGTACTTAATTCCTTCCGGAGGTCCGTACTTAACCTGAAGCACCACTTTAGCTAATGGGGCCTCCCGCTGCTGCTGCGCCGCTGGAGCACGATTTCTGTTCTCATCCTGAAGCAAAGTTCTTAACCTGAAGTACTATTTCTGGGTTAGCGGAGTCTGAAACCTGAAGCGTATGTAACCTGAGGTACTACTGTATATATAATCATTTGTCCATTTCTGAGGCACAACATACTTACAGACTGTCCTTTCTTGTGCTTCCGCCTGTACAAAACAGTCCAGTTGATCTGACGGGGGTTTCTCTTGGAAAGGAATGCAGACTCGCATTTTGCATTCAAAAACTGAAAAACCTGAAACATTGAGTTCATTTTAAGTGTTTACATGCTCTAGAGCAGAGCTTTCCAAACTTTTCATGTCGGTGACACGCTTTTTAGACATGCATCACTTCCCGACACAGTAATTCAGCTTTAATAGCAAATCGGAGGTTAAACTAACCCCTTTCCAGCCCCAGTAGGAGTACAGGGAGCATTCATGCGACACACATACACACTGCAGCTGACCAAGTAAAGCGTCAGGACAGAGTTTATAAAGCTCCTCTCTAGAGAGCTCTTGTAGCACAGTGGATGATCTGTGATCTGGGCAGTCTGTAGGATTGCCATAGGAGCAATTACCTTCTCAGCCCTACTGACCGAACAGAAATATATTATACAATACTGTCATGTACTATTTATCCTATTCAAATGCTAAACCACCAACATTTTTACTACCATAAAATGTAAAAAGTCACACACATACTGGCCAAATGGACTCAATTCTATTCACAACATCGCCAAATGCTCTCACGCAAATAGAATGAATCAGATTATTTGGACTTGCTATTTATTATTACTTATTATCCGATTTCACTTCAGGAATAGAAAAAGGAGACTTACACCATTTAGAAACCATTATAATCCTCCCGTAACACGAAAATATCAGTCTCGTGGGTTAAAACAGTTTTAGATCAGTTTACAAGTCCTCGAGTCAACAGCGGCTCCTCTCCCTCATGAAATCTCACATTATACCATAAAGCATCTGGGACACCATTAGTTCCCACTTGGCTACTTACAGGGTTTAGCCAAGCCCGCTGCTACTCCCAATTCCTCTGCCCCTTATTTCCTCTTTACCTTGCCGTCCGTACGCGCATAGCGGCGGCCGTGGCCTGGGTAGATCTTGTACCCGCTGAAGCTGCACAACTCGACCCTGCATTGCGAGAAAGAGAACGCGAAACGGGAAAAAAGATTAGCGAGGCGAGCATCCCACGCCACCCAACCCTCTCCAGGCTCTCCAAGCGATGGATGGCACCGGATTAGAGCCGGGCACCGGTCCTTACTTCATGATGGCGGCTGCGGGAGCTCCCTCACAGGCAACTCCGGCGGCGAAGAGAAAGAGAGGATCATGGGAAACCGGATTCTATACCCGCGCGGGGCACCCTGGGAGCTGCGCCGGTGCATGATGGGAAGGGCTGCGCTTTCTCCGGAGGCTCGTCTATTTCCTAAAATGCTCGAAAAAATCACTCTTCACGACGCCGCGGCCCCTTAAGAGCCTTCTATTGTCACCTGCTATTTCTGAAAATTGTTTTTTCCCTCAGTGGTTTTCATCGTCCAATCAGCGTTCAGAGCCCGCCCGGTTGCCTAGCGTTGCGAGCAAGCGGGAAGTATGGCGGCGGCACCAGCGGCGGCGGCGAAAACGGAGGCGGCTAAGCCAGCCATGGGCGTCAGGGAAGGTACGGAGCGGGTCGCGGTGCCTAAAGGTGTCCCCTGTCCCTCCCCCCTCATTGTGTGTGTTGTATCCAAGTTGGGGAGACTCGGCGAGAGCTCTATTCAGGCTTGGACCGTTGCGGGGCTGCCGCGCGGTGCCTTGTGGGGGCCGTAGTTTTTTCCTCGTCGCGTATCTTTGTTAACGTCCCGAGTCTGTTCGGCCTTGGACTCTAAATCCCAGAGGGACCTGCGGAACACATTCCTCTCTTTCTTTATTGTGGGGAGTGGGTGCTTTTGAAACCTTGCAGGGCCGGCCAGAGGAGAGGCTAGAAGCTCTGCTGTCCCTTCGTTGGCACAAACACCTGCAGAAGGGAAAGGACGCGCGTCCAAACCTATCTTCTTCTCCTATTCCTGATCCATAAAGCAGGCGCCTAATGGGCAGGTGCAGCCTGCTATATAAACCACACAGGACAATGGTTGGCATGCAGGGTGCTGCTGTCATGGAATAATCCCATGTTATCTGGCTAACATTTTGAAGGGTGCTCTGGTATTAGTTGCCAGCATTGCTCAGAGTCAGGGAACAGTTCCAATGTGAAAGAGTTTGCTGAAACTCAGATTCCTGAGTTACATTATAAGGCTTTCTCAGAAAAAACAACAACTAGCTATAATAACATGGCACATTTTTATCACCCAAGAAAGAACACAATACTACACAGCATTTTTTTCACACAAGGAAAGGGATTAACATACTATTATTTTATGTTTGCAGAAATACCCTGTAATTAGAAGGATTGTTTTGCTGGATAAGACCTCACATTGCGCACCAGAAATTAACATATGTAGAATGTATCTTATTAGCAAGCTGATTCGTGGCACATTTTGAACATATAAGTCCTCTTTGGGAAGCGGGAGTTCACATTCAAAACAGCCCTTTAGTAGGATGTATTTTCTAGATTCCACCAAAGCAGATTGGCCTTACGGAAATGCAGCTGGATGAATGAGGCAGACTGCCCACACCCATTTAAGTGGTGGCTTTCCATAGCAGCCTTTGTATACTAATAAAACTTAATTTTTGGTGCTAATGCTCTGTTAAAAAAATTAATTGGATAAAGATTCATCTTTCTATTATCACCTTTACATTTAAATATAAATATACAGAATTGAGAGAGAATTCACAGTGGCTTATAAGATTTTGAGTATTTTGACATTATTGCTAAATATGTTGCTTATGGTGAACGTTCTCTTAAACCTTTTTCCAAATATATATAAAAAAATGAATTTCCAAGCTTTAGCTGGTTTGTGCATCACATCAAATCATACTTTAACTATGGCTTAATGCAAACAAGCAGTGTGCCTGTACAATGTGCTTGTTCATGAGTCAATACTCTCCCACTCTGGTTGCCACTGCCTCCACATCACCTTGGCTTCCCAATAATTGAAGGAAATGAACCTGAAACATTGGTTTGCATGTAACAGGAAGCCAGCCTCTGGTGGCCTTCCTCTCTAGTGGCAGCATCATGAATGGGGAGGAGTAAAGAATGTGCTCACATGAAACTGCAGTTTAATTTTAAACACTTGTTTAAAATGAAATTCAAACCTGACTAGTATGTACCTTTCCCCAGTTTTGCATTTTTTAAAACTTCCTTTTTTTCTTTTCTCTTAGGTTCATTAATTAATTGGTCAGGCCAGGGTTTACAGAAACTGGGTTCAACTTTGGCCTGTGATGCAGATACACATACTTTGATTTTGGATAAAAACCAGCTAATTAAATTGGAGCACTTGGAGAGCTTCAAGAACCTGATGCAGGTTAGTTCCATGTGTCTGTGATACAGTTCTGTGCTTGTTAGGATATCCTTGCTTTATACTTAAAGGAAAAAGCATAGGAAAATAATTTTGGGTGAAGTTAAATATATATTTAAAATCCATTCTCCTCTGTTTAGCTTCAGAGCACTATGCAACTTCTTCTCCAACCATATACACTTGGTGCTACCTTTACTCTCTTAAGCAACAAAAGAGGTCTGTCCTCTGATGCCTTTAGTGGCTTGGGAGGTGGTTATTTAAGGAACCTCCTGAACTTCCACGAACCTGGCTGCCAGCTAACATCTGCTTTAAAGGCCCTGTTCTGAGCACCTGGCCTTCTGACACTATGGGTAGCTCTCGGAGATGAGGTCCTGTGGAACATCCTCTCCAGACATTTAAACCTAATACTGCCTTTATTCTTCAAGGAAACAGGGGAGGTCCGTCCTCTCATGCCTTAAATGACTTTTAACCCCTTCTCATTGCTTTTTATATTGTTTCTGTAAATTCTTCTGTGTTCTTTCATTGTTTTTAATTTGAACTTTCTTGGGCCTACATGCGAAAAGGATAGAAAAGGTTGTAATTAGACTGTGAAGTCAGATATAATTACTGGCTTACATTCTGCTAACTTAATAGTTCAGTCCTATATGCAGAACTAAGCTGCTTTGAGTTTGATGGGCCTTCCTCCCAGGAAAGTATTTTAGCAGTCCTACCTCAGTGAGGCCTTTCTTTGCTCTCTTATTAAACCACAGAGCCTAGGACTTGCCGATCAGAAGGTCAGCGGTTCAAATCCCCACGACGGGGTGAGCTCCTGTTGCTCGGTCCCAGCTCCTGCCAGCCTAGCAGTTCGAAAGCACGTCAAAGTGCAAGTAGATAAATAGGTACCGCTCCAGCGGGAAGATAAACAGCATTTCCGTGCACTACTCTGGTTTGCCAGAAGCGGCTTAGTCATGCTGGCCACATGACCCGGAAGCTGTACGTCGGCTCCCTCGGCCACTAAAGCGAGATGAGCGCCACAACCCCAGAGTTGGCCACGACTGGACCTAATGGTCAGGGGTCCCTTTACCTTTACTTTACTTCAGTGAGGCCTTTCTTTGCTCTGTTATTTTGCAGTTGTCAGTAGCCAACAATCGGTTGGTGCGGATGATGGGTGTAGCAAAGCTGACTCAGCTTCGAGTATTAAACTTGCCTCACAACAGTATTGGCTGTGTAGAGGGACTGAAGGATCTGGTGCATTTGGAATGGCTGAACCTGGCAGGAAATAACTTAAAGGTAAACTTAATACCATAATTCTGAAGAACCGCTTCCGCTTATGTGCTTCCCACCACACTAAGAGGTCTCCTGTCAGTTCTGAACTCACATTTCAGTGGAAAAAGGGAAATGACCTTTTCTGCTGTCACACCCAGACTTCGGATTTTTTTTCATTTTCTCCCGCAATCCCACAATCTTTTTTGGTTCTCCTTCTCATTGACCTTCTGCTGTGATGTAAAAAGTTTTCATTTTAAAAAGACATTTAAAGGCTTAACTATTACCAGGCGTATATGCTGCTTTTGGAAAGGGGAGGGCTTTTATGGGTGGGTTATATGAAATTTCATCATTACCGTCTTTAACTTTTTAATCTCTTGGCTTGCTATTTTGTTTAGTTACTGTGTTTTATCTTTAATTTTTTGTGATATCTTATGGTTCTTGTCATGAACCACCTTGAACATTTATAGGGAAAAGCAAGGTGCAAATGTTTTAAATAGGTGTCATATTTTAAAACCCTAAAAAAGTAAAATGTGTTGTCTTTCAGTGGTTTCAAAAACTAAATGTTGTCTTTCTGCTGTTTCCAGAGATTGCATCATACCCTCATTCTACCTGTGTGTCCTTTTACTTTATTTCTCTCTACTTCTCCTGCCCCCATTGCCATCACATTTCTCCTCCTTTATTGCCCCAATCCTGCTTTAAAAAATAGGTGTTAGTTTAAGACAGTGTTAAATTTGGGGAGGAAGTTCTATGGCTGATGCAATCTCTTTCTGTGGATGGTTTGTTCAGAAACATGCATAATTTATGATGTTTCATAATGCTACAAAATATTTTCTCTTCCTGTAGACTATAGACCAGATCAATACCTGCACATCTCTTCAACATCTTGATTTGTCGGACAACAATATATCCCAGATAGGAGATATCTCCAAGCTATTATTGTTAAAGGTGAATGCTGTTCAGTTGCTGGTTAGATTGAATTATTTTCTTTGCTGAGAGGAGAGGGCTGTTTTTCATTAAGGCTGCAGTCCTATAACCACTTGTCTGGGATTAGGTTCCACTGAATTCAGTGGGATTTACTTCTTGGTAAACATGAACAGGATTGTGCTGTACAGCTCTTTCAAGTGTAATGCTGAAGTTCTGAGCTATCAATCCCTTTAAAACTGAAGGAAGTTAGTCACATTTTAGACCCACTGAAATTAAGGGGGAGTCATGGCTAATTTGTCAATTAGTTTCACTAGAACTAAAGCATAAACTAGCTTCCACTTAAACCAAAGGCAAATGCCTTTTTGTTAAAACATTTCCTTTAATATGTTTTTTAAGCATATATTGCCAGCCGTTTTAAATTTTATGTTTGCACTATTTAACAAAGGCATGTTTAGTAATGATGTTGATGATATTACACAGGCCTTTTTGAATGTTTGAAGGAATTCATATCTGTTATTTAAACAAATGAGTACATATTGCATTTTTCTCCCGTTCTGCTGTCTCTTAAGACTCTGTTACTGCATGGAAATATCATAACATCCTTGCGTACAGCACCTGCTTGCTTGCCTCAATGTCTGGGTATTCTTTCATTGGCAGAAAATGAAATCAGAGACTTGAATGAGGTAAGAATACCATTTGTCAACAAAACTGAATACTGTACATATTTTGAGAATTCTTTACTTGCAACTTTGTCTTATATTCAGTTAAGTTTCCTTCACTACATTTTTAGTTTCCTACTTGTATCCATAACAATATGGGACCAGTAGCTGGTGGTAGCGCAGTGTCAGCTACTGAAGCAAATAAACAATAATAATTAGCCAATATTAAACATTTACTCCAGAAAGGCAAAAGGCATTATGAGGGACTATTCTCTTTTGGTAGTAATTCACATTAAGGTTCTTTGTTGTACAGCAGGCATAGGCAAACTCGGCTCTCCAAATGTTTTAAGACTACAATTCCCATCATCCCTGACCACTGGTCCTGTTAGCTAGGTATGATGGGAGTTGTAGTCCCAAAACATTTGGAGGGCCGAGTTGGACTATGCCTGTTGTACAATGTCCCTGCCTGAATCTGTTGATAACAACAACAACAACAAATCAGTGTTAAAGTACATAAAGTGTATAAAGCACTGTACAAAGACTAAAAAGCTCCTATCTGCAGGCTGAAAGCCAAATAGATCCAACCCAAAAGCAAAGGAGGAGGTGAAATGGTAGAGGCCCCATTTCCTAACATTAGATAGCTCTCATAACTGGTAGCTTGAATGCAAATGGTTCAGGTAGGAAAGGACCCAAATGGCAGCCAGTCTCCCAAGTGAATAGATCAAGTGGACCTTTCTGTTCCACTTTTCCCTCCATGTGATTGCTGGCATCCCTCTGTCTCGAGAGACAGTGGAGAGCTCCTCCAGGGGTAAAGTCAAACCATGGGAGAATCACAGTGCCTGCTGTGGCTGCAGAGACCGGTAACTCAAAACTGCCTCCTGCAACTAAAAGATGATTTGAGGGTAAGAAGTGTAAACAGCAGTTGGACTCTGCTGCCCCGTATTAATTATTGCTCTCCTGCAACAGCAACCAGGTGGAATGCTAACTTCCTGAATCTCCTCATTATCTGAAGCCATCACCTGTCCTTATGAAAATATTTAAACCTTTTTCTCTCTCTCCAAATATTTTTCATGCCCTCTCCCCTTAACCAATGTCAATTTCAGGTCTAGACAAGGGTTGTCAGTGTCTGAACTCTAAAGTATTCTGAAATTTGGATTCCTATATATTGTGAATGTTTTGTAATTAAGCAAAATGATTTATGGTTTGGGACGTCAATATGATTATGACCATGCATAGTCCCATTCAATAGGTTAAAAAGCTTTGATAGGTATCTATTGAGAAAATCTTAGATACGTGCTATTCTGTTTGAGGACAGGGAATTGAACTAGATTAGGGCTGTAGGTTGCATATTGGTGAGTAGTAGCATTAATTTATTTCTCTGAAAAAAATCCATTACAAACAATGTAAGTTTTGAGACACACACAGACAAAAAGAAAAGAGCTGCTCTGAATGGAAAGAAGCAAGTCATTTTTTTCTTCTTTCCTCCCTCAAATAGCTCATTGTGTATGAAAAATGTGGCTGAATGTGCCATGCTGTTGTTTATCCCATGATAGCAAATTGCTGAACACAGGAAAATTTCAATTAATCAACAAAGCTATTGTTTGCTTTCAGATTTCGTTCTTGGCTTCCTTTACTGAGCTAGAGCAACTGTCAATAATGAACAATCCCTGTGTGATGGCCACACCTTCTATCCCAGGATTTGATTATAGGCCTTATATTGTCAGTTGGTGTCTCAATCTTAAAGTCCTTGATGGCTATGTGATATCTCAGAAAGAAAGGTAAGAAACTGAAGGTCACTGGATTGAAGCTGACTAAATGGAAGTAGCATACTATTCTGTATGTTTGTATTTTATTAAATTTAATTGCATTACTGGCTACTTTTGCTTACAGTGTATAAACATCTGCTATTGCTCTTACTTTATTCCACCACCATTGCATCTACAGTCATCCAGCAGAGTTATTCTGAGTCTATTTTGAGTTGGATTACCCATCTGCCTGCTGTGTCAACTTTGTTAGACACTTTGAGAATAAAATCACTACCATCCATTCTGTCTTAGATGTCAGTGGAATAGCGGATCCTAGTGATGTAGCTTTGGTATCTCCTGTTTTGATAAATTTATACAACCCCAGAATGTAGACAACATCTTTGTAGTATTCTGTGAACTGCCTTGAGACCCCTGGCTATAGCGTGGTATATAAATTCAAATAATAATAATAATAATAATAATAATAATAATAATAAATTAGTAAGAAATTGTCCACTAGTCCACTGGATCTTTGCCCACCTTGATTGATTAAAGAAGCCAGATGAGGTCTGGTTAGCAGTGTAAGAGTGTAAATGACTTATTGGAGTACGGAGTGATTACCATCCAGACTTAGAATAGCTGTTGTGGGACCTTGGTCAGGGTAGGGGGACCCCCTCTGGATCCCACTGGATAATTTCCTCCAAGACTCCAATATGCCATTATTGGGCAAGGTTCTTAAGTGTGTGGTGGCTTCTTAGCTCCAGGGGTCCTTGAAGGAAATGGATTACATAGACTTCAATTTTACATAGGTTCAATCCAGTTTTGGACCAGGAGTTGAAACTGAGACAGCTTGGATCACTTTGGCAGGCAACTGCTGTGCAAGGAGACAGAAAAGGGGAGTAGTTTTTCCTTGGTTCTGCTAAACCTCTCTGTGGCGATTGATACCATCATTCTGGGCTGCCAGACACTGTTTTGTGGTGGTTCCAGTCCTTTCACAAGGGTCAGTTTCAGAAAGTGATGTTGTGAGACTCTCTTTTGGCACCCTGATCATTTGGGCATGGTGTTTCTTATCAATTTTGGTTAATCTCTTTCTTTATTTTTATTGCACAGTGTTTTGTGCAAAAGGATTTTATAAATGTTCACGAAGAATACTTCTTTTCAAGATGATTGTTCTTCCCTCTAGCTTGAAAGCAGAATGGCTTTACAGTCAAGGAAAGGGAAGATCGTTTCGGCCAGGCCAGCACATTCAGTTAGTACAGTATCTTGCCAGTGTTTGTCCTCTTACTAGTATGTTTGGGCTCCAAACTGCAGAGGATGCTAAACTGGAAAAAATACTACATAAGCAAAGGTAAGAACATTATCTTTTGTCAACAGCTGGGAATTTTAACAAAGTAATTGTTATTTTGTGCAGAAAGAATAAAAGGATAACCAGTTAATCTTGACAGCTTCAGACCCGGCACTATCAACCCTAATTGTTGTTGTTTTGGACTCAGAGGAACTGGTTTGCAGAAAGACTTGTGCACCAGGCTCTTGGCTGATATTTTGCTGTTGGTTTAGAGCCACTCTGGCATTGATGCTTTAACAAAACCAGTCTCAACTCCTTGTCTTTAGGTTGCACCAGAGGCAACTGATGTACCAAAGCCAAGCTGATGAGCCACCTGTATCTTCAACTTTGCATAAAGGGCAGCCTGCTACCAGTGAGCCAAACAGCCCTGTTCACAGGCCACAAATAATGACTGAAAGTGGTAAGATTCATGGGTTTCTGTAATACTGTTTGTGATGATGAGCCCATTGTCTAATATACTGATAATCCAGCAGGAGCTGGTGGAGAGAGAGGATGGCAGAACCTTATGACTTGAAATAATGAAACTAGGGAAGCAGAGATGGAGTTGAAATTGAAAGGGAAAACGGTTCTAAAGACTGGGACTCTGGGTTAGACAGAGATAGTGTTTATGATATCACACCTTGACCAATGCAATCAGCAGAGCATGCTCGGCTCCAGCAGGGTAGTCCTGCAGAGCATTGGAGTCTTCTTGCTCTCCTGTTGTCAGCCTTTCCAGAGTGTAGAGTGTTTATTGTATCAAGATACAAGATAAGTCAAACACACTATCTACATAAACTTAAGAGATCCTAGTGCATCATGAACTATTATCTGATCTTAGACGTTAAACTGTAGAGATCCAAAGAGACAGAGAGATCCATTCACTTACTTCAGCTCAATACTACAGTGATACCTCAGGTTACAGACGCTTCAGGTTATGTGTTTTCTGGTTGCGAATCGCACCAAACCCGGAAGTACTGGAACGGGTTACTTCCAGGTTTCAGTGCATGCGCAGAAGCGCTAAATCACACAGAATTGCGACCCGTGTGTGTGCAGACGCCATGCTGCAGGTTGTGAACGCTGCGGGTTGCTAACGTGCCTCCCGCAATGATCACATTTGCAACCCAAAGTTCCACTGTATACAGTTCTGCAGCTATGCAGTAATAAGTAACTCCTAACTCCTTCCTGCTTAATGCAGCCTGGGTATTCTCCATGCATTCTCCACACATTCGTTGGAGAAAGGTAGGGTGGATGAATTTTAATTTCATTGGCAACCATGCATTTTTACGGGTGAAAGCCTAAAGAACGACATTCAAGGACACCTCTTGAGGTGAGAGTTTAGCCTATTCCAGAGGCCGGCAACCTAAGGGGCCCATAAGGGTCGCTTAACCAGCACATGAGCCGCCCCCAAACTAAGCTGCCCATTTGGCGAGTCCCCGCATGCTGCGCTAAACCGGTGCGGCGCCAGGACTTTCTTCTGTGGCTCTGGAAATCGCATCTGCGCATGTCTGCGGTGCTGGAAATCACTTCTGCACATGCCCAGACACCAGAAATCACTTCTGCGCAGGCTCAATCTCCAGCGTCACGCTGCACCGGCCCAGCCCACGGAGGTTTTCCACAGGAGTGATCCAGCCCATGCGCGGTAAGCCTTGCCGACCCCTGGCCTATTCCTTGGCGGCCCTAGCCATTTCACCAAGCCTGTTGATTTATATGGCTGTTGGTCATATTAATGTGTGGTGGCATGTTGGAAGAAGGCTTCCAAGATGTTCTGTTGCCCGTATGCGCAAGAGAAGACTCCCATCAGACAGTGTTAAGCTCTTTCCGCACTCTGCATCCCTGAAGATGCACATGATACTGACAATTCCACCTTTCATCCAATTAATGGAATGGACAGACATGTTGCATACTAAGGTGATGGCTAGCAGGAAGCGGGGGGGGGTCACTCAGTCATGCTCTACAGAGGTTCCTCAGGTATACAGGGGAGACCTAAATGGTTATGTTACTGCCTAGTTAAGTGTTTGTCTTCTTACCCTTTTCCAGAACCTGTTATCAAAAAGAATACATGGGTAGCAACAAAGTCAAATGATGATCATTCCTATGCAGTTAAAAATGTTTTCCCCTCATCACCGCAAACTGAAATAAGTATTTCTAGAGATCTCTACCTGGATGACATGCAAACTGACGAGGACAAGTTGAACAGTAGTCTTCTATCCTCAGAGTCTACTTTTATGCCTGTTGCGTCTGGCCTCTCCCCAGTGTCTCCTACTACTGCAGAACTGAGACTTCACAGAATTAATATTGAGACAGAAGGTATGGAGGATGCTGACTTTGAATTTATAAAAGAGGTTAATAAACAAGGAACGCAGGAAACGACTTCTGTGATTCTTGGGGAATGTGCCATCAAATCAACAAAGGCTGTGGAAACTCAAAAGGAAGATCAAGAGGAAGGAATATCGTCCACTTCTAGTTTGTCAGCAGCCACCGCTACTCTTTCTGCTAGCATTAGCAGTTGCCAAGTATCCTCTGAAGACCATGTTGAGCACAGTGACCTCAAGCGATCACATACTCCAGAAGATGGTGTTATCAAAACTGTTTTCCCTGCCAAATATCCAGAAGAATTGCCTGCTAGCGCAACTGCTACTTTAATCCAAAAGTCAGATATGCTTGAAGAAATGAACAGAGCAGCCACCAAGATTCAAGCTTGTTGGAGAGGATTTTACACAAGGAACTACCATTCCAGAGCCAAGGAAGTGCGTTATGAAATTCGACTCGGTAGAATGCAGGAACACATTATACATTTAACTGAAGAAGTAGACAAGTAAGTTAGCAGTCGTTTTCAAACTGGAAGTAATTACAATAGAAATACTGACTTATCTAACTGCTAACGATGTAACAAGCACAGTAGGAGTGTTTAGGAGGTGTTGATGGGGACTCTAATTCTCTAATGTCTCTAATTCTGTGTTTGGAGCAAGGTGGGAGAAAATTGAATAACCCATCAGCTTCAGAAGGTCTTGGAAGTAATAGAAGTTACAATCTGTTCTGAAGAATTACATTAATATAATTATATACAGAAAGAGTCATTCTCTTCAAAAATTACTAGTAAAAAATAAGGGTTTTACTGTGGTCAGAAGACTGAGAAGTTCACCCATACAGATCCAATGCAGAGTCCACCAAACTGCTGATAAAATGCATAACAAGTACTGCAGCAAATTGTTTAAATTTATTTATAAAATCATATATATTTATATGTTTACCATATGTAGATTAAGAAAGGAAAAAGATGAGGAGAAACTTCAAAGACTTGTGCAAGAGGAAGCTGTAAAATTCCTTTGGGACCAGGTAAAAATATCATTTCTAAATCATTTTCTGACTTTGTGTTAATAAAAACCATGGTTCACTAATCAAATAAGCTGAAGAGATATATGTACCATGTTGGGTAGTTTAGGTGATTTATAGTGCCTATCTACTCAGAAGCAAGTTTTGTTGAGTTTAGTGGGACTTATTCTCAAGGAAGTGTCAATAGGATTGTAGCTTAAGGGTCACCTCACACAGGATGCAGTTATTAATATTGCTCTTTCATATGAAACTATAAATATGGTGGCACATGACGTGCATATAAGTCTAATTGAAATGATAACATTTCCTTTTGTGTGGTATTTGCAGGTTAGATGCATCCAGGAGTGGCAACTTTCAGTGAACTCACATCTCACTACTTTCCGGCAGCAGAATACTCCTTCATCAAGCATTTTGGGTCCCTTCAAGGTCCATATAGACTCGCCTGGACGAAACCAAGTACCTTCTCCTGTCGGCAGTTCAACCTGGTTCGTTTCAGCTACTGAGGCTTGTCATCAGAAATGCTTGCCAGAATTTCCTGACTCGGGGTTCCATTCCTGTGTGACTGACCAGAACTGCCTTCAGGAATCTCAGTGCTGTGGAGAAAACGTGGCAGAAGTAAATGGTGACGGCTCTCTAGAGAGTTCTTTCAAAACGGTCAAACCATGTGAAGATTCTCTTTCCGAGTGCCCTTTAGCAGCTGAGGAGATTGAACTGGACCACGAGGAATGTTGTAAAGAGAGTTTCAACAGTGAGCAAGACAGCAGTAGTCTTATCCAGCAGTATTTAAAATCGGTTGAGCAGCTAGATAATGATGACAAGACAAGTTGCAGCAATGGAACAGGCAGTTGTAGGCCGAATACAGCTGCCTCATCAGAAGACCCGGATGTGTTATGCAATGCTACATCAGACTCCCAAGAGGTGCTTGCATCGGGACAAGGTGGAACTGGTCAGCCAGAAATCTGCAATTTGAATGCAGAAAGGCCAGAAGGAAAACAGACAGACTGTGACTCTTCTTTCCAGGCACTTCCTGTTAGCATAACCGTGTAGCAGGTATTCCGTTAGAAAAGCCACATTAATGTTTTTGTTATTGTTGTTTGTATGAGATTTTTATACATTTTTGGAGACTTGTGCTCCTGTGCTGTTAAAGCATCTTAGGTTGTGAATAGTTTTGCTAATAATCTAACCTCTGACTGACAGACACTGTGTTAATCTGTAACAAGTATGTTTCACTACAGTGGACATGATGCACTTAACTTTTTATGTGATCTGAACAGGTTTTTATGAAATATAATTTTGAAGACTCTAACTACTTTTCTTATTACCTTACTACGTGAACTAAGCAGTTCTCTTTTCCCAAAATACTAAGCATACATGTGTGTTATTATCTTCATTTTAATAAACCAATGGGAGTAATTGAAATAGCTACATTGAGTACTTATAATTTAATGGCTATACAAGGTTAAGACATTCACAGTCAATAATTTTTAAGTATTTTGACCAACAGTTTGAAAATGTATGCTTAAACTCAGGTACTAAGCCATAGCTTGGATATTTTATTCGCCAGCCTTTTTTCATTTATAAGTCATCTTTTTTAAAAAAGAAAGAAAGATGAAATAGTTGAATATCAGTTTAGAAACATGGCTGCTTGAGTTCCATTTATCACAGAGTCCTTTATCATAGGGGTATTTTATCTAAGAGGATTTGCGATGATGTAATTCTTTTGGATTTTAGCCTGGGGGGAAGTTTCTGTATGATAAGAGCGATAGACTCGTAATCTGGGGAACCGGGTTCGCGTCTCCGCTCCTCCACATGCAGCTGCTGGGTGACCTTGGGCTAGTCACACTTCTCTGAAGTCTCTCAGCCCCACTCACCTCACAGAGTGTTTGTTGTGGGGGAGGAAGGGAAAGGAGAATGTTAGCCGCTTTGAGACTCCTTTGGGTAGTGATAAAGCGGGATATCAAATCCAAACTCCTCTTCTTCTTTCAAGGGCTACAGTATTCTTGGAAAGGAAGTTGCAGTGCTTCTAGCACTGCATTCCGAAGGTCAAAATAACAGAATTGTTCTTATTTCACCTGTTCACATTCTGGGGAATTTCTTAAATAAAGGTGGCTGAGACATTCTTTTTAACACGTGAGCGTTATATGACCATGGTTATTAACTGTTTATAGGATACTACTTCAGCTATTTTAGCACAAGCATGTCTTGGTGCTGCAACATCTGAAGTTTAGGGTGTAGTTTGCCACTTTATCTTAGGAGATGTCTTGGTTCAAATCATTATCTGCACCCTAGCTGGGACCTAAGACATTGGTGGTTGGGATGTAAGAAACCAGTGGTTGGAATTGTTCACTGCTGAAGGGGAATTGGCTACATGGATCTAGGAGTTTCCTGCATTAATGGAGACTTGGAAGCTCTCCCTTTTCCAGTTGCAACTGTCGAGAGATTGACACACAGAGCTTACTGGTTTCTACAGGTGTAAACTCCTTGACAGGTTTTCAAAATTATTATGAATAGTTACTGCCACAAGTGGTAAACAGGTATTTTTATTCATAAGACTTGGAAGAATTCAGATGAGATAGTGATTTGTACCACCACTATCCAAGCAATATTGTTTAATTCCTAAACAAAGATTGTGCATAGTGGTGGGGAACCTCTGGTCTGTGAACCTAAGGAGGCCTGGTATGCCCCCCTAATTTGGCCTATGAGACTGTTCCCTCCCACAAAACCACACCTACCTGATCCACATCTTATGGTAGGAACTCTTAAGAATATTCCCAGTTGTTCCTTGGTAAGTGGACAGTGCTAATCAGGTGATGGGTGCCAACAGACAGTCCCACTTCGTCTGTTTGTAGGCATGGTTTGGATTCAAATTGATAACTTTGATGATGTCATCTGATGTAGTCATGATGACTGGTGACTGACTGGTGCACAGCTGTGCTGACCTGTCAGAGTGGCCCATGGGTGAGGTGAGGATCCAGTATGCCACTCCTGTTATAGGCGGTCTGAAAAATGATGTGTCAACTTCAAAAATGGAGGAATTATTTTGCCACGTACATATGGATAGACATTTTATAAAAGTAAATGCCTATCGCTTCAAGGTGTACCATCATGTATTTTAGAATGCAAGAATGGAGTGATACGCAATGTAAGATCTAATAGATTTCATTTGAGCATTTGCTTAAGGGGTCTTGAACTGACATCACAGCCACATAACTGCTTTTCATTTTATAACTTCCCCCATAGGAATTTATATTGTCTGTTTTGATTATAGGTCATTAGATTAAATTAATTCCTGTAGGCACAGGACCAATGCATCAAGAAGGGCTGCAGGCATGTAGTTAATTGGCTAAATGCCTGTTTTGTGCAAGAGAGAGAGGTCTAAAAACACTAGGCACAATTCAAATAGTTATGTATTTTAGGTCCCATTAGTTTTAATGGGAGAACTTTAAGCATGCACTTGAACTTCACCCTTTTAAATCAGTTAGCTTAATTTTGAACATTTTAAAAACATTTTTTAACTATCGTTGTGAGTTATATCTGCATGTTATAATGAATAAAGGAACAAAGCACATCTGCCTTCCAGCTGGGTTAATGAAATCTGTCTTCCATTAGAAAGCTGCAAGTGTTGAATGACTCAACACTTTAGAAGCTTGGAGTGTTGCAACCTTGCCCCAGTTAAGTAAAAATTCTCGCAGAACGTTGCAGTATACCTAGAATTTTTAAACTATTTCCTGCTATGTCCAAAAAATTTCCATGAGATGTGCTGGAATGACCCCTGTCTCTCTCAAAAGAGAATGTTAAATTAACAAAGCATGTATCTGAAAAGCAAAGGTGAAATCAAATGCCACTTGAGCAGACTTTGCTTGTAAAATACAGCTTTCTCTTCCCCTATGCCCACCTGATCTGTCCCAGAGGACCTCCAAACCTCTGGAGCAGGTTGGGGGGGGGGCATTTGGGGAGGACTGCAGGGGGGAAGAGAGAAAAAAGTAAGCCCCACCTCATAATGCGTTGAAGTCCGTTCTGCTTGCACATGGACAGCATTGGTTGCTGCCCAAAGCTATTTTGATCACTTACTAAAGTCGGGCCTGTGTCATGTCATTTTGACAAGTGCCTCACTGGCTGCCCAATAGTTACACTGGAGTGCTTTCATGCTACAATGGAGTATTGTCTGGATGCAATCTAACGATCTCATTGACAGTGAAATGGGTTGGCCGTGTCCAGCTTGAAACATGAGAACTCTTTCTCTGCTTGTAATCTGGTGAAATGCCTGACCAGACTTGGTTGCGACAGACTGTTCAAAAGCATCCTGAGGAAGATAATACATTTTGTAGGTGCAAAATGTAAGGTACATTTTGTAAGAGAGCTGATGCCACAGAAAATCACATTTTCATAGAATCCTCAGAATTTTGATAGTTTGTCTATGGCAGTGGAGCTTGAAAATCATATGCACAAACACTTTTCAGTTAACTGTATTAAATACATTTAGATTTAATTTTGCTTGTATGTTGATGTCGACATGTAACAATGAAAAGGTTTTTAGCATGTTAAGACATTCACAGTATATACCAGTGTGTAAACTTTCTGAGCTTTGTCATACTGAACAATTTATACCAGTATGTTTTGCTTACATAGAGCATAAACGCTAATTATGAGCATTTGGGGCAGGGAGACTAGTCTGCAGGGTTATGTGTCATTTGGAATATATATATATATGCAGAAAAATTGTGGCATTATGTAGATTAAACAGGATTACAAAACTTCTTGTTTTGTCATGGGGAAGGAAGAGTGTTAAAAGTACTCAAATTTACATAACAATCTGGTTCCTTTTCTATCACTGCATCCTTAAAAGATGTGTTAAATTTATATGAACAGCTGTCAAATATGTAAAAGCCTGAGTTAAACTTTAATAAAGTCAAATGCCATTTTTGCATTAGCTGGTTCACTTAATTGTGAGGCTGGTTATGTCAGTGTGGTGTTTGTGGCAGGATGTCAGACTGAGAACTGGGAGATGAAACTTTTTTCTAGTTCTGCAGCTGCTCTGCTTTCTTGTGAATTACCATAATTGTAAAGGAGGAAAAGGGAATTGTGATGCACAGCAGCAGAAAGGAAGCTAGTAGTACAACTGGTGAAGGAGAGAATCTGAGAATATGGCCTATTGGTAATCATAGGTCAGTCAGTAGTTATAAACAAAGTAGGTTATATCCACCTCTGCTGTTCCAATTGTACAAAAGACATCCTCCAAAATCTATTCCATTGTGTTGGGGGACCCTTTGGAGATATTGGGGGCAAGCGAGGAGAGGAAGGTTGAAGCCATGCTATGGAACTCTGCTTGTACAGTACAGCATTGGATACAAGCCTGCAATCTTGAGAGCACGTGGTCGAACACTGCTCTAAAACGAATAAAGGTTGTATCCAAGCTGCTGTTCCACTCATGCAACAGACGGATGCTAAGACAATGGAGCTTTCCCCACCCTTGCAAGCTCTCTGTGCAGCCTCAAAAATCTGCTCCAGATCCACTCCAATTTGTCTTCCAACTCTACAATGTGATTCTAGGAATAACGATTACTCACCTTTTGTACCCGGCTCCTCTAGCCAAACTCTGGGCAAATATAATCCGATTAAAATACAATTCAATTTTAACAGCGCTTTTAAATTACAGGAAGCAGCAGTCTCGTGCATTTAATTTAATTCTAACGGGGAGTGTGCTTAGCGCACTTCGCTTCGCTGCTCACAAATTGCGAGCGCTTTCCGCTCGTCACGTTGCTTCCTAGTGACCTGACGGCGTCGAAGGGACCCCGCCCCAGATTCTCCCAGAAAACCAACCCACCCCGAGGCCCAGGCCCTTGCCCGGGAGGAGCAAAGCAACGCAGCGAGCGGGGTGCGAAAGAACCGCAGCAGGCCAGGCGGCAGAGGCAGGAGACAGGCGCCGAGGCCAGACCGCAGTGCGGGGAGTGCACCGCCCCGCACAGCGAGGATGCAGCAAAGATAAGAGACGATGCTGCTCGCCAGATGCCAGTCTCCCTGCGCGCGCACAGGAGCCGAGGCAAGGCGGGCAGGTGTCCAACGCACCAAGCCAGCAAAAGGAACCTCGCCGCTCGCCGCTGTCGGGTCTGGGCGGACGACTTTCCTCCCGGGCGCGAGGAGGGGAGCGCGTCGCTATCTGCAAGCGACCTCCGCGAAGCAGCGGGCGGAGGCGGCGCCGGCGCTTCGTAAGGAATTCCCCTTTCCGCGGTGGTCTCGCCCGCCGAACCCTCCTCCGAGCGGAGGGCAGCCAATGGGCAGCTGCTGAGCACCCGAAAGAGGAGGTGGGCGACGCGGGAGGGGAGGCTTCCCTGGCAGTCGCCTTCCGTCGCTCAGGAGGGTCGGAGGGGCTGGGTCGCCGCGAGGTACGAGGGCCCTGGTGAGTGGGGATGGGGGAGGGTGTCGCGAAGGACTCAGACCTGCTGTGACCCCGAAGCCCCTCTTGCTCGGGGCTCTTTATTTCACGAGGGAAGAGCGCTCTGCGTATGCTCTCCGAGGGGTTCCTTCGCTTGCTAAAGAGGGTCGGTTTCTGCTCGCTGACTGAGCTTGGAGGGGAAGGTAGTCCCTGCATGGATGGGTCCAGCGTCGGTGTAACATATTCGGCCCAGCGGGAAGGGAAGGGAAGGAGGCACTTTATCACTTCGGGCGGGACCGTTAGTCGGGCTGCAGCGTTAGGATTTCTTGAAAGCTTTATAGCCCTATCCCAAGGTGTCAGCTTTATATAGCAAATAGATCATCCTTCTTTTCTTTTTTTACCCTCACGTCATTCCTGCAAGATAGTGCTTCCCTCCCCTCCCTTGTTATTGTCTTACTGACATTTCCAGATAACATCTAAAATAGTAGGAACTTGCAATGCATTAAAATGAAGAAGGAAAGGAATTGATGCAATGACTTCGCTAAAGCTTCATGGCTGAGCTGGGATTTGAACCTGATAACTGAAGGTTCAGCGATATATGGCTGCAGGTTCTTTCTTTCCCCTGAGTTCACCTTTTCTGTTTTAGATGTTGTTGACGTGCAAAGGATTTTTTGTACAGCTTCTGGAATTTGATCTGTTCCTTCAAAAGTTCTTGAATGGTCTAGGGCACCTTCCATGGCAATCTCTTATTGGATCCACTCACACCTTTTTGTTTTGCCCTTTCATGTAGGCCTTTTGGGGGCTCTGAACTTGTGGTCCTGGGGTCTTTAGCTCTTCCTCTGTGCTACCCCCTCCTAGCAGCTGTAACCCATAAGGCTGTGGTGGTGGTGGGGATACAGAGGGTATGTGTATCCTTGTTGCAGACCATGTTTTTTGAATTTCCCCAGGTAGATACACAAAGATTGTAAGGAGGATTCTAAAGGTTTGGGGGCTGTACTACTCTTCATTTTATATCAGCTTCTTCTGTAGCTAAATTCTGGCTAAGGAAGACCCTGAGAGAATCTTCCTGGATCTAGCCCAGCGTCTCTTTCCCACAGCTGTCACTCAGATGCCTATGAGAGGCTCACCAAGCAGAGTATGAGGGCAATAGCTGTCTTTCCACAGCAATTAGTATTCAGAGCCACGGTGTCTCTGGTGCTGGAGGTAGTAAAAAAAGAAGGTGGTAAAAGACCCCTGGACGGTTAAGTCCAGTCAAAGGCGACTATGGGGTGTGGCACTCATCTCGCTTTCAGGCCGAGGGAGCTGGCATTTGTCCACAGACAGCTTTTCGGTTCATGTGGCCAGCCTGACTAAACTGCTTCTGGCACAAATGGACACTGTGATGAGTGCCAGAGTGCACAGAAACGATGTTTACCTTCCTGCCACAGTGGTACCTATTTATCTACTTGCGCTGGTGTGCTTTCAAACTGCTAGGTTGGCAGGAGCTGGGACAGAGCAACGGGAGCTCACTCCTTCGTGGGGATTCAAACTACCAACCTTCTGATCAGCAAGCCCAAGAGGCTCAGTAGTTTAGACCACAGCGCCACCCATGTGGAGGTAGTATAGCTATGATGGTGAGGAGTTGCTGATAGCCTTCATGAGTTTGTCTAGCCCCCTTTAAAACCACCTAAACTAGGGGCCATCACCAGATCTTGTGATAGTGAATGCCATGGTATAACTGTGTGTGTGCTTCAGTACTTCATTTTGGCTGTCCTGAATCCCTCACTTTTCAGCTTCATTGGATGATCCCAGATTCTAGTACTGTATTATAAGAAAGGGAGAAAACCTCATGTTTATCCACTATCTCCATACCTTGAGTAATTTTCTACACCTTTATTATGTCCCATACCCTACCCTTTCCCCACTCGCTCTACTTCCTTATCAGTTTGGTTGCATCTTTTAAAATTCTGCAATATCTCTTTTTGAAATACAGCTACCAGAACTGTACATGGTATTCCAAGTGTGGTCGCACCATAGATTTGGATAAGGCATTATGATCTTTGCAGTTCTGTTTTTGATCCCTTTGCTAAAGATCTCTCACAGGGAACTTGCATTTTTCATAGCTGGCACATACTGTCTTTGCATGTCATGGTAAGCCATAGTTTATGGCTTACGGTGATTGAATAGAACCTATGATGAAGAACCTATAGTATCTGAGTAAGAATAGTAAAGCATGTGGGGTCCAGCTATGGCATCATTTGAAGTTGTTTTCACAAACCTGCTGGCCTGGGTAGGTTTGGCCACCCCTTTTTACACTGGATCTTGCGGACTTCCAGGGTGGCGCCATCGGTAATGGCTGCTTCCCTCTGATTCGGAGGGAACCGGCTCTACGGAAATTGGGTCTGTACCGCTACGGCGCAGCGGAGACCCTCTAAAAATCACAGGCGGGTGAAGCCTGTGACCGTGGGACTCAGCGGGCACCGTTTGTGCCCCCCCAATTGCAAAAGGAGCTCGGCAACGGGCTCCGGAGCAGAGCGGGGGTGGCGTGGTGCTGTGAGCCAATTGCTTCTTTGAAAACAACTACCCGTGAGTAGGATTAAATTGGATTCAAAAGGGAAAAAAACGTCTAATTTGGTACTGAGCGGGAAGGTACAACCAGGAAGTCTGCCTTTCTTTCATTGTAAATAGATCAAAGCAAAGAGACTCTAAAGCGGAAACATAGAAAGTTGCTTGAAAAAAGAGCTAAATCTTAACATTTGGAAAGTGGCCCCCCCTCCGGATTGCAGGAGAGGAGGGGGAAAAGACTGAGCTGAATTTACCTGCAAAAAAGAAGGGGAAAAGGAAGTTAAAATTTATTGCTTAAAACCTGGAACGGACTGCCTTGAGATAAGGGTCGCACAGTGGAAAGCTTATTTTTGACAGCTAATTCTGCAAAAGGGATACAGTGTTTCTGGACTTCTTCTGGCTTGAAAGTAACTGTTTAATATAACTTGCTGTTGAAATGGAATACTCAGGATGAAACGGTGAAATCTGCTATGATTAAATGGGCACAAGATGTTGGACATAATATTATGTTTGCTGACTGGGAACAGTTATGGACCACAGGTATGAAGTTTACGGCATGTAATGCCTTAAGAGAGAATATTATGAAAATGATATACAGGTGGTACATGACCCCAGTCAAGCTTGCGAAAATCTATCATTTGCCCGATAATAAATGCTGGAAATGTAAAGAAACTGAAGGTACATTCTTTCACCTTTGGTGGACGTGCCCAAAGATTAAGGCTTTCTGGGAAATGATATATAATGAATTGAAAAAGGTATTTAAATATACCTTCCTGAAGAAACCAGAGGCCTTTCTTCTGGGCATTGTCGGCCAATTGGTGCCAAAGAAGGACAGAACTTTTTTTATGTATGCTACAACAGCAGCAAGAATACTCCTTGCAAAATATTGGAAGACACAAGATCTACCCACTCTGGAAGAATGGCAGATGAAGGTGATTGACTACATGGAATTGGCAGAAATGACTGGCAGAATCCGAGACCAGGGAGAAGAGTCGGTGAAAGAAGACTGGAAGAAATTTAAAGACTATTTACAGAAATATTGTAAAATTAATGAATCTTAGAAGGATGTTGGATAGAAACTAAGTGGTTTCCAGCTGTAATGCTTTAAGAATGAAAAAAAGGTTCACAAATGGGTAAAAGCTTAATGGTAAGGATTTGCTGAACTAACAAACTGAACTGGAATACAAAAAAGGGAGGTATGAGGAGGTCCGGGGAAATAAGTGTAAGGAGGATATGCTATGGAAAATTAATGTGTTTTTAACTGTTTTTATTTTGTATGTTTCTTTTTATTTTTCATGGGAAACAAGGATATGAATGTAAGTTATGGAAAGATGGATCTATTTTTCTTTTTCCTTTTTCTTTTTAAGGGTTTTTTTATTCTTTTTTCTGTATTTTGTATTTTCTTGTATTTTTACTTTTTGTTTTTGTGTAATTCTTGTATTCTTTGAAATTTTAATAAATATCATTAAAAAAAATAATACACTGGATCTTGCAAATTCTGACTAGAATTTATGGCTCTGGGGTTCACTGAAGAGTTGTTGTTTTTTCCTGCTAGCAGATCCTAATTATTTATTTGTACTCCAAATTACGAACTGCATTTAGATAGAGCTCTTAGAATGCGGACGCGGGTGGCGCTGTGGGTAAAACCTCAGTGCCTAGGGCTTGCCGATCGCATGGTCGGTGGTTCGAATCCCCGCGGCGGGGTGAGATCCCATCTTTCGGTCCCAGCTCCTGCCCACCTAGCAGTTCGAAAGCACCCCTAAGTGCAAGTAGATAAATAGGTACCGCTTTATAGCGGGAAGGTAAACGGCGTTTCCGTGTGCTGCGCTGGTGCTGGCTCGCCAGAGCAGCTTCGTCACGCTGGCCACGTGACCCGGAAGTGTCTCCGGACAGCGCTGGCCCCCGGCCTCTTGAGCGAGATGAGCGCGCAACCCTAGAGTCGGACACGACTGGCCCGTATGGGCAGGGGTACCTTTACCTTTACCTTAGAATGCTATATCCCAAGAGCAGGTCTGAGGACCCCACTCCAAACTCTTTCTAGCTTCAGCCTCGTTCTTCAGACTGCTAATTTAACTGGCATTTTAGGCATGCATAGTTGTTATTGAACATGCAGAACTATCCCATTTGGATTCCCACAGAGTTAAAGGCATCCAAAACTATAGGCAATTCAGAAAAGAAACCCGCTGAAAAGATTGTTTTTAATTTCTCTCTGCTAGTTCTGTACTGATGGTAGTTTGCTGGTTGGAACTTAGAAAGTTACTAAGGGTTGTATCCATTGGATCCATGGAAATTTATGAACCTAAGTAGTCAGTGGAATTACTCCATGGAGTAGCCATAAGGCAGTATCTGTATGTGGTTCTCAGTATTCACACACAACTAGATCAGAACAGTGGTAGAATATGAAAATCCACATACAGTTACTAGCCTAGACTACGTCCAAGGGGACATAGCAAGTTGGGGGTTTCTGAATCCGCCTCCAAGGAAAAGTCTTGGCTTCTTCCCCCCCCCCCCCCCAAACAAGCACTTTGAGAATTGGAATTTTGCTTTGAGACTTGAGGCCTTTGAGGGTGGAGTGTTTAGTATCACTTGCTAATTTGAAACCCACCCATGGGAAAGTTAGGTTTACTGATTGGCTCCAAATCTGGGGTTCCCAAACTGTGGCTGGCAGTTAGATGCTCCTGGCTACTTTGTGATTTGTAAAAATGCAATTAAAAACAACAGAACATCTAATACAGTGCATTACAATTGCTACAACAGGCAGAAGAAAAAAATTAAGTGAGCCATCCTCATAAATGTTCATGTGGGGCGCAGGCTGTTCGTATGTGGAAACCACTGCTCTAAATAAACCAGACATGTTTTAAAGGGTGGGGGCAGAGGAGGGAGCATGTTCCAATAAAAGGGTTTTGTCACAGTGAAAACCCTATCTGCCTCTCGATGATAGTAGAAAGTAGGTCATGTTGTCTGAGTGCAAGAGGCCCCTGTGGAAAGATTCCACTAAGTGGTCTTTAATACAGACTGGCCTTGCACTATTTGACATAAATCTTAAGCAAGGCATTATGTGTTTTGCAGGAGGGAAGAAGAGGAAAGCCAGCTGCAGATGGAACAAATAGCACCTGTAGTGGCGTGCTGCTCCTGGCTACCTTTGTTTTTGTTCTTGCACAGCAGTCTGAACACATCTCTATAACCAAGAGTGCCTGGATCTGAAATGATCACCCTTCTTGGACCTTGCAGCTTGTATATTCATACAAATAAAACAGTAGGATTTTCCCTTTTACTCTTATTAATCTATTCTCAAGCATGTGTTCCCCCTTATAATGTGGAGTCATATTTCAGAATTTCATATGATCTCTGTAATCCCTTTATATAATCTGTGCAATGATTAACACGTGGTCTCTGCACTGCAGGAGCATGGATTATTTTTAAATATATATCTGTGTGGCCATGTTCTACTTCATAGCATTAATTTTGTAAGTGCTTACTGTATTATTAGGATTCAGTAGCTAATTAGAATTCATTCTCTTACATAATGGAGTGAAGTGAAAGCACATTAACAGAAACCCATCCTTACTGGAATAGTTCACGAAATGCAGCTTGTTTCATAATGTGTCCCTGGAATAGTTTTCTGGAGCATAAACAGGAATAATTGAATCAATTTACAGACCCTGAAAGAAGGCAAAGGTCAATGGAAGCAGCAGTCTTCGGATGATCGTTGTTAAATATTCAGTGCCGTATAATGCAAGCACCGACCGAGTTTTAAAACTTCAAAGTTTATTCAGAGTAAGTCTCTCTCTCTTTTAATTTGTTTATTTAAGTGTATTCTTAAATAGAATTTCACAACCATCTTCCGCTGAGCAGATTCTATATTGCCTAGCTAGCAGTATATTGTATGTGTTGGGCTGCATTACCAACTGTAGTGTTCAGAAAGAACCGAGAGAGGAAAAAGAATAATTCAGTTTAGCATTAGGATGTTTCCTAAATTAAATCTAGGATCTTGAAATTCATGCAGCTTTCTTAAAACAGGAGATTTCAAAGTGATGCTGAAAGGCTAAGAATTGCGTGCTGTTGGCCATCCATTAGCTGAGCTGTATGTACGTTCTAGAATGCTCACAGATATTCTAACTGCTCTGGCAAACTCAGCAATTAGTTTATTGCCTGTTTAGCTACAGAAAGGGAAGTGAAATGTTAGTTTGAGTCTTAACACATCTTCACATAGGGCTTAAGGACAAGAGAAGCTATCAGCAGGGAGGTGGAAAAGAAGAAATGGGGATGTCAGGCAGTTGGGAAATGCAGGGAAGAAGGATGAGAAGAAGGCTGAGGTGTAGAGGGAGCTTGAAATAATAGGCATTGGGCTGAGGGAAAACTATGAAAAGAGTGAAGAAAAGGAAGAAATAAAAATAGGTCTTCTGGTATTATGTCCATATACTGTAAACCACTTGCTGAATTGGCGGCTTTCTAGAGAAGAAATATCCCACCTCTGTCATAGACAAAGGCACCGTAGGGTAGAATGGAGAGGCCCTTAATCTGGTATTGTTCTCAGGACGGCTGTACTCTGAAAAAATCCATTCAGGTAATATGAATGAATTTCACTGGGGATTGGTTACAAATTCTGGTGCAAGACTTATTATCTGTTTGTTTTACTATTAGTGTAGCCAAAAGCAACATTGAAAAGGTATCTTTAATGCTAAACAGCCGTTCTGCCTCAGCTGAGATGTAATGAGGATTTGCCATGCCATTATCTTTTTTTCTTTCCAGTTCTTTTTTTTTTTTAATTGCTTGATTTATGCTTCTAACGCTCCTGAATGTCATGTGGGAAACCCATTTTTTATTACTTTAGATGTATTTTAAGATCTAACTGGAAGCTTTTAAAAATGCATTTGCAGGAAGAGGAAATGCAGCAGAAACCTCCGGATGAGATTTCCTGTGTAATACTGAGTAACAATGACACTGGCGCCTGTGGGATATGGGCAACATGGCAACATCTTACGTGGGTGAGAGAGAGATGAAGGGATCATGTGGCCCAATTTTTCCAAAATACAGATTTTGTGCCTCATTCTGGCAGTGTTGGCGATTCTGGCTTTACTACACAACTTTTACGAATTAGAGGTGAGTGACTCACCTCCCTCCGGGGCAGGGCAAGTAAGTTGGGCAGCATTCTTCCTGTTCACCAGAACTTTCCCCATGCCAGATTATATACATGTGACTGCACCATATTTGCTTCTTAGGTACATCGTGAAAAGGGCATACCAATAAAATAGCATGGAAGGGTGGGGATAGGGTGGGAGGAATGTGTATGACAGGAATGTGGCCCTCAGCGGGGGGGGAGGGGGTTTCCTCAGCCCTGTGTTAAAAGATGGAAGAAGGATTTAGACCTATATCCAAAAAAACCTGGAATGTGTTCATTTAGGAATGTGCTCTTTCATACCTTAATTTGTACACCTGTCTGTAGTAGAGCGCTATCCTTTAAACTCTCGTACATAGGCAGCAGCACAAACTGACTTGCATGTGCAACATATCACTGGGAAATGCATGGCAAAGTGCGGTAGTATTTATTGTTGCTGGGATTGCCCCAGGCATCGGTGATTTTCAAATATAATATTAGTCCACTTCTTAAAAAAAATACATTGATCCAGCTTTATCACCAGAGGCTCTGGTGGCCTCAGTGGCTTGGAGTTCCAGCTGTTTCGCCAGCCACAGCCATTCCTGGACAGTGATTGATAGATAGCCATGTAATCTGTGTGCTAGTCACCTTCCATGGGAAATTTGCTTGGAGATGGTTCTGAAGCTGCAGCTTATGTGAAATACAGCTGTCAGGGTCTTCACTGATTTAACCAGGTGAAATCCTATTACAGTATGTTGATTCTGAAGGGTTTGCACTGGTTGCTTATATGCCACTTTGTCAGTTCAATATCTTGCCCTTAACTTTAAAAGCCCTAAATGAGTTGGGGCCTTCTTGTCTGAAGGAGGGCTCCTCCTGATTTTGTTTTTTTTAAAAAGACTTACAAATAGTTAAAACAAGCATCTCATGCAGAGTTTTATTATCATTAAAAAACCATCCAGCTGAGCTCCCAGTATTGCTTCCATTTGAAAATTCTACTGTATTAGAGCCCCATCTTGGGCAGAACTTTCTACACTATTTTTTATTTATTAAAATATTTATTAACTCCTCTGTGTTGGTTAGTATACAATAATAAATGAATTCTTGAACACCCAAAGCCACAAAAACATAAGGGAAGTATCCCTAAATTTTACTTAGAGTAAACCTACTGAATTTTAATGAACCTAAGCAATTCACATACATTAATTGCAATATGTCTTCTTTATGTAGGACTAACACTGAATACAACCCATAATAACCATGTTCAGCATAAAATCTTCAAATAATGCCAACAAACAGGTCAGATACTGAACTACCCTCAACATGCCCAAATGCCTAAGTAAAAAGCCAGGTTTTAAATTGACACCATACTATAGCCAACATGGTTGCCTGCCAGGCACCTATGAAAGGCAGGACATTCCAGGGCATCACAACAGAACACTTTCTCATGCACATCTGCATCATGCAACCCTATGTATTCTTGCAGTTTAATGGGAACTCTGCATTCAGAAGGTCCCAAATTCAGTCCACAGCAGCTCCAGGTACGGCTGGGAAATAACTCCTGATCTGAAATACTCCAGCCCTGCTGTCAGTCACCGTACACCATGCTGAGCTTGACAGCTCAAGGGTCTGACTCTCTGTATGAGGAAGCTTGTTACATTTTGCTGTTCTGGGGATCTTTATTATCATGCTTTTCGTTGGCTGCAAACCGCTTGTGTAGCCCATAAGTGGTATATAAACGCTGTTAGAAAGAACACTTCACATCTCTTTATTTGTGCTGTGAATAGGCTTGCTTCTAATAGCTTCCTTCTTTTGCAGAATCTGAACGAAGCAGGTTTAAAGTGGTTGGTAGAAGATGATGACCAACAGCCATCGTTACAGATGACTAAAATACCCAGGAAGCTTTACTGTGGATATGAGCGCCAAGTCTTGTCCAAGAGAGAACAAGGGGAAGAGGAGTCCTTATTTGCTGCTATACAGTGGCCCAAACCTCTGGAGGACAAAACCCCATTTGTGAGGAGCACTGACCCCTCCCATAGCAACTTTGTGATACTGAACACCCGTACACATTTCAAGGTTGGTGATCAGCTGGAGGTGCTGGTCCACATGAAAGACTATGAAGGCAAACCAAAGCATTATGGTGGGGACTACCTTCAGACAAGAATCCACTCTGCTCACCTGAAGGCTGGAGCCACAGGAAGAGTTGTAGATTACCAGAATGGATCTTACAGAGTTTTTTTCACTTTACTCTGGCCAGGGGAGGTCACAGTATCTGTGGCACTGGTCCACCCTAGCGAAGGGATCCAAGTACTTCAACGTTTACGAGAAGAGAGACCAGACAGGGTCTATTTTAAAAGCCTATTCAAATCAGGGAGAATTTCAGAAACGACTGTGTGCAATGTCTGTTTGCCAGGAGATATGCCGGTGTGTAACTTTACGGATCTTTACACCGGTGAGCCATGGTTTTGCTACAAGCCAAGAAAGCTCTCTTGCGCCACGAGGATCAGCCATTACAAAGGGGGGTATCAAAAGGGCCTTCTGACCTCAGAAGAGAGTCGCCTTTTCCAAAGGTACATGCTCTCTCATACCCCACTGTTGCTTCTGTTTGGGACTGTTTTATCTTGGTTCTCTGATATTTTCATTTCATTTTAAATTACTTGTATTGTTGAGGAAAGGTCCATAGTTTTCCGCGTCGGACGTTTGGGTTCCGGGTTTTTGGTATTCAGGAGCTGAAACATTAAAAAACGGAGCCATGGCCGTATATGTTCTGGCCATAACCCCTAGTAATATATACATTTTGCAGAGAAGAGTTACCATTGGTATATTAATGGCACAGTTAAGCCTTCTTTCGACTGTGGATGTGCATCTCTATGTAGGGATTTCCTACATATGTCGACTGCGATAATTTAATGTGCCAGAACTTGTTTTTTAAAAAGCCAAGTTGGGATCAGGTCCACAACAAGCAGGGAGAGGAATTATACCTGTTTCATCCTCTTGCTGCAATCCTCCCTTTTGCATCAGGAGGGAAGATTCCATTTATACCAGTTGGAGCTTCCCTCCAAGTGTAAATAGCAGCTTTTAAAAACCTGGGTGGGGGATTTTTTGTCAAGACCACAGCAAGATGGGAAATGGTTAAACTCTCCCTCCTAGCCTTCCATGACCCCAATCCTGAATGCCTCCCTTTTTTTGTTTTGTTTTTAAAAAGCAGTCACATTAAATTCAATAACACATTTCACTAACCTGTAATTCACCACCTGTGTTCCTCAAAGAGTAATAAGCTGAGGTTTGAGGAATAGGGAAAGGGACTGGAGAGGGGGGAGGGATCCCTGTATTCTGCTTTGTAGTCCACATACACCCACCCACTTGCAAATAAGAGACTTCTGGGGACACTGTGTGCCTGAACTAATAATAGCTGGGGAATCTACATTGACATGCAGAGCTAAAATCAAAAGAGGAGTGTTATAACTATGACAGTGATGTACCAGTTTGGCCTTGGGTATTTGACCTTAGGCAAATGTGACTTTTTATCACTGAATTTTGTTTTGTTTTGTTTTTGTTTATTTAGTGATGTGAATATCAAAGTGCCAATATCCTCCAGTGGCCCTGATACTGTACTCGTAAGGCCCTTAAGGCATGCAGGTAAAGTTAAACATTTGAAAGACTTTGTTTCAAACCACAAAAAGCCTTAATTTATTTTACACCACAAAAGTCTTTTGCACATGTTAGATTTAATCAGAGGAAACTGCGAATGCATCCGGCAAGTGACAGTTTGATTCAGTGTGGCAATGTATTGCTGATCAGAAGCTGTGGGAGAATTTTTATTAGTGGCAGTAACATATCACTTTAAAGTGAAAAGTGCTTCATGTACATTATCTTGGTAATTCTTCCAACAATCCTGTACTGTAGGTCCGTATTGTTACCCTTACACTGCTGATGAGGAGGCTGAGTGAATCATGACTTTGTGGCTGAAATGAGTTTTGAACCAAGGACTGCCAAGCATACATTATTGACAACATTGTTAAACGAAAGCACTCAGTGCCTGCCAAATTAAATTAGATAAACACCAACTCAGCCAGTCATATGGATTTGCTCAGACGTCATGTAAAGTTCCCGTGCTTTTGTGGTGCACCTATGTATTTTTTTTGTAAAAAGTCACGAAATGGTACCGGTCATGAGGAAAGCATGTAGCTCCTCACAAATGATCTCCATGGGTATGAGCCAGTACAGTGGTACCTCGGTTTAAGAACAGTCCGGTTTAAGAACGATTCGGTTTACAAACTCTACAAAACCGGAAATAGTGTCCCGATTTGAGAACTTTACCTCAGTCTAAGAACGGAATCCAAATGGTGGAAGGGCACCGGTGGCGGGAGGCCTCATTAGGGAAAGCGCGCCTTGGTTTAAGAACAGTTTAGGTTTAAGAACAGACTTCCAGAATGGATTAAGTTTGTGAACCAAGGTACCACTGTAGTTGCCTTTTCACTCCCCACAACCATGATTTGCATTGGGCATGCAGGTGGAAAGGAATACTGAATTATCCTAGCAACAAAATATCGATCACAATCAAACAGAAAAGTGAGTGTTGTGTGTTTTAAGTTTCCATTCGACTGTGGCCATTGATTGCTGAGGAAATGCAATCTACCTACAACAAAAATACTTCCTTGAAGAAAGATATCTAGAGTCTCCATGATAGGCAAGTAATAACAGCTTATTCTCTCTCTTGCACACACACATGCTTGGAAAAGCCTTGGGTCTCTGAAATTTTGTTGGGGGATTCACCTGCAGATAAAAGGATTTGTCTACCAACGTGAATGTCATTGATTGCTTTGCAAAATATGGAAACTTAGTACAGTGTGCTTATTAAATCTCAGTTATTAAATGTTTTCAAACTTAATGAACTTAATTACTAGCATTTTAGCAGGCTTGATGTTATGCTCCTATTTGATTTACTCATATAATTATAACAAATGAATTTTCATTTTTAACTAGTAATTCAAAATTCTCTTTCAGAGATGGACAATCTGGAAAGATCGCAAAGCCCTGATGTGTTTCCTTCTGGTTACTATTATGAAGATGAATGGCGAGCAAGAACACAGTGGATTCGGCATTTTAACAAGTCATCAGATATTACCGAATGTTTACAAGGGAAACTTATCCACTTGTTTGGAGACTCTACAATCAGGCAGTGGTTTGAATATCTGACAACATTTGTTCCAGGTCACTATTTTTGCCTTGCCTTTGCAGGTGTTTCAGATATATATACAGAAATATGGGAAAACGTTAATGCTTATACTCTTGATGTAGAGATTGTGGGATTTCGGTCATCACTTTGTAACTGATTTTAATTTCGCTGATTGTGTTTCTGGGATTTGGAAGAGCTAGAACTGCAAAGTTTTGGCGTTTACTTTAAATCTCTCTAATTCTGCGTCACCCTAAGAGTTGGTTAAGAATGGCCTTTTCATGTGCTTCAGGATTACCCTTTCAAGCCTCACCTCTTCCTCACCAAAATGGTTCTTTTAAGGAAATAAAGTGCCCTTCTCTTTCTCACTGCATATGTTAATAGTGATGGGAGAGCTATCGCTAAAGAAAAGAAAAAAATAGGAGAAGCAGTAATAGTAGGATGGACATGTGCAAATACACACATTTAGACTTGCACTGGTAGTGAGGAATCCAGGATTGAGCCAAATGCCTTATAGAAGAGATGGATTTTTGAGCAGTGATGGAAAAGAATAGAGTTCTGCAACATTACCGGATGATCTAATAGGGAATATGCGTGTCTCTTTGTGTGTGATTTGCAAAGGAGAAGTTGAGAGGTGATGCAAGGGCATGGAAAGCTTTCTGAAGGAGTCGTTTGTTAAGGATGTAGACAGCGATGGGATAACAGCGTTGGATTTGGAAGAAGGGGAATTGGATGACCTGAGCAGGGCAACTCTACCATTAGGCAAAGTCAGGCACCTGCCACAGGCAGCAGTTGCTGGGGTAGTTGTCGGCTATTTCTCCTGAGCCCCCAGTTGCTCCCCTCTGAGAGAACAGAACTCTGTAAGCCTCTCTTGGGCCCCTAAAGTAAGCTGCTGCTTCAGGTAGAATGGAGGATGCAATCCTGTTGCCAGTTTTGAAGTAAGATTCACTTGCCAGTCCAATCAGTTTTTTTATATATTGACCGGGTGGCGAGTGCTTGCATGTGCCATTTTGTCCTTTTCCTCAGGCAGCAAAACGTTGTGCTCCAGCTCTGGGTTCGATTGACAAGAAAAGAAGTCAAATTATCTTGGTTGCAGAGCTGTAGACAGAGATAGGATAGCTCAGGAGTAGCGCAGGAAAGGCAGGAGGAAAGAGGTGGTAACAAAGGTGGGGGATGAACAGTAAGTGATTTTGTGTTGTAGCGAAAGGAAGGGGTAGATGTTTAGAAACAGTGTATAGCAAGAAAAGGTAATGATTTGGTGGCAGATTAAATAAGGGGAACAAAAGAGAGGCACCAACCCTGAGTATAGGGCCAAATAAGGGATACCTGTTTAGATGGTTCAATTAATGTAACAAACTTTCCCTTCTGCAATGAAGACGTTTCTAATTGAGTATATTTGTCAAACACTGTTTTAAGATATGGGCCCAGTTCATTACTGCAGGCTTCATGAAGCTGGGAGCGAGTCAGGCTGAACACTGCTCCATGCGACCCTTTTCTCCTTCCTCACACCTTGCTTATTTTCTTGGTTTTATTAGCTGACATTAGGGCAATTCTGACTCAATACAAGGCATTATCTTATTGCCAAAGTGCACTGGGATGGGTAAGAGGAGAAGCATTTGACCCTGATGCTTCTTCCTGGCTTCATATTGATCCTCCAAGCTGTGCCAGTTGAAATGGTTGGAATTGATACTCATGAAAACTCTTGTGTGTTTGCTTTTCCCCCCTGTCCTTTGTGAATGTTATACAGAGGACCCTAACAATTACAGTGGTACCTTGGGTTAAGTATTTAATTCGTTCTGGAGGTCTGTTCTTAACCTGAAACTGTTCTTAACCTGAAGCACCACTTTAGCTAATGGGGCCTCCTGCTGCCGCTGCGCCACCGGAGCACGATTTCTGTTCTCATCATGAAGCAAAGTTCTTAACCCGAGGTAATATTTCTGGGTTAGTGGAGACTGTAACCTGAAGCATATGTAACCCGAGGTACCACTGTATTGTTTTCCTTTGCAGAGAGTTGCAACAGGCAGTCACTCAGTAATTCTTTTTTGTTTGCTTGCTTGTTTGTTTCAGATCTCGTGGAATTAAACCTTGGCAGCCCTAAAAATGTTGGGCCCTTCATGGCTGTGGACTCGGTGCATAACATCCTACTAAACTTCCGCTGCCACGGGCCCCCTATTCGCTTCTCCACCGTGTTTAGCAGTGAGCTGCATTACATTGCCAACGAACTGAATCGCATTGTAGGCGGGAGGAACACTGTGATAGCCATAACTATTTGGTCTCACTTCAGCACTTTCCCTGTAGAAGTGTACATCAGGAGACTGAGGAACATTCGCAAGTCCATCGTACGGCTTCTGGATCGGAGTCCCAAGACACGGATAGTCATCAAAACCGCCAACGTTCAGGAGCTCGGGCCAGAGGTTAGCCTTTTCAACAGCGACTGGTATTCGTATCAGCTTGACACAATCATGAGGAAGATGTTCTCAGGAATTGGAGTGCACTTTGTGGATGCTTGGGAGATGTCACTGGCACACCATTTGCCACACAAATTGCACCCAGAAGATGTTATTGTCAAAAACCAGTTAGATGCTTTCTTGTCTTTTGTGTGTCCGGTGGAAACGCACTACAGCCTCGTAAAAGGAATCCATAATCAATTGTGGTCTCTGTTTCTGTAGTTCACTTACGGACACGTTCTGCACTAGTTGTTTGTTGCTGATTTGGGGTGCCCCTAACCTGCATCTGATTCTCCAAGCCTGCACTGTAGCATACATAATTCATACACGGAATGTCTGGGGACTGGTGTGTGGATACCTCTTTGCAATGCACACTTGAGAATGAAGGTGTCCACAACTCCACTTGCCAGTCTCACTACAATAAATGTTCTGCCACCATCTGGTAAGATAATGAAAGTATTCGCAGCAGCAGCCGCCTCCTTCAGCTTGGAGCTAGGGAGAGAGGCCACAGCACAATGCCAGAGCACATGTTTGAGATACTGAAAATTCCAGGTTCAGTTGTCAGTGTTTTCATAATAATAATAATAATTTATTATTTATACCCCGCCCATCTGGCTGGGCTTCCCCAGCCACTCTGGGCGGCTTCCAAAAAAATACTAAAACACTGCAATACATCAAACATTGAAAACTTCCCTAAACAGGGCTGCCTTCAGATGTCTTCTAAAAGTCTGGTAGTTGTTGTTCTCTTTGACATCTGGTGGAGGGCATTCCACAGGGAGGGCGCCACTACCGAGAAGGCCCTCTGCCTGGTTCCCTGTAACTTGGCTTCTCTCAGTGAGGGAACTGCCAGAAGGCCCTCGGTGCTGGATCTCAGTGTCCGGGTAAAACGATGGGGGTGGAGACGCTCCTTCAGATATACTGGTTAAAAGAATGCCGTGAATGTCTAGCTTGTGGGTCTCCCTGTATTACTATTGTTATAAATTTATTCATACCCCTGATGGGACTCAAGGCAACTTACAGGTATATATATATATGGACCTGCTAAAAACAGGAAAACAACAAACTGGTTGGCCACTGAGAACAGGGTGATGAACTAAATGGCCATTTGGCTAGCTCCAGCAGAGTTTTTCTCACATAGCAGAGCTGGAAGAAAACCTTTCCTGAGACCTTAAGAGAGAACTGCTTCAAGTCACACAATACTGCCCTAGATAGTTTGATTTAGGCTATGTACACAGGCAGCCTCTGAAATGTGCAGGAGTTGTTTTTACAGTGTACACACCTATGCACAATAGCAGCATCTAAGCCAGCAGCTACTACGAGGGATGTCTGTACACACAGGTGGGCTTATTTTCAAACTATTACACAATAGTGTTCTCTATTGCCTTCCATTCAGTTAGTGGTTCCGCTGAGTTTTTGCAAAACAATATATATATATATATTGCAATCTTTCCAAAGAGAGGGTCTCTTTCCAAAGAGAGAGCCCAGCAGAATGGGCTTTAATTAGACAAATAGTGTGGAGCAGGGACAACATGGGGTGATGTCATTTGTCCAGCACTCCCCAAAGGTGCTTACATCCTGCACTGAATGCACAACATACATAAGAAGAGCCTTCTGGGTAAGGCCAGTGGCCCATCTAGTCCAGCATCCTGTTCTCTCAGAGGGTGAACAGTTGCTTGTGGGAAACTAGCAAGCAGGATATGAGCACAAGAGCATTCTCTCCTCCAGTGGGTTCCAGCAACTGACATTCAGAAGCGGTCCTTGCCTCCAACTGAAGGCAGAGCATAGCAATTGCGACTAGTAGACATTGATAGCCTTACCCTCATGAATTTGTATAATCCATCTAAGTTGGTGGCCGCCACTGCCCCCTGCAGGATTTGAGTTCCATAGTTTAACTGCGTGGCATGAAGTGTGTGCACGCCCTTAATGCACATTTACATCTGTATTTGCTAGCTCTGCTGCTTGAAATTCTTTTAACTGGAGATGCTGGGGATTGAACCTGAAGACAATTATTTCCAGAAAATAATCATAATTGAAATATGAAAAAAGGGAGGAACTAAATCCAGATTAACTGAATACTAATGAAAGTTTTACAAAAGAAAGGAATTACCAAAATATTTGTAAATCTAAAAGAAGATAAGTAACCATTTTCCCGGTGCACACCCCTACCTCCCCATCCCTTTATCTCCCCGTGTTTTGGTGCCCAAGACATCTGCATGCAGGACACCCACTTTACAGTGGTGCCCCGCAAGACGAATGCCTCGCAAGACGAAAAACCCGCTAGACGAAAGGGTTTTCCATTTTTCGATGCGCTTCGCAAGACGAATTTCCCTATGGGCTTGCTTCGCAAAACGAAAAAGTCTTGCGAGTCTTGCGATGTTTCTCGCTCCCCCCCCCCTTTTCTAAGCTGCTAAGCCGCTAATAGCCTTTTAGCCGCTAAGCCGCTAAGCCTTTAATAGCCGCTAAACCGCTAATAGCGCTAATCCGCTAAGCCACTAATAGGGTTGCTTCGCAAGACGAAAAAACCGCTAGACGAAGAGACTCGCGGAACAGATTAATTTCGTCTTGCGAGGCACCACTGTACTAAGAGTTGGAGTGTTTTAATAAATTAAACATTTTGTATGGCTCGGTGGCTGCCTCCTGAGTTATTCGATACTTTCCAAGGGAAAAATCTAAATGTCACCTACACTGGTATAAGTTTTAAGATCTTAAGACTGATTAGCTTTCTTTGTGAACTGCATGTTTTCAAGGGGCTTTTTGGTAACTGACATCTGAACTGCAGGTAGCAAAAAATGATGCTTGAGATTGCAACAAACAAGTCTGAAATGTCATTGATTCCTGATTTTTTTCCTTTTTAAATAAAAGTCTGTAAGAGCTGTTTTGAAGACAAACTGTTGCTATTTAACATTTTGGTTCACTTCAGTGATGTGCCTGGGTACAGAAGGCAGACTTGACATGGTCCTCACCTAGAGGGGACTTGTAGATTACAGTAGATGGAACAAGACATGGATTTGGATGAAGCCAAAGATGTATTGGCAATAGGCCAGGGGAAAGATGGAGGGGCAGGAAAGTAAAGCTGGTTTGAGTAAGGGGTGGGATGGTTCAAGGGAACCTGTCTTGCAGGAGATAGAGGTTTGATCAGAAGAAGGCATGGCATCAGGCAGACGAGATGGGAAGGAGGCTAAAAGACATTTGGGAAACAAGCATGTCTACCAGTTGTCTAAGCTCCTGCAAGCCCACAAAGAATGTACAGAAATTATCCAGTCCTTTAAAAACTGTTGCGTGTAAAGTAGGCCCAGAACATCTTACCCGTTGAACCATAAAGAAACTGAATTTCAAGTTTTGTTTACTCTGAACCTGTTTCTGTTGATATTAAAGAAGTCTACACCAATACCTGTGATTAAACTATATCTCTATCCACAATCCCTTCTCATGTGTATGTTTGGTGCTGTTACTGTGACAGCTTTTTAAAATCACCAAATCTATCGCCACGTCTTTCTTTTCATGGCGAGCTGAAAGGATGGCAGTATATTTGACTATAAAGAAGGGAAGGACTTGACTGTTGAATTTGATGTTCGTCCTTTGATGTTTCTGTTGTTTGTTCGTCCTACTTCTGATACTGACAAGTGGCATCTATTTACATTTTCCCAACATTTCATCTCACACTCTGACTAACAGTTTCAAGCATCCACATAGGTTGGTGTTTGGACCAAGACTTTACTACTACAGTACAAGTAAAATGCAACTGCATGGTCAGGCATCTAGGAAACTTGGGACATGATTAGCTGTTTACTATGACACCTTCCAATCAGCGGTGCCCAAACTTTTTTCAAAGAGGGCCAGATTTGATGAAGTGAACATGTGTGAGGACCGATCATTTTGCTTGACGTTCTTGGAACCATTAAAATTAAATGCAAATTATATGCAAAGTAAATCAAATACAAATTAACTATTTTATGCAAAGTTCATTGCAAACGACATACTTTTCATTTCGTCACATGGATGACAAATCTAAACAGGTGTTAAATCACTCTGCCTTTCATATCTGAAGGCCAGATAAAAAAACCAGGAAGCTGAAATATATGTCAGGAAGATTGTAAAGTGGATTAAAGCTTGTCTGTCAACTTTTAAGTTCAAAAAATATGAACAGCAACATAACACCAGATATACATGTTGTGTCCAAATATATTTATACCTGATTTAGACCAACTGACAGTAACTGAGATTTGACAATGTATTCATCTCAATTCAAAACAAACCTTGCCTGCACTAATGTGAAGGGTGAAACTGAGATCTGGACTGCAGCACATAGGCTAGGTCTGGTTCAAAGGTAGTGGTTTTGATTCGCAAAATGTCACGCAGGTGAGAGTCGCTTAGTCTTGTCCTCACATGGTTCTTGTTATAAACAGCCACAGTCTCTTGGCATATCAGACACACACAGTGATTCCGTATTTCAGTAAAGAAATATTCCACTTTCCACCTGTCCTGGAAGCAGCAGCCCTCACTGTCAACTTTCCTTCTCTTATTTACAGTCACCATTTTAAAAATTGGCCAGAAGGGGAAGAGATCATGTGAGCACAGTGCCAGAGGTTTTGGTCCAAGTGTGTTTGCCCAAGCCCAAATGAATCCTCAATAAAACATTTGCCAACAGATTTGGCCAGCTCGTTCCCACCAGGTAGAAAATATTTCCCCTGCAAATGAAAGAAGAAGGTCTCGGGAGTTGATTTGTCAGAGCATAGATCTTTTCCGCAGTCGACAGCTTGAGGAGACTGCATGGATAGAACTGCTATTTTCCCTGATGGCACAACGAAACCAGATGTTATCTGTGTTAGAACAACCAAAGGTACCATGTGCTGGCACCAATTGCACCAAACAGCTACAGCTCCCAAAATACATATGAGGAAATAGCTATTGAACCCACAAGTTTGCAAGAAATGCAAATGTAGGCTTTCAGAAATCTATGGGACTTCATGTTCAGGAAGATGGGGTTATGAAACAAAGACTGCTATCCCAGCGTTATCCATCCACCCATCTTTCCATTTTTGTCCCACCTGTCTCCAAGGAGCTTAAGGTAGTCTATGTGGTTCTTCTCCCCTGCCCTCACTTTAACTCTCACAGCAGCCCTGTGAGGTGGGTTAGGCTGGGAAAAAGTGACTTCCCCCTAAACCACAGCAGTGAGTTTTAAGTAAGAGTGGCAATTTGAAGATGGTTCTCCCCCAGGCCTC